AATATATATATACAGATCACCAAATAGCTATTACAGAAAGTGGTTATCTTAAGCCTGGTGACAATTGTGTGATGTTGGTTTTTCAGTCACACATAATGAAAGGCATCTATGTGTAAGGATTCAGACACTGGCTGCAGCTCTTATGCATAAACACAATAGGTTGGATCCTGAGTAAGTTAGTTGCGGATGGATCCCAATGAGACCAATGTGAAAAGTTAGTCATGACTTTATGAACTCCCATTGATTTCAATGGGAGCTAAGTTTTACTAACTTAGCCTGGAATGACAACTGCACATTCTGTGCTTTTGCTATAGCAATTGTGATGTGTGGAATGACCCTAAGACTGAAACACATTCAAAATTATCGCATGGATGAGATCTAAATGGCATGCTTGAATTCTCACATTTTCTCAAGTTAGTGCACAGAAGAAATTTGGGGACCATTCCGCAATATTGCTATTTATTAGTACTTTTCATAAAATTATTAACTTACCTTTCTGTATTAAGGCATCCAAGGCAGATAGCCTGCAATTCCAATAAAAACACCTTAAAACAACTCACAATTCCAATAATAAAGTACAATAAAGCAACTATCAAGACACAGAAACAAGTGAACAAAAACAGGCATGGACATAAAGAACCACCAGCTAAACTAAACACATCAATGAGCAGCAGGAGCAGAACCTAATCAACCTGGCAGGACAAGACACCTTTCTGAACATGGTGGCATTTACCTGTTGGCAGAAGGCCATCAAAGAGAGTGCAAAATGGATCTCAGGGCTGGGGCAGTCCCCTTAGCTATTGTTTTTAGGTGGTTACAATTGAGCTAAACTTGGAAAGTTAAAGGGCTTGTGAGTTTTATTATGAGCCCCCTACCTCACCCTCAATAATTTGAGCACTGCCCTATGGTGTTGATCAATAGGACTCTCCAGTGCCCTTTTTGAATTCTAGTGCCTTGCTTCCTTGTTTTCACATGTCTACAGATTTTTGACAGCAGAGTATTTCCAAACTGATCTACGTGCGTCATAGGCAAACTTGATATTTGACTTAACACTTCCTGTTGCTTTAATAAAAGGTATCACTTTATCTACATTTATGTCTAACACTGTTTACACTTCCTTTTATCGAACTAAAACACAAAGGCACATCTGAAGTACTAGATATTCTTGGAGCTATGTCAGAGTACGCTGACTGTAAAATTACCAGAAAGAGTGACGTTGATACTTCTTTGCACTCCAGCCTTCTTCTCAATTTGGAATGAAGGTGGTTAGGAGGAAAACACATCAAGGCTCTGTATTTCATAAATTACAAGATAGATATGGTTTGTTGCTAATGCAGTATGTACACTTCCCAAACCAGCAATGGGTGTGCACTGGGTACAGAGTACACTGGAGTGTGGACCCAGCCACACAGAGTGATGGATTTCTGTAAACACAATGAAATGGAGACTGTTATGCGTCTTTTTTGTTTATTAACATAAAGCAATGAAATCACCAATGAAATCACATAGCTCAAGGCTATGTTCAGCAAATGTAGTGACACAAATGCTTCATGGTGCATGTAGCCCAGAACTTTAAGCTGCTAGTTTTGGCATTTTAAAAGAGAGATGGTGAACCTGTGACTCTCCAGATATCTTTTGACACTTAACTCCCATTACCCAGGACTCTTGGCCATGCTGTCAGGGGCTGATGGGAATTAGAGTCCAATAACATCTAGAGGACTATGTAGCTGCTGCTGTTTTAAGCACTTTCACAGTTTGAGATGACTGGCTTAGCGGTGAATTTATAGCCCATTCATGAAAGCATCCCTCCATGTTACAGTGAAAACCCAGTTTTATGCTTTTTTTGGTTTCCTCAGATCATTAGCACCTCAACTCCCTTACTCTCTTATTTTCTTTATCTTCCTACTTTTCTGTCCCACTCTGATTGAAAAGCCAGTACTTCTGCATATGACCTTTCACCCGTTCTGCTTTAGTTTCTTTGTCCATGGCAAAGCTGAGTCTGTAAGGTCCAGCCTCCTAATTCCACTGAAGGCAACTCTCTGCCTCTAAGCTTCTCCCAGTTTTTGCACCTTGCTTTCCAGGCACAGATCCACAGTTTAAAGCTTTGTGTCTGAGTGGTTTTCCTTTTCTCTTTTGTCCTGGTGCTTTCCTTGGGAAAACCCACATTTTACCACTGAAGAAGAGCATATGGCAATCCCTAATCAGAACAAACAGCAATCCTGATTACCATTTGCTCCAACTCAAATGGTAAAATGTGGGTTTTCCTGGGAAAACAGCAAGTTAAAAAACAAAACCCCAACACCTACGCCTGCAGACGTGGAACTTTAAAACCTGGACTTGTGCCTGGAAATGTAGCACAAAAGGAAGTCTGGATAAGCCCTAAGCATATAAGCTGGGCAGCATGGGTGTGTGGTCTGTGTAGCATCTTATTAACTCTTTGAACCCTATATATTTCTGCAGCAGCATGTCAAACCACAGAAGCCATTATTTTCACTCTTAAATCATTTTTTATTCTTTTTTTAAATATTACAATTGCAACAGTAGCGTGGTTATTACCAGCTCTCAAGAGCAGATGTGGGGAACCTTTAGACCTCCAGCTGTTGTTGAACTACAACTCCCATCAGCTCCAGAAAGCATAGACAATGGCCAGGGATGAGGGCAGAGGAAATTCAGCAACATCTGGATCTCTAAAGGTTCCCCACACCTACTCTAGAGCAAGCACACTAATGTTGGTTCTTTAGTGGTCATTGCTTAATCCCCCAAAGTAAGAAAGGTATTCATAGCCAATGCAATCTTGCCATTAAGACCCCAATAGTAGTATTGGTAATTTCCCCCCAAAATTGTTTTTTGATTAATACACCTGCAGTGTATGTGTTCATGCGCTCACCTGGTATCCGCCTTTTATAAACCAGATTAAGACATAAAAAACATAATACATAAAAAAGAACAGATTAAGACTTTGCTGCTTTATTGAGTTTTAATGTGTTGTCATTGTTGTAATATTGTATTATAAATGGTATTGTAAATTGTATGTGCAGGGTGCCAAGCAAATTTCTTAAGGAAACAAACTCCAATTCATGCAGCAAAGAAGCCAAAAGGTGGTTGAGCAACAGCATGGCAAATAGTGGCTGAGTTGTAAACTGGATGTATAATTAAACAAACACATTCTTCTTCACAGTGAGGTGAAAATCAATCCAGATCCATTCAGGCCACATATTCTCCATGACAATATGGTGATGTGAATTGGCCCCTCTAAGCTAAACTGTGCTTGCAAAACAATTGTAATTCTCTAAAGAGAAGCCAAATCCATTTTATGAAAGGAAGCTTCTGCCAAGAGTATCGTGGCTTTATACAAACACTTGATTGCCCTTGCTGACAAGAAAGGTCATTCTCATTCGGAGTCCTCTATTCCTGTTTTGAATCAGCTGATCTGTGCAGAAGGCAGACTGCCTGGCATGCGAGAATGCACATTTCAGCCAGCATCCTCTGCTCACTGTTTGGAAGGGAACTCGGCTGTCTCGCAAGCAACTGCTGCAGTCCCAAATGCAGAGCGAGAGAGCGAGAGAGCGAGAGCGAGAGCGAGAGAGAGAAGCACAGTAGCTGCAAATCGCTAAGTGCTTCTGGCTTGTCAGAGGTGTCAAACAAACTAATAGCACTCTGAGAAAAAAAAGGCACTGGAATTCAGTGTTGTGCTTGGCAAGTGCAAACAAACTGACCATCAAAAATATGTGCAGATTACATAGTGTCATAGAAACAGAGTAAGATTAGACCACAAAATCATACAAAACAGCCTCTTGCTGCAAGGCAGGACCAAGGCAGCAGAAGTATATTCGAGTTTACTTGGAAAGTCCCACTATGTTCAATGGTGCTTACACCTTAGGCAAAGGTGGGAAGGATTGCAGTCCTTAATCCCCAAAGTACTGACTTAATTTTGACCTCTTTTTTAGAAGGTAGTGTCCTATGGCACATTGCTATCTGACCCAGGACCTTTGAAGGGTGTGTGTGTGTGTGTGTGTGTGTGTGTGTGTGTGTGCTATAAATGAAATAAAAGCAGATGCCACTTGCAAACTCAATATGAGATAGGAAGCACAGAAGAGTCCTTCCTTAAATCAAACACTGCCACTCACTATGACAGATAGATGTTAGATAGATAGATAAGCCAGTGGTTGGGCTTGCAGGTGTGGGAATGGTGGCAAGCAAGCAGGTGGGCCAGAGGTGAGGGGTGCTCACTCTGCCTCCTGTGCATAGGGGTTCACCTTGCCTCAGAGTTGGGCTTGCCCTGCACCACACTGCATTCTGGGAAAGGAGGGAATTAAGTCCTCCCTGTTTCACAGGGCATCCCAGAAGCAAACCTCATGTTAGGTAAAGGTCTGCTTTTAGACTGAAAACGCCCTTCCCCAGCCTCCCCCAACCTGGTGACCTCCGAGCCATGCTGACTGGGGCTGATGGAAGTTACAGTCTGATCCTGAGGGCATCTGCTTGGAGAATGCTGCACTGCACTAATGGAAAAGAGAAGGCAGACCTCTTTCACTTTAGAATAGCAGATGATCAATACAGTACTGTAATTAGAAGCAAATATTCCTTGTTGCTTTGTGGCAGCAGAGCCAAAACCACATTGTGGTTATGAGAGAGAGAGAGAGAGAGAGAGAGAGAGAGAGAGAGTTTTGTGTGTGCCCCTTAAATACATTATTTTACTGCCAAACATTGAAGGAGGCCGGAGGCCAAGTATCGGCAAGCCAAGTAAACCCTCCTCCTTTATATTTACAAATGTACCAAATGGCCTAAGAACTTTAGAGGACATGTAAGAGCTGGCTCCCAATGTATTTCTAAATGAAATGCTCGAAGGTGCTGTAGAGTCGAGACCTCTTGCTACTTGGTGGGAGAAAGCAGGCAGCAGCTACTGGGATCCTGTTGACTTGCAAGGTCACAAGGACAATATGTCACAATGTCGCAAGTGTCACCAAATAGCCCTTGTGTCCTCCAAAGCTGCCTGGCTTACAATTTTTCCTGTCTGCGCTGTCTAGCGAGGCAGCCAGCAACAACAGCTGCCGCAGTGCTCAGAACTCGTGCGAGCCTGCCAAGGATTAACTGATTGGTGACAATGCAGTCTATAGACCAGCCTGCCAAGGGCAAGGAGAAAAAACGCGCTTTGACTTCCAGCACCCCATCCGAAGGTTCAGGGAATAGAATGATATTCACAGGTAACTGCCGCCGTTCCATAGCCGCTTAAATGGCTGGCTGCCAAATGAAGCTGAAGCAATAGCATTCATCATATCGATGGAGCAGCGTGAGAAGTGACACTCAGCTGCTGCATCATACGCAGCATTGCATATCGTCGCTCTGTATCGTGTTCTATAAATAGAGATTCGCTGTTCTGTGCTGCTAAAGGAGCATGGAAGGACAAAAATGAACGAACCTGATCATGTAGCAGAGAAGTTTACATTTATATGACTTCTGATCTGAGTGGAACCATCTGACTGATGACATGCTGGGGAATCTAAAGTGTGGCCTTGTTGGTTCTCCTGGGCTTCTCAGCAGCTTTCAATACCATGCGTGTCTTTCTGGGTCATCTCACTGGGACAGGACTTGGAGGCATGGTTTTGCAATGGTCACAGTCCTTTCTGGGGGAGGATAGGTCCACAAGGTGGTGGGAAGCCACAATGTTCCATTTTGTCCCTGTCCCATCATGTCCCCTACTCCCCACATTCAAACATCTACATTAAACCAAGTTGTCTGGAGGCAGTTTGGGGTTGGATAAGAGCAAAGCACAGACACACCCTGGAGCTAAATCCTGATAAGACATAAGTCCTGTTGGTTGGGATATATGCTGATCTGGCAGAGATGGACAAAATGAATCTAGGCAGGTTTGCCATCCTGAAGAGAGTGAGGCATATAGCCTGGGCTTTCTTCTGGATTTACTGCTACCAATGCAAAATGGCATTGGTGGCCAGGAGTGGGTTTCTTTTCCTTCATTGGTTGACTCACCAGCTGCAGTCCTATCTAGAGGAAGAAGAACTTGCCTCAGAACCACATGCTCCTTTTAAATCCAGGCTAGATTTGTATAGCATGCTCTACTTCTGGCTTCTAATCAAAGGGAATTATTTTACCAGAGCTCCAATCATAGTGGTTTGGGGAGTGCTGTTGAAGTAATATACGTCCTTGTTCTTGCCTGTACTGTGATTTTTGCTACTTCTAGTGGTACATGTTTGGGAAATGTTGGACATTCAAATACTACTCCCCATGTGTCACATGCTCACACACTATCCATGTCTGTCAAATCAGTTTTGCACTTAGTTTCTCTAACTTTTGGTTCCAGTTGAACAGAACTCAGGCCCAAAGCTACTTTTTTCATTCATCATAACTCCTAAGCCCCTGCTCTCATCTTCCTGAAATTCTGCAGGTTACTTTCCCAGGGGAACCTTTACAATATATGCCATGTTCGTACTAAAACAATTGACCACAAAACCACAATAAACAAAGTGATTCCTTTTAACTTCCTTCCTCCCCAAAATAAACTTTAGTAGTGCAGAAATCTCTCTGAACATATTAGTCTAAAATTTGGCAGGCTTTAATTTTTCAGGAGGGGTTACTATTTTTGCAAATTCCATCCACTTCTGCCAAAAAGGAAACAAAATTCTGGAGTGATATCCTCCTGAAGGAAGAAAGGAGAGGATGCTCTCTACATGATTAGAGGTACCTTTAAAATATTACATTATGCATTTATTTTTTAAGGAGCCATGCATTTATTTCAAAAAAACATTTCTTCTTTCTCTGTCAGGGGTTTCCCATTCACTTCAGTGCAAGGGATATTCCTTCTTTCAGATAGTTATATTTGTTTCCATTTCCAAATGAATTTTAAACAAACAAAAAATCTTAGTGATTTTAAGGGACAACCTGCTGGTTCTCTCTACTGCTTCCTTTTCATCTCACCACCTGTTCTCCATCTTCTTTATTTTCTCTTACATTTTGAAGTGAGTTAACTTTCTGTAAAGTATGCTGGGTAAGATTTAGGGTTGCTGGGGCTGAATCCAGTGGGACTCTTTCTTGTGCTGGAAAGCATAAGATTGTGTTGCATCTCCAAGGGGCTGAGAACTGATTGAAGCAGTAGCCTCTTTTTTCTATAAGGGAAAGTGACAATTTCCCCTTTTAGCTTTCTGTTCTCTAATTCATATGCATTCTCAGGGAACTCCTCTTTGCTTCTACATTTTGCAGAAGATCCTCCTTCCTTCTTTTTAAGGGGTCAAGTTTTTCCTTACTTGCCTCACACTTTGCTAGACAACTCTGGTGGCCCTCACAGCTTATAATATTGATGGGATACTTGTGGTCCTTCAGATGTTTCTGGACTACAACTCGCATTGTCTCTGACAAGTGGCCATGCTGGCAGGGATTGGGGGTGTTTGAGTCCAACAAAATCCAGAAGGTCACTGGTTCCTCAACCCAAGCCTTCCCCCTACCACATCAGGACCTCTAAGACCCCTCTGTTAGTGTGGTGTGAACTTGGGTGTGTAGTCTACAATGGCAGGGTAAAGGAGCTCTTGCTTTTGGTTCTCATTTTTATTACCCCACAGATTTGGAAAGAGTAAAGAGAACACTTCACCATGCTCCTCTGACATCTATGTGTTTTAGCAGATATCAGAAGGAATCGTACCCAGATGTAGATGGGTAGAATTCATCCACACAAGGTGTGGAGCCCTAGATGGTAGCCAACAAATTATAAGATGATGCAAGAGAAACATTTAAAGCATAACAGTCTTCTGCATGTTTAAAGGTAAAGGTAATGTATGTTTCTGCATGTTTACTTGGAAGTAAATCCCATGCCACTTCCTCACAGGTGAGTGTGCATAGGACTGTAACCTTAAATAGGGTAAGACAAAGAAGCCAGGTTACAGATTTGGGTTAAGTTTACCATGAGAGAGACTACACTTAAACAGGGTGGGGAAGAGAGAAAAAGAAGGAAAGAGCACACATACTATAGTTCTTATTTTATCATTTTTGTTGGTTTTGAATCTATATATCACACACTCAACTCAGAAGGTCTCTCAGTGTCTTAGGAACTCAGTGCCTATAGGTATTGTTAATAGACTATTAATTCACAGAGAGCATACATATGGCTGGAATAAAGAGCCTCAAATCCTACACGGGTGCGCTTCTTAACATTCAACAAAGGGATTCCCATTTAATGCATTTTGCAATCATACATAGTATGAAAGATCCCATTCCCCAAAGAAAACCTTCTCATTCTTCTGAACATAATCTTAGAAAGTAACAGTAGCCTGTCATCATCATAATCCTTAACACAATAAAGGCAGGCTACTTTTGCTTACTATAGGCAGTGGCATGGTACTACTATAAATATTTGTCAAATCAATCTCAAACACACAATTTCAGCCTGATTGGAGAGGAGTTCAAGCTTTATTTTGAAAGAGTTGAACACAATTTAATCACTCCTCTACTCTAGCTAAACATTCAGGACACTGAAGTGCCAAAGAAATGAGTAACAGAATTTACTTCATAACTCACTGCATGTTTTTGTAATTATGTCATACTTCATTTTTTTCTTTCAAACAGGGCTGCACAAGGATTACTTTAACATAAAGGGCTATAGGCACCATGCATTGAGTCGAGTTTAGTACAATAGGACCATCCATGCAAACGTTTATCCCATGCAGAAATGAAAATGAGGAGGTGGAGGAACCAATAGCACAGCCAATGGTCTATTCCCAGTCTCCATGCATTAAGGCATTGTAGGCACAGGAGCCTATGCATGAAGCATACCTTCATGATACAGGGACGCTGTGCACATTTGGGGGCAAGCACAGAGAATCTGGAAAGCTGTCCAGCATTTACTTCTATATGGCATTGCTGGCATCCTTCCCTTCTCCACCCTATCGTGCTGCTATTGCTCATAGCTTTCCAAGGTCTATATAGGGGATGGCACAAGCACATTCAAAGAGGTAGAAGGTCTGCACTGGAATAAATGCAGAATCAAAAGGATTTGGTTCTTGCAGGGCAGCAGCTGAAGAAGGAGCAAAAAGGGTTTTCTTGTGTGTGTGTGTGTGTTTCTTAGTGGCTGATTAGCTGCTCTCCCTGTGCAAAGGTCAGAGGGGGCAGGGTTTCTGTTGAGGCAGGTGATTAGCTGTGGGAGGAGCTTATCAGAACTTGCAGGGCAGCGCCGCGCGCCGCTAGGCGCACGCAGTTTGATCCATCTTTTAGATTTAGGGGAGCTAGTCTCAAATGTTTGTTGGGGGAGACCTAGGTTTTTTTGGGGGGGAGTTATTTGTCCTGTTTTCACGCTTTTTATGATGGAGGACCGCTGTAGCCACCCCCAACGACACGTTCTCAAGATGGAGGGTGAGGGAAAGCTGCAGTCGCCTGCGGTTCCTGCGCAATGTTTGCCATCTTGCCAAAGGTTGCAGGCAGCTTTACCTGCAGCAATTGCATGTTGATTGCCCTCTTAGAAGACAAAGTCCAGCAACTGGAGGAACGTGTAGCTACGCTCCAAAGAATTAGAGAGCTGGAGCTCTTCTTGGAAGCAACAGAGCACACCGTCTCCACCAAGGAGGAGACAGGGGAGGCTAGTTCACCAACACAGGAGCCAGATATATGGAGAAACGTGACTCAAAGAAGTAGGAGGCCCAGGGTTCGCTCTGATTGTTTAGAATACACAATCGCTTTGAGGTCCTCTCCCCTAGCATGGAAGACGAAGAGCAGACTCCATTTGAGGATCTCTCCCTCATTACAGTCGATCAGGTATATGAAGACGAGCAGCAAAGTCAGTCCTCAGGGAATGTGCAGGCGACCTTGGAAGGGACAGCTCACGGAAGAACCCCGACCAAACCTAAGAGGAGGCGTGTAGTGGTGATAGGGGATTCCCTACTGAGGAGAACAGAAGCAGTGATCTGTGGGCCTGACAAGATGTCTCGGGAAGTGTGCTGTCTCCCCGGGGCTAAGATCCAAGATGTAACTGAACGACTGCAAGGAATCCTAAAACCCACTGACAAATACCCCTTCCTCTTGGTTCATGTGGGAACCAATGACACTGCAAGCAATAGCCTCCAGAAGATCAAAAGAGACTACGAGGCTCTGGGCAGGAAATTGAAGCAATTAAATGCACAAATTGTCATCTCATCTGTCCTCCCAGTTGAATGACGTGGCCCAGGGAGAGAGAGAAAAATAGTGGAAGTGAACAGCTGGCTTCGCAAATGGTGTAAACAGGAACAGTCTGGATTCTTAGATCACGGACTGCAGTTTCTTGAAGATGGACTTCTGGCAAGCGATGGGCTGCACCTCACAACGGTTGGGAGAAATGCTTTTGCCAAAAATCTCAGAAACCTCATCAGGAGGGCTTTAAACTGACTAATGTGGGGGAGGGGACAGTGCTCCTGAAGGTAGGAGTCTATCAATTGATGAAGATGATCATCCAAATGTCATAGACCAAATGGAGCAAACAGCACGCAGACCTAGTGGTGGGAGGAAAAAATCCTTAAATAAGAGACACGGGGAATGATTAATGGACTTCAATGTCTGTACACTAATGCGCAAAGCATGGGAAATAAACAAGATGAGCTTGAGCTCTTGGTACAGCAAACTAAATATGACATAATAGGCATCACTGAAACCTGGTGGGATAAGTCCCACCATTGGAATGTAATAATGGGGGGATACAATCTATTTCAGAGAAACAGACCAGACAAGAAAGGAGGAGGAGTTGCGTTATATGTCAGGGATGTGTATACCTGGGAAGAGATCCAAGATTTAGAACCTCAAAGCCAAAGTGAGAGCATTTGGGTCAAAATTAAGGGAGAGAAGAATAACAGTGACCTCATTGTGGGAGTTTACTATAGATCCCCAAGCCAAACGGAGGACATAGATGATGCCTTCCTGGAACAGATGGCCAAGCATGCAAAAGGAGGGAGATAGTAGTAATGGGGGACTTCAATTACCCGGATATTTGTTGGATGTCAAACTCAGCCAAGAGCATAAGGTCAAACAGATTCCTCACTGGCCTTGCAGACAACTTCATTGTCCAGAAAGTGGGAGAAGCAACAAGAGGAACAGCCATTTTAGATCTGGTCCTAACCAATGTTGATGACCTGGTTAGTGGGGTGGAAGTGGAAGGATCATTAGGCGCGAGTGATCATGCTCTTCTGAAGTTTACTATACAGCGGAAAGGAGCAGCTAAGTATACTAGGACTCAATTTCTTGACTTTAAGAAAGCCGACTTCATAAAACTTAGGGAAGTGCTGGGTGAGATCCCATGGACAGTAATACTAAAAGGAAAGGGAGTTCATGATGGCTGGGAGTTTGTTAAGAGGGAGATAGTAAAAGCACAACTTCAGGCAATACCAATGAGACGGAAACATGGAAGGTGCCTAAAGAAGCCAGGGTGGCTATCTAAAGAACTTTTAACTGAGTTAAGATTAAAAAGGATGTGTACAAAAATGGAAAAGGGGGAAACCACCAAAGAGGAATTCAAACAAATAGCCAGCACGTGTAGACACAAAATCAGAAAAGCTAAAGCACAGAAGGAACTCAGGCTTGCTAGAGAGGTTAAAAGCAACAAAAAAGGCTTTTATGGGTATGTTCGTAGCAAAAGGAAGAACAAAGAAACAGTGGGGTCACTCAGAGGAGAAGATGGTGAAATGCAAACAGGGGACACAGAAAGGGCTGAACTCCTCAATGCCTTCTTTGCCTCAGTCTTCTCCGATAAAGAAAACAGTGCCCGACCTGAAGAATTTGGAGCAAATGATTCAGCAGAGAATCAGCAGAGGAAACACAGCCCAGAATAACTAAGGAGATAGTACAAGAATACTTGGCTAGTTTAGATGTATTCAAGTCTCCAGGGCCAGATGAACTGCATCCAAGAGTATTAAAAGAACTGGCAGATGTGATCTCAGAACCACTGGCAGTCATCTTTGAGAATTCCTGGAGAACAGGCGAAGTCCCGGCAGACTGGAGGAGGGCAAATGTTGTCCCTATTTTCAAAAAGGGGAATAGAGAGGACCCAAATAATTACCGCCCAGTCAGTCTGACATCAATACCAGGGAAGATTCTGGAGCAGATCATTAAGCAAACAGTCTGTGAGCACCTAGAAAGGAATGCTGTGATCACCAATAGTCAGCATGGATTTCTGAAAAATAAGTCATGTCAGACTAATCTCGTTTTTTGACAGAATTACAAGCCTGGTAGATGAAGGGAACGCAGTGGATGTAGCCTACCTTGATTTCAGCAAGGCATTTGACAAGGTGCCCCATGATATTCTTGTAAAGAAGCTGGTAAAATGCGGTCTTGACTATGCTACCACTCAGTGGATTTGTAACTGGCTGACTGACCGAACCCAAAGGGTGCTCATCAATGGTTCCTCTTCATCCTGGAGAAGAGTGACTAGTGGGGTGCCACAGGGTTCTGTCTTGGGCCCGGTCTTATTCAACATCTTTATCAACGACTTGGATGATGGACTCAAGGGCATCCTGATCAAATCTGCAGATGACACCAAACTGGGAGGGGTGGCTAACACCCCAGAGGACAGGATCACACTTCAAAACGGCCTTGACAGATTAGAGAACTGGGCAAAAACAAATAAGATGAATTTTAACAGGGAGAAATGTAAAGTATTGCACTTGGGCAAAAAAATTAGAGGCAGTACATGTGAAAAGGATCTAGGAGTCTTGGTTGACCACAAACTTGACATGAGCCAACGCGGCAGCTAAAAAAGCCAATGCAATTCTGGGCTGCATCAATAGGAGTATAGCATCTAGATCAAGGGAAGTAATAGTGCCACTGTATTCTGCTCTGGTCAGACCTCACCTGGAGTACTGTGTCCAGTTCTGGGCACCACAGTTCAAGAAGGACACTGACAAACTGGAACGTGTCCAGAGGAGGGCAACCAAAATGGTCAAAGGCCTGGAAACGATGCCTTATGAGGAACGGCTAAGGGAGCTGGGCATGTTAGCCTGGAGAAGAGGAGGTTAAGGGGTGATATGATAGCCATGTTCAAATATATAAAAGGATGTCACATAGAGGAGGGAGAAAGGTTGTTTTCTGCTGCTCCAGAGAAGCGGACATGGAGCAATGGATCCAAACTACAAGAAAGAAGATTCCACCTAAACATTAGGAAGAACTTCCTGACAGTAAGAGCTGTTCGACAGTGGAATTTGCTGCCAAGGAGTGTGGTGGAGTCTCCTTCTTTGGAGGTCTTTAAGCAGAGGCTTGACAACCATATGTCAGGAGTGCTCTGATGGTGTTTCCTGCTTGGCAGGGGGTTGGACTCGATGGCCCTTGTGGTCTCTTCCAACTCTATGATTCTATGATTCTACGATTTGAGTTAGCAGTCAAAAAAGAAAACAATTCGCAACCGCTTTTAAATACTGAAATGCGTTTAGAGTCAGGATGGGAGTAGCAAATCTAAGATTAGGTACCCCATCTTTGCCTTTGTATAACCATATTTTAAAATGCTTTCTATTCTCAAGGCCCAGATGGTTTGCGTAATCACAGATCAAGGCTTCCAGAAACTACGCTTTATATAGGAGGAGCAACTGCGCCAGTAGAGGGCACTAGTGAAGCTGCTTACCTGTGGAGACCTGCACCAAGGAATCCTCCTCCATGGTACCACAGGTGCTGCTATGTAGGAGAAATTGGCTGGGGAGTTGGAGAGTTTCATTCTCTCGCCCAGAAAAACGGCCAGCAGTTAATGGTAACTAAACTCTTTATTATTTCAGAATGCCCTCTTATGCTGGAGTAGCTGAGGGATAGCTGGGACAGTGCCCTCCAGATGTTTTGGACGGCAGCTTCCATTATCTCTGATCAGTGGCAATGCTGCTGATGGGAGTTTCAGTCCACAACTGCAAGGCACCTCATTGGCTACTCCTGGAGCAGCGTCTAGAGACTTATGCTGCATAATTGTAGTGCTTTAGCTAAACAGGTTTCCTTATGACTAAACAACACGGTGATGTTTCTACACAAAAAGACCACGCACAATCATTACTATGATGGGCAAAATAAATCAGCCTGATGTGACAGTTCATCAGTATTGCTAAAGCTTGTGTGTAAAGTATATCATCCACCCAGCCTCACCCAGCATTAGTTCAGTGGAAGATGCTGCCGTGTAACATTAAGCATGATGTCAGGATATTGTGGGGTGGGAGCCCCCCTCCCAGTCACCCATAGACCAAGTTTAACCAGTAGGCAGGGCTGCCTTCCTGTCAGCCACCTGGTGTCACATTGACACCAGGCTACCAATTTTCCTATGTCGAAATCAAATTGTGCCAGCAAAAGCATAACACTTTGCAAGCACTGACGACCACCAAGGTATCCTGAATCCCTGGCCTACCTGGCAGCAAGTCAGTATATCAAGTCCCAAATCCGGGATCAATCCATGTGTCCAAAGTCCCATAGAGATCCTGGAGTATTGAAGCTAACAACCAACAACATGGGCAGGTGCAACACTTCAGCTCTGCTTCCCCCTTTTGTACTTTGCATGCTGATTACATCATCTGGGCTTGCTGAGGCATGTGACCCCCACCTGTTCCTAGCCTACTCCAGCTGAGGCCTCACAGACCTCCTCCCAGAGCTAGCAAGCCTTACCTGGCCAGTTAGTAAGCTAAGCTGTGGGCCCTTGCCTGCCTCAGACTTCCTGCCTGCTGCTCCTCCCTACGCCTCAGAGTCTGTTCATGGAGAGTGAACATATGTTCTGGCTCTGGTGATGAGTCCTGCTGCTCTGGTTCCTGTGCAATGACCCCCAACCTCTTGCCATCCTCCGTCACCCTGTGAGTATTTCCTTCGCCATCCTCTGCTTGCTCTGGTGTGTCCCAGTCCTGGCTACACCCCTCGCCGGGATCCTCTTCCTCCTCCCCGTTGTCCTGCCAGTTCATGACACAAGGCTGCTTGCAAAGATGCAGGGCTTTGCTGGCACTGTGGATCTGCCTGCCAAACCCACTTTTGGCCCAACCACATCTTTACCTCCCCATTATCTGACATCATATATGGCATTGGGTATATGGCAGGATTGCCTGGTTTTCCTGAAATGGCCTCGCAAACCAAATCGGAAGGTCAGGCAGGTCAAGTTATGGCTGTGGACTGGAGGTTCCCCTTTGCCAGGATATACAACAGGGAGCAAACACTTTTTAAAATGTAGGCTGCAATCATACAACCATTTACCTGGGAGCAACTCAATGAGGCTTACTTCCAAGTAGACATGTATATTGCACAGTCAGCCCATATCAGCTGAAAGTATAGTTGAAATGCATAAATTTAAAATTAGGCAGAATTTCAGAATTCCAATTCACTATGGTGGATTTCAACCCTTTTCAAATTCTAGTTTTGCTTTCTTTCTTTCTTTTTAATGAATAAGAACAATGAAAAATAATAAAACCCTCAGAATTAGGAAAATATCATTTGAAGTTTGCAAGAAACTTCTGGAAGAAATAGCATTGAAAATGTTTCTATGCCAAATGCTGTCCTATCTTGAAGGCTTTTTAGGGTTTATTCCCTCAGCCTAATGCTGCTACAGCATAATTACTGCAGGATGGCAAGAAAACTTGGCATAGCCATCACCGAATGTGTTAGGACATTGCAAAAAAAAAATGGAATGGGTAGGGTAGGTGGATTCTGTTACTGAAAAAGCAATCTGATACATGCTTGTTAATCTAGATAATATCTAGAAATTGTCTAGCAGACATGTACTATTCCCAACAATTTCCACTGTATTGAGTGGTACTGGACACAATCCTCAAAAAAAATGATAAGCTTAGAAGCATGCCCTTAAGATACAATGGCTACTCTGCGATAATTCCAATAAGAGAATTAATTTCATGGGCGACTGTCTCTAACATAGGAAGCTGCCTTAACTCCAAATCAGATAGATAGATAGAAAGATAGATGATAGATAGATGTCCTGCTATCTTTTCAACCAAATTCTTCTTCCAGTTTTGAAGCTGCTAGCAGAAAAAATTAAAGAAATGCCTAAGAGATGATAACTGTATTTATGGACTTAAAATTGATGAGAATTTGATGGCATCAGCATGGTTTTAAAAGAGAGAGAGATTGTGAATTAAAATGTAGATTGTTTTTATTCAATGATCCATATTTTGTCATAATTCTTGCATAGCTCTGCAATGCCCTGTTCCTCATAACTCAAGATAAAAAAACCATTGATCACTTCTATGTAAATTTCACATGGGTCAACATTGTTAAAGAAGGATGCAGCTTAGAGACTGGGAACCTGTGGTTCAGCAGATGTGGCTGTACTCCAAAACCAGTCAATCCCAGACAACATGGCCACTAGGGATGATGGGTGTCCAACAGCCTATGGAGGACCATAAGTTCCCCACTCCTGGTTTAAGCACAACAGCCAAAGCCATGACACAAAACCAATATCAGAAATGGCAGGATAGGAGGTGTATAACCCTCCCAATATTACCGAACTACAAATCCCATCATCCCTAGCATGCTTGCTGAGGCTAGTGGGGTTTGGAGTTCCACAACATCTGGAGGGCCACAGGTTCCTGGTCTATAACCCTACAAAAAGGGCAGGGTTTATGGCCCTTTCTCTCATACCCTGGGAATCCTGTGTACCACAGGTGCCCATGGCATACTCTGCAACTAGAATCTTTATATTGATCCCCAATTAACCATGGGTCCCTGTGATATGTACACAATATATGTACTCAGGCAGATTTGTTTCAATCTTGATTGCTATGTAACGAATCTGCAAATATCAGAATATTGAAAGTGCCCCCCTCCCATAGCCACTCTACTAAGTGGCTTAGTAGAGTGTAAACATGCATTGTAAGCATAATACTTTGTTTCTTTTTGACAGCATGAACGATTTCCTCCAGCTGAAGAGTTTGAAATAGTGGCTCGATACAGAAATCCCAGGTAGGGTTATTTGAAGGCTGCTATGGGGTTTTGTTTTTTATTTTTAAATTGCTCTATAAAAATTTCTTTTTACTCTCCTGTACGGACTAACCTACTGTAGAAGTGATGGGCAAGATATAAGTAGTACTGTCCATATTATCCACTTTGAATGGAATAGCTTTAATAATTACATCTTGTTATGACTCAATGATGCTAAGTGGCCTTCCAATATGATGACAATATCTGCAAGTAGGAAGGGCTTTACAATTAATGTTATGCTGAGCAGCTTAAATTACAGTTGGCTAGAAAGAATTCAGCAAATGCTGCCCACATGAAACACTCTGTGTATATTAACCAGATGAGAACAGAGATACTTGCCTTCTCGGTTTTCCAGTTTGGCTGCCCACTGTCAAGGCTTAAATATGTTCATGTGCTCAGCTGTGTTGCAGGGGAGAGGAAGGAGACAGATGCCAAGTGCCATTTATTTTGGTGCCAAAACAAGGCCAAGATCATCACCAGCAACCATAGTCCTTTCCTATGGAGAAATTAAATATTGCTCAGAGCTCCATCTCAAATCACCTGGGGGAAAAATGAATCCTTTTCTCATAAAACCAAGTAGTCAACACTCTGATCTGGTGCCTCCACCCCTCTTTCCCAACTCATTTGAAGTTAAGCAATTACCTGACTCCCCTAAACTCCAAAGGACATGTATAGGTTCCATACTTGTTTATGCTTTAATTCCTCCTGGAGTAGCAGTCAATCATAAACACACACATACACATAACCAAATACATTTTCATATCTGAAGCAGGATGGCAAATATATTAATATTATTCACAATGAGACTATGCACCAGCTCTGGCTGCAATACAGTGGTGCCCCGCAAGACGAATGCCTCGCAAGACGGAAAACTCGCTAGACGAAAGGGTTTTCCGTTTTTTGAGCTGCTTCGCAAGACGAATTTCCCTATGGGCTTGCTTCGCAAGAAGAAAACGTCTTGCAAGTTTGTTTCCTTTTTCTTAACACCGTTAATACAGTTGCGACTTGACTTCGAGGAGCAACTCATAGAACGCAGTGTACATAGTAGCCTTTTTTGAGGTTTTTAAAGACTTTGGTGATTTTTGAAGCTTTTCCAAAACTTCTTTGCAGCCATTTGGTAAGTTAAGCTTTTAAAACTACTTTGGGGGGTTTGGGATTTTGGGTTGGGGTGTTTGGAATTCAAGGACTTGGTGTTGGGGAGGGGTTTGCAAGAATCTGGAAGCTTGTGTGTTTTTTTCTGCATTTTTATGATTTTCTGTGACCATTGGGCAACTCTGCTGTTTTTTAAAAAATTCTGGATTTGAATTTCTGTGTGGTGGGTGGCTGGGAGAACAGTTGGGGAGGGGTTTGCAAGAATCTGGAAGCTTGTGGTTTTTTTCTGCATTTTTATGATTTTCTGTGACCATTGGGCAACTCTGCTGTTTTTTTAAAAAAAATTCTGGGTTTGAATTTTGAAATGCTCTTTACAGTATGTGTGACTTTAAAGAGCACTTAATAAACTCTTGTTGTACCAAATTTGGCTTTGTTTGGACTTTTTTTGACCATAGGAACGCATTAATTGATTTTCAATGCATTCCTATGGGATTTCGTGCTTCACAAGACGAAAAATTCGCTAGACGAAAAAATTCGCGGAACGAATTAATTTCGTCTTGCGAGGCACCACTGTAGTGTGAAGTTCATAAATCCTACTAAAGTGGAAGCAAAATTGTCTGCCGCACATTCCTCCTTCCTTGAGTACTGACTGAGTTCCAGGGCCAGTACTGCAGCAAATCTGCAGGTTGCATTTAGAACGACAACTTCTTACTTGCTTTGCTAAACTGCCAAGCATATTCTGGGTATATTAGAACATGCATACAATTGCTTCTGATACAAGATGACAGTAGCTCAGAAAGATTCCATGAGTGAGGCTGGGCCTCAGTGGAAGCAGGCATACCGCTGGGAGAACAACATGAGTCCTGACTGTGTGTCATACTTGCAAGCTTTGCTGGCTGCTGTTACTACACCAATTCGTTTGCATCTCCAGCAGTGGAAATTGCTGAAACAAATAAGAATCAGTGCTCTAATTGCGCGCGCACACACCCTTTCTTCTCTCAACATGCACATTTCCTCCCTAGATGGATCAGATAATAGCCAGTACCTGAGTTCAGACACCCTCCTGCCAATAATTTTGGATGGCATAGGAGTATGTGCATGCCTCTCTCCTCTGTCATATACGGAAGGTAATGGGGGTTCTTTATGTGGGTTGGGGTGATAGCTCAGAGCTGGTGTGGTGTAGTAGTTAGAGTGTCATAACAGGGAGAGTCGGATAAGTACTCTTCCTGTGACTCACTCCTTGTTGTGTCTGGGCTGTATAGTCTCATCTTAAAATCTTGGCTATATGTAACAGCAGCATCTCTGTGATTTTTTTTTTAAACTTAATATGATCCGTGTATGGTTCTGTTATTGTTTGCATGGTTATGTTTGTACAAATGTTGATCATAAATCAAATAAAAAAATTTTTTTTAAGTGTGTCAGTCAAGGACCTAGGAGACCAGGCTTCAAATCCCCACTCAGTTATGAAGTCTCAGTTGGCCAGACTCTGTCTCTCAGTGTAACCTACCTACCAGGGCTGCTCTGAGGATAAAAGGAGGAAATCCATGCATGCCACTTTGAGTTCCTTGGAGGAATGGTCAGATATTTTAAAAAAATGTAACAGGCAAACATGTTGCATGCAGGAGACCCCAAGGTTCTTTTTTCTGCAGCTAAAGTTAAAGGGCTTTTAGGTAGCTGGGGTGGATACAGAAAGGCTTCTGCTAGAGATGTTGGACAGCACATCAAACCAGACAATGCTGGTTAAAATGGAGCAAGGTTCTGACTTCACGAAAGGCACCTTCATGTTTGTGATTCTTTCTTTTCCAAGAAATAAAAATTAGGAGACAAGGGTCCACGAACTGGGACACTACACCGACTGCCTACTTGACAGGATGTGGGAGAGGGGAAGAGGTACCCATTTTACCACCTCACAGATTGGAATATGGGCAAAAACTTAGGAGCTCAGTTAAGTCCATGGCTAGTCTTAATACTAAAAGTCACAGTGGATTTAAAAGGTAGCTACAGAGATGCATACAATCAGTGAATGGAATGCTTCCCAGATTGAGATTCTGGCTTGGTACATAGTTTAAGATCCTGGCTAGTAAATTGACATTAAATCACAGTTGTCCATTTTGGGCATACTGGGGAAATGCAACTTAGGATAACTGGGATTGACACACCATTGAGGAAGGGAGTAGGTGAGTGAAACTCATTCCCCAATTCTAAGCTATGGTTTAATTAGCTGGGAAGCATACGTATGAGCAGAGCCAATGTTAATTAAATTAATATCTCAAAACAAAGCACAACCCTTTAGAAAAATAATGATGTTTATGCCAACAGCACAAAGCACTGATAACCATTTTCAGTGAAATGCTACTGAAGACACTTAGTCCTCAGTTCTATAATAAGCTGTGGGAAACATTTCTGGATGATCATATTCCCAGAAAATTAGCCTCCTCTATCATATACCCAACTTAAATGTGAGCTACAGCCTGCCTAGTTATTCTAAAATGTTTGGTATTGCAATGTATATGTATTTTAAAAGATAAATCAATGTAGTGGTCTAGTTATTGCTACTGAGTTGACAATTGCTATTTTTACATTAGCACAGCAGACATGGATCTTACACCTTTCCCCAGAGCTCCTAAAGCATTTGTTGCTTGCACTATGCTTTTGGCATTCACTATGAGGGAATTCCTATGCTCTCTTCAGACTGAAACCATGAAAACCAGCACTTCCTTTTTGAGGTTCAACTTCCTCAGAAAGCAACTAGTGACCATAACAGAGCATTAAAAAAACACAAACAAAAACAGCAAGTGAAAATACATATGCAGTAGTGGATTTCTGTGGAATGTTCCAGGGTACTGTGGAGCGTTCTGTGACTTTTCCAATAGAGTCACAGTAGTGATTCCTGTCTGGGACCCTCTTCGTATCTTGTTCCTCCTGATGTGTTTAATTGCGGGTTGCCTGTACCAAATGTTCATGCTCTGAGCCATGTTTTACCCATGACTTGGCGATCTGAGGGAAGAGGGGTGTAGCAATGCTCACCAAGTGCCAGAGACCAATGGCCAGCCCCTAAAGTATAAAACCGCCATGTGATAAATGTTTGTAAAATTTGTCTGCACAGTGGTACCTCGGAAGTTGAACAGAATCCATTCCAGAAGTCCGTTTGACTTCCAAAATGTTTGGAAACCAAGGCACGGCTTCCGATTGGCTGCAGGAAGCTCCTGCAGCCAATCAGAAGCTGCAGAAACACCGTCTGACATTTGGCTTCCAAATAATGTTCGCAAACTGGACCACTCACTTCTGGGTTTGTGGTGTTCAGGAGCCAAAGCGGGCAAGTACCAAGGCGTTTGACAACCAAGGTACCACTGTATATGGGTAGTTGCCTTTTTCCAAGGCAGACCTCTGGTTCATCTAGTTCCGTACAGTATTAACAACACGGTCTTGCAGCAGCACTCCAGGGTGTCAGCCAAGAGTCTTTCCCTCATCTTTTAACTGGTGATACTGGTGACTGAACCTGAGACGTTTTGCAAGCAAAGCGTGTGTTGTGTCACTGAACTATAGCCCCTCCCAGGCAGGTATGGGCTCATGCTCATCATTTTCTCCTCATTTTTTACACACATTGCTCAGCTGGACTGGAATCCTATTTCCGGCTCTTCTCCCACCAAAACCACAGTGTGTACATTTAAGGTCATATGTAATTCCCGAGCTTCTGGAAACTAAAGCTCATCAAGCCATGATGGGAAATGAAAGGCACATGCCTTTATCAAAACTAAGCATTCCTGTTGAAACACACAAGAGGAATACGTAGAGCGCGGGTGGTGACACACTTTTGCCCTTTTGAAAATAGCACACACCAGAAAGGAATGTAATCTGAACCAGTAGTTAAACTAGCACAGATGTTACTGGTAACATGTTAAATATATTATTACTACTACTATATTATTTCTGATCAAATGTGAAATTTAGTCCACTTCTGGATTCCCCACAAGACATAATATTTTCCTAGTTGGATTAGGTAAATTACGGAACTGAAGTCAAGTTCTGAATGTTTTTCAGCTGGCAACATGGCTATTTTTGTTACAGTCCTCACAGAGAGAGAACTCCACAACAGTTTCTCACACCCATATAGTATTTGTTCATATTTCAATTGACATATCTTATGACTGACTTCTCAGTTTGTGTTTCAGTTCTTGTTAGCTCCACTCTTGGGCTGCTGTTACACTTTACTTTCTTTTTTTGCAGTTTCTACCATCCCTTTGTTGTTTTTGTTAGGGAATACTTTGTGTATTCCACAGAGTGAGCAAGTCAGGTGGGTGGGATGGGATTTCCCTTTCCAAGTAATTCATTTTAAGGACAAAAGATATCAGCTGTTTGTTTTTACTTCCCATTGAGTTTGCCAATTCATCTTTTCAAAACAAAGCTTTTTTTCAAACTATAATATGTATACATCTCTTATAACTACTGTTCCTTTGTGTAACCTGAGTGCAAGTACACATGCAGTTTCCGTGTTTGCAGAGGTTGTTCTACAAGGTTGGGAGAAAAGGCTATATTCAGACCATGGGGTTTTGATGCCACTTTGCACTTCATGAATTACCAAGAGTTCTCAATTTGTCTAGATTTGGTTTCTGAACTTGGGTCACATCCCACACTTAAAGCACAGGGGCTCCCCGCACCCAAGAATCATGGAAACATTAGTTTACCCCTCACAGAGATACAGCACCCTTAACAAACTACAGTTCCCAGGATTTTTGGGGAGGAAGCTACTTGTTTGGATGTGTACCTGGCCAGTCTGCATGTGGCAGGATAAGAGTCAGGGCAAGAGTCTCTATAACCATGTTAGAATTCTTCTCATGCATTCACCCTCTTTTCTGTAGGGAACAGCAGGTTTAAGGGAGGGTATGGGGCTGCATGGGCTGGCTCACCCTCCAGACACTGAAATGCACAGGTGGGCAGCATGGGCAAAGCCAGGATTTTTGTAAGGCACAGCAGGCTTTTGTTAGGGTAGGGGGGCATAACCCTGGTTAGGTAAAGATAAAGGGACCCCTGACCATTAGGTCCAGTCGTGACCGACTCTGGGGTTGCGGCACTCAACTTGCTTTATTGGCCGAGGGAGCCGGTGTACAGCTTCCAGGTCATGTGGCCAGCATGACTAAGCCGCTTCTGGCGAACCAGAGCAGCGCATGGAAATGTCATTTACCTTCCCGCCGGAGTGGTACCTATTTATCTACTTGCACTTTGACGTGCTTTCGAACTGCTAGGTTGGCAGGAGCAAGGACCGAGCAACGGGAGCTCACCCCGTCGCGGGGATTCAAACCACCGACCATCTGATCGGCAAGTCCTAGGCTCTGTGGTTTAACCCACAGCGCCACCCGCGTCCCTAACCTTGGTTAGTTAAGTATTTTTATGGATTTTTTTTATTGATTTAGAGGGGCAGCTGCCCACCTCCTTGGCTATGCCCATGGTGGGCAGCTTGAGAAAGGGCTCTCCACAAAACTGATGTACACAGGTAGAACTCCTCCACTGGAGGGCAGGGATCCTGATTGGTCCAGAGTCTCTCCCTGTCTAGAGAGCCCTTTTCCATGTCATCTGAATGTATGGAAGGCATGGCCATGACAGACACCAGCAGTGCAGGTGGGGCTAGCCTGTGCAATCTCATGGCCTCTCCTATCTTGTGTGTGTGTATGTGCCATGTAAGCTTTATTTGAGTGAAGAGGGAAATGCTCTATTTACAACAGGTGGAGTATGTGAAAGTAGCACTTCCTGACATTTCTGGGCTGAAGATTCTCTGCTTCAAATTCTAACAGCATGCAGATGAGATAAACATGTGTTGCACTGCATTTACTGTGGCCATGCTGCCCTGTTGGTAGAGTAGGTTTCATCTCCTCCAGCTTTGATCAGACAGAAGTCACTAACATTTAAAAAATGCTATGAAAAAAGGTAGATAAACCAGAGGAGAGCTAAGAATAACTGACATTTCTCTTATCCATTTTTGTTTCTTTTCAAGAACTAGATCTCTCTCTCTCTCTCTCTCTCTCTCTCTCTCTCTCTCTCACACACACACACACACACACTTTGTAGTTGTGCATATGTCTTCATTTGCATAGGCACACTGCAAATGAGGGGATTACCATTTGTAAGAAATACTGCATTATTTTTTCCCAGTACTTTTTATGTTTTGCCTGTCCACTTCTGGCATGGTACTGATCACCAGATCAGGAATGACCACAGAGCCCGTTCAAGTGAAAATACACAAATGCACTGAGCAAAGATCCCATACAGTGGTACCTCAGGTTACAAACACTTCAGGTTACAAACTCTGCTAACCCGGGAGTAGTACCTCGGGTTGAGAATTTTACCTCAGGATGAGAACGGAAATCTCACAGTAGCGGTGCGGTGGCAGCCAGAGGTCCCATTAGCAAAAGCATGCCTCTAGTTAAGAACAGTTTCAGGTTAAGAACGGACCTCCGGAACGAATTAAGTTTGTAACCCGAGGTACCACTGTACCTACTTCACAACCTTATGTTAACAGCATGGGATTATTTTAAACTTTCCTGCTTCTTGGGCAGTTCAAAGTGAATTAAATTGCAGTGCTATTTTTAGAACCATGCTTACATCTTCACTATGAAATAATTTGGGTTTACTATTGCCAACAGGCTATAAGCAGGCTGAGGAACTGAATCCAATAGGCTGGATCCTTAATTCCTCCATCCCAGCAGGTCCATTTTGACAAAGTGGGCAGCCCTGCCCTCCTCCCAAAGTTAAAAGGGGCTTGCTCTCTATAGCCAATCAGCAGGTACAGCAAACCACGTTGAAACTCATCTGCAGGCGCAGTTTGGATTGATTTATCTCCTCTGCACATACTGCCTGCTTGAGATCCCACAACCTGAAGGCGGACCTCTTTCCATAGAAGCCTACTAGGCAATAAGAGAGGGGGGCTTTTCAGCAATGCCCCCCCCACCTGAGGAATGCTCTCCCCAAGGAGGCCTGCTTGGTGTCCACTATACACACTTTTTTGTGCCACCTTTTATTCCAGGCCTTTTAGTAACTGTCCGCATTTTAAACCATGGGTAGTCAAACTAAGGCCCGGGGGCCAGATCCAGCCCAATCGCCTTCTAAATACGGCCCACGGATGATTCTGGATTCAGTATGTTTTTACATGAGTAGAATGTGTCCTTTTATTTAAAATGCATCTCTGAGTTATTTGTGGGGCATAGGAATTCGTTCATTCCCCCCCGCCACAAAAAAATATAGTCCAGTCCCCCACAAGGTCTGAGGGTCAGTGGATCGGCCCCCTGCTGAAAAGGTTTGCTGACCGCTGTAATTTAAACAATCTTAGAATCTTTTATCAACCATTATTTTAATATTGTTCACTGGGAATGTTTTATCTGAGGAGGATTTTTATTTACGCATGCGTCTATGCTTGCAAGATAGATTCTGTTGTTAATTGTTGACTTGTGTAGTTTAGTCATGTTTTAGATTTGGTACAATACTTGTTATATTGTATGCTGTTTATTGGTTTTAAACTAAGTCACTTACAGGCTTTTCTCCATGGGCAACCCAAATTTGGTAAACAGCAGCAGTTCATTATATATATATTAATATGGCAGATGGTATTCGTGAGCAATGCATGCAATTAAGCAAATCTTTGAAGAGAACTGATTGCAGCAATTTATTTATTAAATTTATATCCCACCATCCCTCCCAAAGGATCCCATGGCGAAATGTTGAAGTAGTGTTTTGTTTTGTTTTTAAAAAGAAATTCTTCTAACTCCTGCAAGTCTTTGAGTTCTTAAACTGTGCTGTGACACATTGAGACTGACTGGGTGGAGAAATTTGTTGTTTTGCTTCCTGCATGTATGGATAACCAGATGGATGAGGGTTGGGTGTTGTTGTTAGGCTGTTGTTTTTTGGCATTCTGCTAAACAGAGTGGCATGTGATGTGTTACTCCATCTTTCAATGTGTGAACTTTTCATCCACATTAATTCATTATTGTAAAATTGCTATCAGAATGTGTTACTGCATTTCATGTTTTGAACAGCTTAAGAAGAGGCTATGAGACAAATAGAACGTTCTGTTTTCCTTCTGCAAATGGGCTGAATAGTACACGTAGTACACTCCCATTTAGAAGCACATTTAGGGCCAGATTTGTACCTTCCCTTTCATCACTCACTGAGATTGAAATCTTGCACATAGGCTTCTTTACTACAGACAGGCTTCAAAGTGTGGGCAGTGCCTGGCAATATGCCCAGTGCCCAATGCTGAAGATGGGATTCCACACCTGACCAATCACATGAAGCTGTTGATGGTTTGCACTTAAATCAGGATTGAAAACCAGGATCAGACTGCAGTATGCAATCCTGGTTTGAGCAGAACCATGGCTTCTGCTAACCACGATCAGAAGCATTCGATCTCAAAATGAGCAAACACAAAAGCTTGAAGTTCATGCTTGCTTGGAATGCCAAAAACAAAACAAAACATGGTTTGGTTTACATCTGAATAGCTCCAGGGTCAAATGACACGTGGTACTGAATAGGTGGCTTTAAAAGGAAAACTGCAAATAGAAGCAAGAGCTGAGAGCATGAAGGAGGGGGGGCGTAACACTTTCCCTCACATCTCAGACCTACCAGCTATAAGCCCCTACATCCAGGTGCTCTTGAACGTTTCATGGTGGAAGGGAGTTTATATTTATCATGGGAGGAAAGCTTTGATGGGCGATTTTTCAGTGGGACTGCGGTGGGCAAAGGAGGATTAATTCGCACTTCTCATACACCACAGTCCTGATCATGCTCCTGTGCCTATAGTAAAATTAATTGCCGTAGTTTAACAAGCAAATAGTGTGCCCTTCTGCCCTTCAACATTGTTTCCATTTCATGGAATACCTACACAGGTAAGTGCTTTTCAAAGGCATCAACCTTTGTCGCCTTTCATGTTCCCAAAAGCCGCCAAAAGAGCAAAGCTGCTCTAAAGTTACAAAAGATGGCGATTAATTGTCACAGACTACAGTGCTAACAGCATTGATGTAATTAAGGTAAAATAGAAAAGAACTATGGTGTTTGTTAACAATAAAAAACAGCTGCCTTTGCTACTTCCGTAACACTGGCAGAACTTTTTGTTTCATTTTGTAACACACACACACACACACACACACACACACACACACACTTCCTACAGCACTATAAAAGGCTACAAAACAGGCAGGAAATTGAAACATTCAGAGGAATGTCCTCAGGAAATACGATTGCTGTGAATATGTTAACACAGCCACTTAATATAGGCCTATCTTAAAAAGTTTTTTTGCGATAATTACTATTTACCTCCCTTTGCATGTGCATTATGGAGATATCCCAACTCCACCAGTGGCAAGGACAGTACAGGAATGTCTCCATGCTGCATTTATTAGTCATGTAAACACAGAGTAGCTATTTTCAGTTTCCCCTGGCAGAACAAGCCACCTGGAGTTTATAGGAATCATTAATGCTGTTAGTAGAACATCAGTAGTAATTAAAGTCCTTTCCAAGCAGGACTTAGCAATAAATATGAAGTTTTTTTTATCTCCCAACCCTTGTAATGCCAGAACCAGATAATGAAATATGCAAGCGTAACAGTTGTGATTATCTACTTCTATTGCAGCGAGTTAAGGAGCAGCAATGAAGAAAAATGAAAAGCAGTTGCCAGTCCATTAACTTCTCTGACCATGACAGGATTTTTACCTAGGAGTCCCTGGTGCACAGGCCTTATTTCCCCCACCCAACCCCCAACCCTTTTGGGAAGCTGCTTTGAAGAGGAAAATAGGATTTGCTTAGGTTGCATTACCTCAGAGTAATTTGAAGCCCAGCTGGAATCTGTAAGTAGCAATCAGCATTGTGCCTGTGACATCACCATGGCACTGAGACATCCCTTCTCTACAAACAACCGCCCACCCCAGTCTAGGGCAGTGTAAATGTCATTTGTCAGCGTAGGAAGTCATTAACACAGACACACGCCACAAAAGTGCAACCTTAGCTTTTGCAGACGATCCGCACCTGAGTGCAAGGTCGGGCTTCTCAGATGCAAAGAAAAATAAAATGCATACACAGAATGCCAATCCCCACCCCTAATAAGTCCCATTAAACATCTCGTTAAATGATAATTAACTTTAGTCAGGATCATACTGGGGCATGGTGTGCTCTCCCTTCATTCCCCTCCTTCAGAAGTAGGACGAAGATTAGCTGCAGGAGATAAATGTCTTCAATATACACCCCACTTATACATGGCTTATTTTTAATACCTAACAAGCCTCGGAAAGCTATAAGTCCCCCAAACCTTCGCTAGTATTTTGCTCTGAAGATTCACCAGTTGGATTTAAGGCAAATGAGAGTCAGTTTCTACAGCCACCAATAATTATTTCTTACCATGTCCTGAGGGGTTATTACCTCATGCTCTTTCCTACATATAATGTTCACCAGGGCTGGCCCAAGACGTTTTGGCACCTGAGGCGAACCACAAAATGACATTTCCTCCCCTTAGCAGGGAAGAAAGGGTGAGTGAAGAGCAATATCAGGAACGGGAAGGAACAAAGATCTACACCAGGAACAAGGGTGGGAACAAGAGACCAGTAGCGCCTCCTATTTGCTAAGAGGCCGCTGTGGCAGCATCGGCCTTGTGGGGGTCAGATCTGGCTTCTAAGGAGAATGCTGCAGCTGTTGTTGCCACTGCGGCAGCAGCTGGTGCCACATTCCTTGGAGGCCGGATCTGCGGCCTGTGGATTCAGCCCCCTGAGACGGTCACCTCACCTTGCCTCAGGCATGGGCCAGCCCTGATCTTCACATTACGTTTACTTCAAATGTGTAGTGGTGGTTTCTTTCTTTGTTTTTGTTTAAAAAGCAAATAGTATATGCAGGGAGGGGGTTTGATAATTATGGAGATTGGAGCAGATGAGTAAAGGAAATTTAATTTTTTTGTCCCTTGCTGCAGTCATGAGGAAAATCCTCCTTTGAAGCTGATATTTGTGAGGGTAGGGGAGGACAGAACCCCTCATTGCTCAGTATTCACATTCCATCCAAAGGATTATTTATTGTTGTTGCTGTTTATTAAATTTGTATACTGTATATTTAATTTGTTTATTAAATTTGTATACTGCCCTATTACCATAGATCTCAGGGTGGTTAACAACATAAAATAAAAATATAAAAAGATGAAATACATAATAAAAACAAAGACAACCCAAAAAACTGCATGAAATAGTGACTCCATCCCTGGTTTAAATAGCTTTTATTACCCCATTCAACAACTATTTTTTTCTAGTGTGTATTACAATTCATCCCAAATAATAACCATAGTTCAATGGTGATGAAAATGTTAGGCTGTAACAGCTTTTAACCAGGGGGAGTTTTTACATTTCCTCATGAGGACTTCTATATCAGCATATGTACAACTTCATAATAGGTAACTAATATACCTATTTACAGTCATAAATCTACAATTCTGTTTGTGAAATTATCTGTCACACATTCAAGTCCAAGTATTATAGGGGCTTGCACCAAAAAACTTATTGGAAAAGGTGAGTTTTGAGGAGGGGTTTTTAGGAAGGAAGAGCAGTCAGCTCAAAGAGGTATTCTAGGAGACAGTTCCTGACTTAACAGTAGGAGAGAATGCATGGAGTCATTTCAGGCCCAGGCAAAGGTTTCAGCACCTGAGAATCATAAAGGCATGCTTCTAGTCTTTAAAACTGGAAATGTACCCCTGAAAGTGAGTGAAGCCAAGTTAAAATTTCTTAAGAAATAAAGGAGTGAAGTACAGCAGAAACTGAATGCCGGAAATAGACACAAACCTCCTTAATTTACATAAATGTCTACACGTTGCAAATTTTCGTTTTTTCTTGGCACATTGTAAAGTGCAGGATGCGCATATTGATAATGAGCAGAACTGTCTGGAACAGAGGGTATCAGTTGTGGGCACCTTCCATGCTATCAGTATTACCTTCCTTAATAATAAAGAGTGCGGTCAAAATTTACCACATGCTTTGATTGAAATTGGGTAGGGCCACTGCTGTGCTTTGGCCCTTGCGGGAAGGCAGTTCCAGTCCCTCGAGTCAGTCAGCAGGCCATCCCTGGAATAGACACAGAGGTCTTTTAATAACTGGAGATCTTGTAACAATAGACGTAATGGACAAGAAGTATATTGCTCCATAGCCCTAACACCATAGCATTGCATCCCATAGCACAAATACAATATAAACATCGTACAGGCCTAGAGGAACATTTCCACTGAATTTACTTCATGAAGTGGCTAAAAGAGAGTGCCATTATGCCATTAGACCAGTTTGTTAGCTAGCGGGACTATTCCGAAAAGGCAGAATTAGTGCTTTTGTTCTTTATTATGGGGTTTTAAGAATGTGACCCTAGGACACTCTTCAAACCTTTTACAGTTCCCACAGCCTTCTTTGAAGGCATGTATGTAAGCTAAAACTAATTCTCTCAGGGAATATTCTTGAACACTAGTATTTCTCATTAGGGTCAGGGATGGCAAGAGGCCTGTTTGGGACAGAATATGTGAACCTTCAGCTTTAACCTGGTATAATATGCCAAATGTTTGGGAGACATTCTCACACACTTCTGGCCTCTTTCCGCTCATCTGTGACATGATCTGATGTGCTGGCTTTCCACTGCTTCGAAATGGAGGGTGGGAAGGTTTTTATCACCCCAAGTCCATTGCTACCAGGCAGCACTGCTGTTAATGGCATCTAAAAGGAAAACAATTTACACTAGGCAGTGGTTTGAATTGGTGAGATTTCTGTCCCCCGACAGTACTCAGTTTGTGTGGTGAGAATTGGAATTCATTTTTAAAAGGTGAGGCAAACTTGACAGGGCAAATGTTAAAAGAGGCATTAAGGAATAAAACCACCCTCCCTTGACCCAGATGTCAACATTGTACCATGCAGTTTCAGTATCTATATTTTTATTTAACTATATTTTCTACCCAGCAGCATTGTACCATGTCAAAAGGTTTCTAGCATGTTCATCATTTTTTCTGAATTGTAGTTTGAGGATGTATCCTGCCCCTGATCCACAATACTTGGGTTGGGCAGACGACCCAAACTATCATCCTCCTATGATGACCTTGGATGGATCAGAAACATCACCTCATCAAATGGAGGTAGGGTTGGTTACAGGTTTCTTCTCTTATCATATAGGGAGTTCTACAAGTAGCACAAATGCCTAAAACCATTCAATTAAAAATAACCAGATGGAGGTCAAGGGATGCATCACAACAAGATCTGAAATCAACCAGACTTACTCCTGTGTAAATATGCATAGGACTCCACTATTGTTGTTGTTGGCATCCTTCTTGTCTCAAGAGACAATGGAGTGAACCTCCAGGGGTGAAGTCAAACCGCTGTATTAGCAGCACCAAAGTGATCTCCCCAGGGCACAAGCCTGGGCAGCGTGTATGGAGGTGCTGGACTGCCCAGACAACAAGACCCCCTCACTATCCAAAGAAAAGTAGAGCAATATGTTTGGCATCAGCTTGGCTGCAGCAGTTGCCACAAGGAGGCATAAAAGGCGCCATTCAACAGTCTTAGGGACTCCACTCCCACAAGTGTCACATTTAAATGCATCCTGCTTAAATTAGTTACTATATTACAGGTCTGCCTGTTTATTCTTGGTACAGGAACTTCTTGTTAGCGTCAGCATAGAGGACTCCCCCCGTCTAAAGGACTTTTGGCAGATTGTTGTAACACTGAATACAAGAAATCCAATTTAGCTGAGATTACATTTATTTTTAAAGACTTGACAGGCAGTCTCTCCTAAGCTTCCTTGTACTGTCTTGACCTTGATGAATTCCTGGCTGTATGCAATTCATTACCTTCAGCTAGCTCTTATAAGACCACTTCCTCAGTCCTGAGACTCAGCAAGAGAGACAAGTGCCTATGACTTGACATGTTTTACAGGGTAGTTTGCCAGCATGCAGATTACCAACATGTGGTAATTAAGCTAATTTTGTGTGGTACTAGAAGTAGGTCAATGCTTTGTACTTTGCATGCTTGCCAATCCAATCAGCCATCAGGCCCTCCCCCACCAACACACACAACCATTCCATTTTGCATATTTTAGTTCCACTCAGTCAATCTTCTTTCATGGATAAAAGTAAACACGCATTAATAGCTAAAAACCTGATCCCACTCAACAACCTGATCCCTCTTTTATTTATTTATTTGAATTTCTGAGCTTAAACTGTAATTCTTGCAAGTAGTTGCTTTTATGTGAACTAAGACTGACAATCAGGACATTTCTATTTTGATTGTCTCTCGCTGCGTTTAAAATAACCTCGTGTTTGAAAAGCAAGTAAGGGGTCATTGCATAAATTAGATTTATTTATTTTTAAATGGTACTCATCAAAGCTTAGAGGATTTTAATGTTTAAACCACTATTTTATCTACCCACCATAATTTTGTTTTTGAATTTTGCTTTAAAGAAAAACAACAACGCTCACTTGGCAAATGGCCATAGTACATGCTGCTGTAGGTGATCACAGAGAGTTCTCTTGCAAGGTTGTATTAAACTGCATTCTCAGAATAAGTCATGCAACGGATGGTGACCGATAAAAGATGTGGCAGAATGTTTGCCCCAAGAAAAATCCAAACAATTTAGTAAGAAGGCCACATGTAGTTATGCACCTGGATACCTGTGTGAACACCATGATTTTTTCAGATTAAAATGTCTGAGAGCTGGGCACGTTCAAAACTACATGGTACAACCCTTTTTAGACTGTACCACTTAAACTTTGGAGGTAGGGATTTAAATGTCACACACACAAACACAAAAAATAGCATTCCACATAGAAGAAGAACAAAGCAGTGAGAAGGCTATGTGATAATTTGTATTATTGAGTTGTTATTATTTTGATTATGTATTTTGTGGTTTTATATTCTGATTTTATTCTGTGAACCACCCTGAGACCTGCAGATATTGGGTGGTATATAAATTCTAATAATATTAATAATAATCCACCTTTCCTCCAGAACCAGGACTCGAGGTGGCTCACAAAAACTGAAGCACAAGTAAAACACAGATAGCGAAAAACATATAAAAGATAACTTAAAAAACAATTAAACTATAACAGAATTAAAATGATGTAAAAAGATTTATTAAAATGCAGATAGCAAAAACAGCGCAGCACTATTAAAAAGCCCTTTCTTTAGAAGCAGCCAGTTTCCCCAAGCCTGCTAGAATAAGAGAGTCTTCAGCTGGCGGAAAGACAGTGAGGAGGGAAGCCAGTCTAGCCTTTCTAGAAATGGAGCTCTGAAGTCTGGGAGGAACTATTGAGAAGGCCCTCTCCCATGTCCTCACCCAACTCTTTTTTCCATGCAAAATTTTCCACAGGCAGGACAGAGATATTTCAGAGGGCCAATATTCAAAATACTTGATCCAGCTGCAGTTTGAAGTGGTGTGGCCTGGGAAAAGGCTGTACCCTGTGGTTTTTCTGAGCATGACATGCACCCCAGTCCTTTGCTGATCAGAGCTTATCCCTTCAACTAGATCCTCAAGTACCATTCTGGCTTCTGGCCCTTGAGAAGATTCAGTGTGCATGTCAGGAAACTTAAGAGCTAGTAGGAACATGTAGAAAAGCCTTGGCCAAGGATATATTTCTTAATAAATACTAACTTCCTTTGCATGATTCAGGTTTACAGAACGTTCAGGAAATATTTTGTAAGACAGAGTACAGTGGTACCTCGGGTTAAATACTTAATTCGTTCCAGAGGTCCGTTCTTAATCTGAAACTGTTCTTAACCTGAAGCACCACTTTAGCTAATGGGGCCTCCTGCTGCTGCCGCGCCGCTGGAGCCTGATTTCTGTTCTTATCCTGAAGCAGAGTTCTTAACCTGAAGCACTATTTCTGGGTTAGTGGGGTCTGTAATCTGAAGAATATGTAACCTGAAGCATATGTAACCCAAGGTACCACTGTACTCCCATTTGTTAGACATTAGTAAAGTGTGAAGACCCCTCTGCAAAATTTTGCTAAACATCTGAGACTATGAACTCCTGATTATAATATTTCGAACTGTTTCTTTTGGTTTTGAATATGTGTATCAGTAAAGACAATATTGTCAAAGAGAGATTTATGCAATCCACTAATGAAGTGGTTTTCTACAATTTATTGCACCAATGCCACAAAGAAATTGACAAATGATACTGTACATTTACAGCCCAAATTAAGAAGTTTCCACAGTTTGACATTAGAATCCAGTCAATAAAAAAACCCCCAAACACTATTTGCTTTTCTCTCTCTGAACACAAACTTGCAGCGACACACACCCACACCCTTCTCCTAGTACGGCATATGTTACTTCATCTGTTCCAGGTAACATGCTTTATTATATAAGCTTGCTACACTTAAAATATGGTCCATATGAATCAGAAGAAGTTTGCTCCTGCTTAGGAAACAAAGAAGTAGACATGTTTGGAGGAGAGGACAGCAGAATACTATTAATACCGCATGAAAAATAAAAGGTTTTGGAATCTTGAAGATTTCAGACAAGATTCCTTTCTCATTGCCACTTTCAGTGTTTCTCAGGTACATTCACATTACTTTAAAAACTATTAAAAATATCAGAACTAAAGCATGCTTATGATAAAAGGGTAGCCATTGCAGTGCATCACCAGTGCAGTTTTTGCCCTCTCAAACGCTACAGCACAATCTTTCAGAAAATTCATGACATGTACAACTTTTAAGTTGCCCCCTACTGGCAGCTTAATTCTGTCAACTGAGGTAGTTTTTTTAAAAACGGAAGGATAAAACACATTATTTTTTTCTTAGATATAGAATGAAGCTACTTTTTCTAAAATGATACAATTGTTAAAGATCTGCATGGTTCTTTTAAAGGGGAAAAAAGTATATTATGATTTTATTCTGAGATAAAAGCAAGGGTTGTTAATTAATTTGATTCCTTGACCATAATTTAAGTACAAGGAGGGTATCTTTAACCCTTGCCTTTGTGGTCTTCTCTGTCAAAAACTGGGCTTCATTCATTTGGAAGGGAAGGTTTCAGAGGAAAATTGATTTTTTGAGTTAATTTGCAATAGAAAGAAAGGCAGGGAACAGAATAATGCTGCTATGGATAACTACTAGCTTCTAAAACAGGAATGACCGTATGATTAAGTGTTGTCATGAAAGCATTGGCAGGGATGAATAAGCAATGAGACAAAATGGAAAATCTGACAAGCCCCAGAAAAAGAAAATTATTAAATCGGTATTTGGACAAACATTGCATCCAATTGCCAACACTGCTTGGGTCAGTTGCCAAATATGACAAAACTTCTTTCTACTTCCATTTAGCACTTTCAGTCCAACATGGGAGATTGCAGAATGTGCCAACCGGGAGTCTTTCAAAAAAATTGTAAGTAGTTTTTGCTTTCTTACTCTAATTTCACACAGTCACCTGCAGAACTTGGAAGTTAAAATGAAGTCACAAGATTTATACTGAACCTTCTAAGAAAGCCCTAGGTATAGGGTTTGAAACCAAGACGAATATGGTCCTATGTGTACAGTTGTATAGTAACATAGAAAATTGAAAGAGAGCTCGTGTTACTAACTTCCCATTTAAAACCACATACATTTCTCTTTTAGAATTAAGACATACAAGAGAGGAAGGCACCAAGAGGCTAGTGCAAAACGTTCTGTGGGATCGCTTCAGACACTTGAGAATTATCATAATGAATAGCTGTCACTGTTACCATGACCACCTTCCCCTCGCGATATCCTCTCTGAGATTTCTTCTGTATGTTTCATCCGTCTACTTAAAGAAGTCGATCCTGCTTCTGCAGTGTGCTGAAGAGAGATCTCTTATTCACGGGGCAACAGATAAGAGTTTATGTTTTAAAACAAGCTATCCAGAGTTGATGCTAATGGGTGCTTTTAATGCTAGTCCTACACAAAGTAGACTCAGTGAAATGAACACAGTTTCATTCATTTCAGTGTTTCTAATCCAAGCAGGACTAGGATGGATACAAACCTATGTCCATTATCATATCGGTTCTTAAGGTTCAAACACGAGCTTTTTTGAGCTGGTTGTACATATGTTAGGATGCTCAACCTGTAAGACCAGAAAACTGGAAATTCAAGATGTGGCATTTGCAACAAGGTAAGTTTGCAGTGGAGATTACTACTACTTTCTCCCATTTTCATCTAGCTGTGATGCAGGATCCAAAACTTCCGTCTCCGCCAAGAACAACCAAAAACAACACTGCCGCTCTCGTGCTGCTTCGTCCATTTTAAGAGCCAATCAGCCACACAACAAGATTGTGGTAGCTGACTTCCAACTTCTTGTTCCATGGAGGTTTTATGAGCTAACAAAAGAGAATGGGCATGCATACGTACTCCAATTCATCACCTTGTCCATCCGAACACAGGAATGCTTCTGTGCATACAGATTTGATTACTGCTCCCCATTTGGGTGGGTGGGAAATCAGAACAAGACAACAATAGTAAGGAAACCATACTTAGAGTTGTTTTTTGTTTGGCTGAAAACTATGTATAAGTAGGGAATCCTCCAATAGTGTTTAATTCTTTTGTCCATTAAAATACAAGGATGCATTCTTGATTAGTTTACTCCAAAAACAGTATAAAAACCCTGAATGTCTTTTATATTATGTAAACTGAAATTCCGCTGGTAAGCGTCCAAACAAAATGCAGAAGAGGAAAAGTGACAGAATGAACTGTCACCTTGTGGTCCTCTGTTCCCCCATCTCTTCATGTTTGCTCTCTTCTGCACACACGCATCCCATCTGCTTTACTCTGCTAGGGAGTTGTGACTTCAAGTTTTCAGCTTAGAGGAGTATCTGAGCAACATACGGAGAATGAGTACTCGCTATAGCAGCCAACAGTGGCAAATCGTTGGATTCAATCCTAGAAATTAAAAAAAGGGATGTTTTTCAATATGTAAATTATAGCAGAGAATTGAAGTATCTAATTAAAAGCATTTCTGAACCACTTAATATTTAGAAATCTCTAATGAGATGCTAAAATACAACATAAAAACCAGAGATGTAACATAAAAGCAGATAAAGACAGTAATAACAGGGTCCAGTTTTATAGGTCATGGAAAGCCTGGGCAAAAAGATGTCTCTAAGATGTCTGTGGCAACTGTCAGAGGAAAGAGCATCCACAATGCAATGAAGAAACATGCCTGTTTTACCCTGTGTTATTCTGTAGCAAAATTTCTCCAGATGATCAAGTGAATTTAAAAGTCTATAGAGGGACAGGTAATAATAATAAAATAATAAATTTTTATTTATACCTCGCCCTTCCCGGTTCAAAAACCAGGCTCAGGGCAGCTAACAACAAATTTAAAACACTTAATTATAAAAGCAGCATAAAATACAGTATAAAAACATGAATAACAATAAATTCAAAAATCAATTAGATAATCTCCCCAGGGCTAGCTGGCTGAATTGGTACTACTTGGGCCAGTGAGGAGGCCAGGGGAGAATTAGCTGTGGGGTCTCAGAGCGGGTGATCTTCATAAAAGGGGAGGGGGAGGGAAGAGAAGGGAAATAAAAGATCAGGCTGAATTCAAATTAAAGGCCAGGCGGAATAGCTCCGTCTTACAGGCCTGACGGAAGGAGGTTAAATCCTGAAGGGCTGTAGTCTCATGGGACTGAGCATTCCACCAGGCCGGAGCCATCACTGAAAAGGCCCTGGCCCTGGTGGAGGATAGTCTGACTTCCTTAGGGCCCGGGACCTCTAAACTATGGTTATTCATGGACCTTAAGGTCCTCTGCGGGGCATACCAGGAGAGGCGGTCCCGTAGGTACGAGGGCCCTAAGCCACAAGGTGGGCTTGCAGGTAACCTGGTGCCAAATTGTTTAGGGCTTTACATGGTGGTTGATTGGAAGCCAGTACAGTTCCTTCAGCGGAGGTGTAATATGCGCACATCAAGGTGCTCCACTCAAACACCTGTTTGCAGCATGCTGCAGCTTCCAGACCAGTTTCAATATGGTCAGGGTAGGAGGAGGGACAGAAAAGACATGCTGGTGAATGGTCATATTTGAGAAACTAAGGCCACAGTCCTATACTCACTTCCTCAGCAAGAAGGGGCTGCCTTTGAAGATGACTTGGAAACTTCAACTGGTCCAAAAGCCTATTGTAGCAGTATGTTTGATTATTTTTATTTTTGTATTTTGTCTTTAGTTTAAAAATTATTAAAGTGTCATTAAAAAAGTTAATTCTACCCTGCTCCGCATCACATTTCCATTTCCAAGTTGATGAGCCAAGTAGCACATGATAGTCTCAGGAATCACCCTACCAGCAAGAGGAGAAAATACTGTTTTCCCAAAAGTCGCTTAGACTTTTCTTGAATGACTTTGGCAAAGGAGCAAAATGAATCTAAAGAAAGACAAGGTTGGGGGCAGGGAAAATCGATGCTTATGCGCAGCCAAGCAACTGTATGGATTAGGGAGGGTCTCGTGAGAGCAGATATGGATTACATAGCAAAAGCGGAGGTTGTAGTGATAGATGGCCCGGTAACAAGACCCAGCGCTCTAGCAACACAAACCTGCAAAAAGGCCCCGAAACAAGGTTAAATGTTCTAATTCTATTATTCAGCGTGCTTTTAGGAAGGCCATTTGGTGAATGTCTCTGATTCAGGTACAGTAACAGAGAGATGGGAAAGTTCAGCACTTCCCTGCTCTATAGACTAAAATAAAAACATTTCCTGAACTAAGGACTGAATTATTTGACGCTTTAATCATATACTTTTTAAGAAGTGCTTTTTTAAAAGCATTAGACGGCAAACTAAATAGTGCTGCTTCTCATGAACCTCCTTATTTATTGTAAATAATGGACAGTGCTTTATAGACTAAAAACAACAACCCTTCAATGTTATAAAACTGGGACAGCTTACTACAGAGTGATTTTATCTTTATACTCACCACACAGTAGCCTTCAGACATAGATATAGATATGGTCTCCTTCCTCTATATTTGATTTTAACTTACTTGCATTCCTTACATGCTTTACCAAATACATTATTATTTATAAGATAACCTTATGGCTGAAAACTGTTCAAAGGGCAGCTTTTTTTGGGGGGGGGGGGACTGCTGTAAATAACCCATACCAATGGATAAATATATAAGCATTGAGAAAACTATGAAAGAACCATAAACTCACAATGGAATGAAAGCATATCTTACTTTTCTACAAAGGGAAGACTGTACACAGCCATCGCACAGGAGAGCATTCCAAAAGTTTGGAACTATGAGAGAAAAGGCTCTTCTTCTAGTAAGTTGACCTTAATTCTCTAAGGAGAGATGGGGAACCTATGACACCTTCAGATATTGTAGGAACTCCCACCAGCAAGCCCATGAACAGGGACAAGGGTAGAGGAGATATTCTTTCAGTGAACATTTTTAAGTGAACCAACCCAATTTGCCACCTCCTTAATACATAAATAGGATCATAAATATCATTCAGAATGAACGCTTTCCCAAATTTTGTGATACATCTCATGGTTCAAAATATGTACCGTGCTGTGCAAAACACATGCACATTTTAAGATAAAATAACTTTAGAAATGCATATATTGCAATTAAATATGAATTTAAATAAAATTCTTGCACACTTTTAAGAAATTGCTATTAATGCAAAAACGAAACTGAACATATTTATGAGCACACATACACATGAAATGGACACAGATTGAAAGAGACTGATACAACTCCCATCTTCTCTGACTAGGAATGAATATAGCACAAAACACTGGGAGGGCCCTAGAGACAGGAGATCAGAGTAGGACTCATTGTAGTTCTTAAGGTTCCTGGAGGGGTTTACACAGGAAAAGGCATTCTTTAAGATACTTGTGACACAGATCATGTAGCGATCACAACCAGCCTGCTGAATTGGGTTCAGAAACATACCAGTAACCAATGTGGATATTTAAGTACCAATGTAAATCTTTTAGCTACTTATACCGTAAGACAGGCAGCAGCATTCTGCACCAGCTGTAATTTCTGAATCGTCTCCAAGGACAGCTCCATGTACAGCACATTACAGTAATTTAGTCTGGCAGTCAACAAGACCTAAATTATGTAGCTGGGTCTCTTATCTTTCAGGAGTTGGCACAGTTGATGAACTAAGCTGGTAAAGAAAGGCACTCCTGGATGCAGCACCACCTGAGAATCTATGAGCAATTGGAATTAAATTGTGGCCAAGTTTTTGCCCACACTATCGCTCTCAAGGTTCCTCTTTGCAAGGTTGAGAAGGGGCAACTCTGAACATCACACAGCATTCTAATTTGCATGGAATACTCCAGCCCATGGCCACTAAGTGACAACCTATATCCCAGGTCTTTTGCACAGCTAGGTGCAGAACAGTAGGATCTCCAAGAATACCTGAATGAGTCGCTTCTCATCTGACAGTTTTTAGTAACCCTCAGAGGGTGGGTTTAAATACCCCCCCCCCCATCTCAGGAATGCACTTAGAGCAGTGCTAAAGATTCTCCCCCCCACCCTTTTATTTTATTTTTGAGTTGTTCAGAAAGGAAGGTTCCATGGCTTGAAGTCAAGAATATATTATCCAATTAAGATTACAGCCATGCCATCATCTCACAGCATGTTTCATAGGAGACATCCCGTTCCATCTCGACATAGGTTACTGAATTCTTTCCTAACCCATTCCACACAAACCACTAAAGTGACTTGAACAGAACTTTCATCTACAGTGCTTATGCAAAACATGGTGCTGACCAAAATAAGACTTTCTACCATTGCCCCTCCTCCTTGCCCTCCTCCATTTACTTTTTAAATGTATTGACGCGACTGTTAATGCAGCAGAAACAGCACTTGCTGTCCCTCTGCCTGAAAAAAGGGGTCCTTCTTCAGGGTGAGGCATTCTGGGTGAGGTGGCCCAAGAGGCGCCTGCCTGTGCTGCCGACGCTTTTCTATAACTTCCATTTTGTTCAGAACGTGAAGGAAGGACAAGAAATAATTCTATTTTCCTACATTTAACAGCTCGGTTCGATTTCCAGATGGCTCAGTGGAACACACACAAGCTACACTTCACACTTCGGCATGTCTTTCACAGAAAATGTGACAATGGAATAAACAGTAGTATCCTGAATATTCAGTGCATGGTGGGGGTGGAAAAACTAAAAAAACAACAACTTTAAAAAGGAACTCCAGCATCAACACTCACCCCAATACTACTCCAAGTTCTTTCACATGGACTCTCGTTTGGCCTCGCAAATATTTAGACAGCATCGTGCTTTTGAGGTACATTTCCTGTAGCCGATCCTCAAGATGCATAATGCACTGTAGAAAGACATGAAACCCCACAGTGATCCAATCCAATAGAATAAGAGGGCAAAGCCATGCCACACACAAATGCATCAACCGTGAACTGATCCTTCCTGGGGCCAGACCCAAGTTCTGCTTAGTTCAGCACCTCTATGATTAGGCTGATAGTGTCTAGCCAGTCTGGACCCGCCATAGGGTAACTGCTATAGTTGCCCCTAACAATCGGGGTGTTGCATTGCTAATAATCAGGAATGCCAGAAATGGTATGTGGTGTTCGGCATCCTCCCCGCTCTAGTCTGATGGGAGGTACAAAAACAGAATGCAAGCAACTCACTTTTGCTTTGGGCCTTCAGATCACAGGGAATAAAGGATGCAAACATGGCCTGCCAGCGGACAGAAACAAGTCTGCACCAAAGAAGAAAGGCTCCTAAAGAGCAGTAGTTAATTCTCTAAGAGCTACCAAAGAGGAGAATTCCTAGACTATTCAGTTATGCTGGGGGGTGGGGCGCTATTTCCACTATGCAGTCTTCCTTCAAGGTCTGAAAGAAGTCAGTGTTGTGGTCTATGGAATGCAAAAACTGGCTGCACATCACACTTTCCCTGTTAATCAATTCCTTCTGCAGGCAATCATTTGTAAACGCGGACTTACAAAGTCAGCAGGAAGGTTAAGTTTGTAAAGCTGTAAAATGGATTGTAATAAAGACGACACTTGGCTGGAGACCAGGACATCCTTGCCCAACTTCATGCTGTCGGTTATCTTTCTTTGGCTTGTGGCCACCTGTACTGTCCATTTATCTGTATCTGCAATAATGCAAACAGCTTCTGCTATGGGCTCATCTAGTACTGGATGCTGTAGAAAGGAAAAAGAAAGTAAATGGAACTGTTTGAAACTGCTGTCTACCTTTTAGATAGATAGATAGATAGATAGATAGATAGATCTCTATCTATCTCACATACATATATTCAATTTACAAATTGAAAGTTTACATTCAGCATAGTTTACTGCAATCTCTAATGACAAATGGCTAGTAGCATTTGTTCTTCTTAATAGAATATGTTTGTGGCCTACTGAAATAATAAATTTGGATGGCATTGATCAAGTGTTATATGTAAACTATTGTCAAATATTGAATTAATTGAAAAAAGGTTTTGGTTTCTTAATATTTTTTTTTATGCAATAGCCTTTTCAGACAAAAAAAGTTTCTTATCCTAGCAATCATGTCCACAAAAACCCTGTTAATTTCAGGGCAGAGATTAGGTGCACATATGGACAGGACTCCCTCCATTTAAATAAATAGGTGGTCCCATGTATGCAAAAGCTCAGAATGGACATCAGAGTATGTACACAGTTTTTGTTCAAGGCAAACAGGCACAATGTGGAAGATGTACTATGCATTTTGGGGGCATAACTGATTGGTAGAATGGCTGTCTTGCACTCTGAAGGTTTTGTGTACAGCACCTGGCATTTCCAGTTTAAAAAAAAAGTTCAGGTAGGTGATGGCAGAGACCTCTAATGAGCCACTGTTAGGTAGGGTAGGCAAGTACCAGGCTTGATGGATAAATAATCTTGACTTGGTATAAGGCAACTTTCTATGCTTAACTGTCAATGATATTAAAAGGATTCTGTGTGGCAAGATCCAAATGGAACAGCTTAGCACCGCAATACCTCAAGGACTGCCTCTCTCCATCTGAACCTACCCAGACCCTGAGATCACCCTTTCTTTGTGTGTCTCCTCCATGAGGGGTCCAGCAGGTAGCAAACTAAGGTATATCTAAATCCAGTATTTGTTTCCAATTAGAGGTCAGCTGTGCACTTCTAGAAGCCCCAAAGCAGGCCATAATGATTACAACCTTCCCGTTTGTTCAGGGCATTTGGTACCCTGCCTCTAGAGAGACAGGTTCTATTTTAGCTGCAATGAATAGTAGCCATTTGTGGAATTGGTCTAACCCTTTTAAAGGCCACTTAAGTGAGTGGTCATTAATGCATCTTGCAACAGTGAGGTCCAAAATTTAAATCAGAATTCTATTAATAGAAGGAAAATATAGATTAGGGTGCTCCCCCGCACTTTCCATTTTCTCTCTGGCGTACTGCCAGATCTGATCCACCTACAACTATCCCACTTTTACATTTCCTACTGCCAGCACTTGGCCTTCTATGTCTTGCTGCAAGAAAGAGGCTCAGAAGTATGTCCAGACTTACATTCACTGCATGACTCAATTCAGCTGATAGGCATTGCTTGAGCTGCTCATCGTTACTGATTCCATGCAACACCAGGTCAGGCATATAGGAGGCACAATAGCCACCGAGAAGGGACCTTCCAAAATGCTTTACGCTTTGATTGCTGATTGTGTTGGATCTGAAACAGAGGAATTGGTTGCACGCTTAGTACTCAGCCATTTCTAAGGCCAGTTTGTGAAAAGCTATTGGAATAAAGTGGAATTATTTCAGTAAGATTGGCAGATTGCAATGCTATGCGAATGATGACACTGCCTTCTTTGCTTGCAAGATTACAGCTCATGATCAAAAATGAGCATGGAAAAAGTTACTATCATTCTCAGCTCTGAATCGCACAGTCAGTCCACGGTTCCCAAACTTTGTCTGTACCACAAAATATTTTCCCCAGCAGGAGCCTCAGTTATGGAACTTTGACATGACGATCCGGTTATTTGATGATTGCCTCATTTATTTATAACATTTCTTACATGCCCTTTACCACACAATTAAGATACTAGATGCACCTCTGTGGGACGGTGGTCCACATTTTAGAGGCTGCCATTCCCCACACTTCTGAGGGTTGCAGGACTACCAAGAGAGACCACTCTTTGCTAATCTTAACACGCAGCAAGAATGGAGGCAATCTTTCAGATATCTGGAGCCCAAATCATTTAGGGCTTTAAACACTAATGTAAGCATTTTGAAACCATTCATCTGACCATTATCTCTTAACATCTCATAAATGTGAACCTAATGAGTTATCCAAACTGACAGCTAGGCAAAGCTGGTTAAAATGAGTTACATGTTAACTTTTAAATTGGATCACTTGTGCTCTGTTGTAGCCGAGTTCACAAAAACCACCTGTTTGTAAAGACTGAAAGGCTGCATAATGTAGCATGTGAAGTAGACACTTGCCCATGAAGGCTCATGCTAGTCTAAGACTTTGCTGTTTTCACATATTGTAAAAAGAGAAAAACGGAGCCTTTTAGTCCATTGTACTAAATTGATAACAGTCTCTATTATTGTAAAACCTTAAAATTATGATGCAAGTATTATGCCTAAAATTAATAATGGGGGGGGGGGAGAGCCCGATTTGCACTATACTAGGTTGTCTCGGCTTTCCCAGCATAGGGTCAATACTACTTTATAACGAAAACATTTGGTTTAAGTTGGTCTAAATATCAGACTAGAGGTTCCTTCTTCAGATTTTTCAAGAGCTATCTTAGAACAGTTAAAATAACAATGCAGCAAACCCTTGAGGAGTCACACCTTTAGAGCTGGTCATATTTACTTATTTTTACCTTGGCAAAGCAAGTTCTACTTTGGAAAGTTCTTCTGTCCTACTGTTGACAGAGCTCAGAGATTGCCCGTCTGGAATATGTGCGCTACCTTCATCGTCGCTCTCTCCCAGGGCACTGTCAGAGCTCTCATTTCTAGGCATGTTCTCTTTGCTTCCAGCATCCCCACAGGGGACATCCTCCGTAACGGCCTGGCCAGATCTCTGCACATCAGCGGGACTTCCTGAATCACAGTCAAGAGAAACCCTTTCCAAGTTTTCACAGTGTGTGCTTTCAGCTTCCCCCAGTCTTCCTGGCTTTGCAGTTTTGACTTTGCTCTCAGAAGGGACAGGTGGGTGGCATGACAACCGAAGCGCACTTGGTAGTCGCGTTTTACAAGCTTTCTGCCTAGCACGTGGTTTAAGACAGAAGTAAGATTTCTCCTGCTGGACTTGGGCAGTTGCATGCAGTGGACTTGACAGGATACACAGAGATTTGCTTTTGCTCCTTGGCATCCCTACAGTTTCATCCAGATCCTTTTGGGTGGGTTCTAAATCAGATACGGGTGACGGGGAGCTTCCAATTTGGAAGGTAACTCTTTCCAACTGAGGGTACCTCTGGCTAGCCCTCTCACTGCAAAACAGCTGTCCGGCTGCGTTACACTGGTTGTCGTCCTTCATTCCTGTTGTTAAATCCTCTAATTTTGCACATCCCCTGGATACACCTTCTGAACCAGCCACCGTTTTCCCCTTCTTAGCTTCCTCCACAAGTCCTTTGGAGGAGCCAGCTTTGGGCAAGCAAGAGGGCAGTTCAGAACTCTGTCCAGCATTTATTCCTTCATGCTCCTGCTTCAAGCAGGCAGGTTCAAAGCAGCTCTCTCCCACAGCAGCAGCGCTCCCGGTTCTCCGGGGCAAACTGGGAGATATGAGAGCAGGTTCGTTTCTAACAGTGACTACTACATAATCAGAATCCTCAACTTCTCCCTTTTCTAGAGCTGTCGAGATCTTGCCGCCACTCAGGGCTTGCTCTCCTCTGCCAACTTGCCCACTCCGGGTCAGATGATTCTCCTGCAGCTCAGAGCACCGTAAGAAATATGTAAGAATGTAGAGGATGCGTTGAACCAAATCTTTACGCTTTCCAACAATTACAGTCCTCGTCATCCTGACAGGTGAGCCTATAGCACCATACAAGTCACCTGGAAAAAGCATAAGGAAGAAAAATGGAGATTCGTACTGCCTTTTAACCCAGAAGGCCCTAAGAAAACAGGCCCACGTCCAGTCGAATTCAGTTTTATTTTGTGGTTTTTTTTTAAAAAAAAGATCCATCTAGTTACAATATGTGCCGTGAAAGTTTGCACTGAGGAATCAAACATGATTATAATCATTGCTCTAGCCTAAGAGACAAATTAAAACTCAAGGGCACGATCCAGTTCAAGTTAAGCTATTTTACATTTCATTGATTTCAATAGGAGGAATTAAACACACATGGTTAATTTCCCATTTAAAATCAATGGGACCTAAAAGTGCTTACCACTGGCTAGATCATGCCCTCAAGTTTTATTTGTACTACATAATTAGTTATTTTTTGAAAAAGGGTTCTTCCCAAGTCATTAGCAGGCAGATCTTACTCGTCGTGCTAAAAATCAATTACAATTTCTGTGCCAAGAACACCTGAATTATGTGACCCCTATAAAAGCTAAATGGTGTACAATTTTTTATATCCTATCGCAGGAGAAATGCAGAAGTGTAAAATGAAATGATTTATGACAACCCATACTTTACAGGTCTGCAACAGATGAGAGTCAACAAAAACCAGTTATCGTTATAGAAATCGTGTTAGCAATTCACAAAACATGAAGCTCTATTAAAAAAACACACACACCACAAAATTTAGAGACTATTAAAGTGTAAGCTGCTCAACAAAACAAAAAATCTATTGCTCGCACCTTCACTTTATTACAAGTACCAGGAGAAGTAAGTCTGTAGCTTATGCAGTAAACACTAGAGGGCATCATCACGCTTTTTAAAAAAACAGCATCTCAACCACTGGCAACAGAATCCCTTAGACCTGACCAACATCTGGCTGCAAGGAGCAAGCTTTTATGCTGAATGAAGAGTTCACTATAGCTGATAAAATATGTGCATGTTCAAAGGATGATTTTGGTAAGTATAATAGAGCTATTTCAAAAATGTCTCCCCTGTGCAACCATACATCAAGCAGCTTTCTAATTATTCTCCATTTATTCTTCAGCCTAATATGACAAACGATTTTAAAATGCATGTGCACAAGGACATTTCTGTGCAGATTAAGTCTTATCCTATAAAAAAGATCGTCTTGGGTTTGTTTTTAAAGTTTCACACTGACCAAGCTGTGCCCAGAGCGGATTGTAAGGGTGGGATTTTGCCAGCATGTTCACAGACTGAGAGGCACGTTTCTCAGAGGAGGCCCTGATGGGAAGGTGGTCAATTGGCATCACTGTGGGGACCCAAGCCAGGTGATAGGTCAGCACTGCCGTCAAGAGAGCCGCTAAAAACCTGTGGAGAAAAGAGCCACAAACAAAATAAATATGGCGACGAACCTACAGTTCCTATGAAGGGGAGCAGAGCAAGCAAGCATATAGACAGCAACGACTTACTGGCTTTTGCTGGTCTGTTCTATCAAGATGGTGAATTCCTTGAGAAAGTGTTGGCACAACTGATTCTTTTCAGAAGCGCCGGACATCATGGTTAGCCATACAGGCTCTGCAATCCTTGGAACTGAATACAAATTCCAGATTGTAATTCTGTAAGAAAGGGGGGGGACCCAAAGAGAGATCTATTAGCTAAAACAGTATACACTGTTCAAAATGCAAAGCCTCTATCCCATAACAAAGAAGATGATCTCAAGCGTACAAAGCCAAACTATTAGTTCTGCTTCCCAGGCCCAGAAAATATGGGGTCAGCGACTGTTGACAGATTACTGCCCAGCAGTTTGAAGCATTCATTGTTGTACTGTTTGGGGCTGATTGGAATTGTAGTCCAAACAACTGGAGGGTGAAGGCTGGTTTATGTTGCAAACAATTCAAATCCTCTTTTATATAATTCCTCTCCACCCTCTCAGTCACGGACATGGCCTCAGTCAGGTGCCTAAATAATAAACTGAGATATGGCCAGGTGACCGAACCCACAGAGAACCCAGAGAGGTGTGAAATCCCGATCCAAATACTAATTCTTTTCAAACTTGATGATAGCTCCCCCTTATTTCACCACAGGCAACATTTTATATGCATCACAGCATAGGTTAATAGGTTGGCACGGACATACGTAATTAGCTATCTGTGATTGCTGGTAAAACATATCCTGGACATGATTTGAAAGGATTTATGGCCCAATTGCAAGACGATCAAACCTATCCATTCTTAAGGAAATCAGCCCTGAGTGCTCACTGGAAGGACAGATCCTGAAGCTGAGACTCCAATATTTTGGCCACCTCATGAGAAGAGAAGACTCCCTGGAAAAGACCCTGATGTTGGGAAAGATGGAGGGCACAAGGAGAAGGGGACGACAGAGGACAAGATGGTTGGATAGTGTTCTCGAAGCTACCAGCATGAGTTTGACCAAACTGCGGGAGGCAGTGGAAGACAGGAGTGCCTGGTGTGCTCTGGTCCATGGGGTCACGAAGAGTTAGACACGACTAAACGACTAAACAACAACAACATGGCCCAATTTCTAATCGTAGTGGCTACAGCTGGGAAAAGTTGTTCTCTGGGATGAAGCAAAAAGTTTTAGGATAAATAATGCCAGGAGAAGAAGTGAGGTCAGAGGAGCATGCTTGCACCTGGCCGTCCATTTTGCATGTGTGTTTTTCCTCTTAAAACTTATTTCCTCCTCATCTTCTTCCTATGGTTTAAATCTCTCCCTGGTTTGGAGGCATGCGTGGCGGTGGCTCCAAGCAGTTTCCTAATCTTCTACCAGCACATTCCTTTTGTGGTTGTGCTGATGGAGCTCCTACATCATTGGTCATCAGAGGTTTCTGCAGGACATCGGCTCTCACTCTCTCTTTGCAGGGAGCTTTGGTGTCCCCTGATACACGTTCCTGGGGGCCCACAGCACTGCAGCTGAAGTCATTCTTCAATTAATTTGCATAAATGACAGCCTCAAATGAATTGAAAATGTAGACCTTGCCTACACACACAGCAGAATGAAGTGGGAGCAAGGTGGCAAAGTAGACTGCTGACAGAGCGTTGCATTTATGAACTTCAGTAGGTTTTTAAATACAGGGTTTAATGTGAAAGGAGCATATAGTGACGTATTTCACTCTGCTACCTCATTCTGCTTCATGTGCACTTCACTGCAGCCCTCTTTTGGAAAGTTAGGTGGCAGACTGCTGCAGGTAAAAATGGCAGTTTTTGAAACAATGGATGCAAATCCCATATGCTGGGATGTCTCACCACTGCTGCATTCCCCCTATTTCTCCATGGAAAAGCTAGAGAAGTGATTAAAGAGGCACCAGTTTGGGCCTTTTTTTTTTTTTTGTAGAGAAACAGAAAAAACATGTAGCCTCACTTTCTCCATCACCAGAGCCAACCTTTTTGTTTGATTGTTAAAGGTGAATCTGTGCCTTTGTACCTGCAAGGCATGTGTACCTGGGAAATAGAGGGAGACTAGTGCAACAGGAAAAAAGCTGCAATGAACTGGGCTCTGAATGGTGACCTGGATGCCCTTTATGGAGAAGTACAAATCTACCGCTTGCCTTCCATGGACCACTAACTTACCTGAATTCACCCAGGGCATCCATGACACGGCTGATGTACACTTGCACTCTTTGGCTTGTTTCTGCTATTTTTCTGCAGGTGATCATGGCCTTGGAGAGAAAGCAATCATAATAGGTTTTTTAAAAAAGAAAAGCAAAAGTTATTATTATGATGATTTCAAAGGTTTACTAAAAAACTTTGAAAAGTCAAGCACTGGAATCTAATGAATAGAGGAACAGCTCTAGTTCAGAGGTGAAGCATATGCATTGTATGCAAAAGGTCCCAGTTTCAATTCTTGGTATCTCCAGATAGGGCGGGAACCACAATTCCCATCATCCCTGACCACTGGACATGCTGGCTTGCAATGATGGGGTTTGTAGTCCAACAGCATTTGGGGACTCAAGTCAGAGAAGGCTTCTTGATACTGGTAAGAGAGATCAAGGAGCAATATGCCTGACGGTCTATGCATGAAGCATCTATCACATTTCATGGAAACCAGATAAAATGTATTTAAATAAAAAAATGGTTGCTGGGGGCAGGGGAAAGAGACAGGAATCAGTGCTGTAGATCATTTGCTCATTCTTCCCAAAGAAAGTTTCTGTCCGTCTTGCTACAAGAGGCTCATCTGCCAAGTCCATGTCAGGTTAGACAGGCCTACCTCTGCAACAATACGTAACTTTCAGAGCTTGTGTGGTGCCATGGAAAAGATCTTGAGATTTCAAGCAGAAGCTGTACTTTGTCAGCTCAGGCACCCAACTCCCTGGAGATCTGCCCCTGACATGGCATCACTCAGCCCAGCCTGCCTCCCAGATGGTTAATAATAATAATAACATTGAAGGGATGTGTTCCATGCTCTACCATTTCAATGGCGCTCTTCAGCTTGCTCATGTGTGATTCAAATAAGGGGAAGTGAGAGAAGAAGAAATCCTGGAATTCCCTCTGGGCCTCTTCTTTTTCCGGGAGGGTGAAAATGACACTGATGGCAATTTTCTTCCTTCGAACCATTGCAGGATTGAGGCCACAGCTTTCATCTGCCATGCTGAAAGTTTCTTCAGTTGACCTGAAAAAGAAAATGCAGTGGGAAAAATACAGCACAGCTATGTGCTCATTTAGAAAAATCAACAATGTTCAAGAGGTTTTTGTTTGATGCCCTAGTGCACTGATATTAGCAACGGGTTTAAAAACAAATGCTGTGGGTATGCATAGAGTGCTGGTTTTAACTTTTAAAGTCCTTAACCATTTTGAGGCCATGTTAACTGAAGCGTACACCAAGAATGGGGAACCTGTGAGCCACCAGATGTTGGACTACAATTCTCATCATCCCCAGCTATTGGCCATGCTAGCTAGGCCTGATGGGAGTTGGAGTCCAACAACACCTAGAGGGCAACAGGTTATCCAGTCCTGGCCTACACCCTTATTGTCCTGCCTGAGCACCAAGATGGGCTGCTTAAAAGTGAGCAGGCTGGTATCGGGTATCAGTGGTAGTTCAACCTTTTTTGAATTCCCCACCCCCAAATCTGTCTTATCCCTCACTTCAGAGACTGAGGCAGGCTCTAAAGACTTTCTGTTTTGCTGGCCTTGTGTGATTTTGTCACTGGCTTTTATGTTCCTGCCATTTTTTAGAAAAAAAATTAAAAACTTCAAAAGGTGGCTCATAAAAAATCTAAATACAAATACTGAAATATTGTATGCAATTTCCCCTTCCCAAAAGTATTAGTTGAGGTGCCACCACTGTTAACAGGGAGATTACTTCCCACTGGAAACAGGGTGTACCAAACTAGAGCAACTACACTGCGGAACTCCCTCTCCAGCAAAGTCCACCAGGCCATTAAAAATTATTATTATGCATGTACTTGATCTAAGCAAGCTTTTAAAGGCCTTTTTTGTTGGTGGCATCCAATTGCTGTTGTTTTTAACTCTGCAGTCTTTTGAACCACTTTTACAGATGATTTATAATTGTGGCAAGTCTCCAAGGCACTTAAGACAGAGGGGGAAATAAAGTCTATAAATTTTCAAACCAATTTGCACAACTGGACTTCTCTCCAGTTTTTCCTCTTCTCCCTCCAGTCCCTCAAACCTCCTCCAGAATGCCCCCCAGCCCTCTAAAGATGATTTTGGGAGCATGCAGAGGGAAAGAGATGCCCAATTCCGTAAGCAGATGCCCACTTGTGCTATGCTGGCTCTTTCCACAGAGTCTACAAAATCCTATTCCAGGAATATGCCCTAGAAACCTACCACCTAGGAATAATGCCGTTTTCCAAACTTGTTCTTTGACTTCGTATCCAGCGGCGGTGGTAGCTGCTAGAAGAGCTTGGCGACAGCAAAGGAGTCATCAAGAGGCTGCTTAAAGAAGCTGGCAAGAAAGCAGAAAGAAGCATCACCCAAGATGGTTCTTCAATAGTGATTTCCCCTGGTACCATGCTCCCCACCCCCAGGTCTTTTAAAAACATCTTCTCTTGGGGTGGGGTAGGAAAAGAGAGACCCACAGTTCATCTTAAGAGCACTTAAAATGCGGAAACCCCACCACAGAGCGATAACAACTCCTCTGCAATAGGGTCACACATTTTAGGAAAGAAAAGTTGGTCTTACTTAAAGATGTGGCAGTGCAAGAGAACAGGCAGCTCCCCTACCCTTCCCATAGGCAAAATTTAAAAGTCTTTGTAGAAATTACATTACCAATTTCAGAAGCAAATAGATTAATATGTTTTCCCTCACTCCAGGGGTCTTCTCTGATGCTGCCTTTCTGCTACTGCAGCAGACATCTGCTAGGCAATGAACTATTCCCTCCTCTCCTCTCCCCAGAGATATTGAGGACCCTCTGGAGCAGATTTTGAGGACATGCGGGGAGAGGAAAGGAAGGGAAAGTTGCACTGTGCAAGTGGAACTCTGCATACACAGTGTTGCATGCAACCCAGTTTCTAGATTGCGTGGCAGCCCTACTTGAATACAGTAGGCTCCCTCCTGCAGAAATTCAGCCCCAAAGTATTTTGGGGTGGGGATGCTGCAGAAATGGCAATGAAGACATGCAGGAGGGGCCAATGGGACCATCCCCAGGCACCCCTTTGCAAGGTGGCAGTCCTGGGAGACAGGGAGAGATAACGGAGTAAGTCTAAATCTAAAACAGAGTGCCAGACACTGTGCAGAACAAACTGGAATGTTAAAGAAGCTTACAATCTACAGGAAAATCATAAAGATACTACATAGGGGGAAAGTCAAATTAGCATTGAGTACCAATAATTGTTTGGGGAGGCAGGTAATAACAATAACATTAATAAGAATAATTCAAAAGTAATGGCCTTAAAGAGACCAGAAAATGGATTTTACAAATAATTCTAGAATAAGAAACTAATGAGCATACATTTCCATTTTTAACACAGTATCAGGGTTCATAACAGTGCCGTATCAAGTGTGATGAAATCTGGAACTGGTGGCTCACATGTCACTAAAAATTTCTTTGCCACGTTTGGTTGGTACAGCAGAGAGGAGTGATATACCTGATCGAGCGATGCCACTGTCTCTGTCTTCATTCTGCCCCCTGCTAGGCATGTCAACAGGTGTGCTGTGCGCTGAAAGGGGGGGAAATGGAGGAGATTTAACAGGCGTCCTATTTATCACCTGCTTTTAAAACAGGGCCACACAAGCAGCAGTTTCAATTCAACAGTGATATTTCTCAAAGCTCCAGAGCAAATGCCTCAAGAGTGACAAGGAGGGGGCAAGGAGGACACAATTGCAGGCTTAAAATTAGTCAAGTCTGCTTTAACAAACATACTATTGATCCTGCAAGTTTATCAACGCAGTCTTTTGTCAATAAATCTTTATTACGGCCCAGAGGCCCAACAAATCATATGTCTTTTGTCTGAAATCCTAGTCTGACTTCAACTAGTTTGGTAGTGTTATCAGGTTGGAACGCAGATTGGAAGGAAAATAGCCATTAGCACTGTTGTGCAAACAGTTGCCTAATAGCTGACATGGTGTTATAATTATAGTTCCCATAGAGGTTTTCATGCTTCTGAAGACACTGAGAAATGAAGGGACATATTTTCAGATGGAAAACAACAAAATCTCCCTTCAGGCATTCTCCTCGCTGCAATTACCAGAAGGGGAGAAAATGGGGGTGACCTCCCTACTCCTACTGCCAGTTATCATTGCTGCCACACCCTTCCTTCATAGCAGGCTGAACTTCTATTTTTCTAATGTATGCTCTCCATGCAGGTTAGAACATGGACCTTCCAGCGTACATGACCACAGCTGGCTCAAGGCTACAGAAATTTACCCACTCTCTGTTCTCATGGGGTAGGGGGAAGGGAATGGAGTCCATGGCATAGCATGGCTGGGGGAAGAAATCCTGGGTAAGACAAAAGCCTTAAGTTGCCTAGATAGCACCTATGAAGCCAGGAGTGGTTTGAACAAGTATGGAACTCCTTATTCTCAGGACAAAAAATCTGTGTAGACTAGAGCTGTTTTGTATCCCAATTTCAAGGGCAATGTCTTGGAGAAACAGACCCTACTTCCGGTATATGTTGATTAAAAAAAAGAAAGGATGCATCCCAGTCCTGCGAAACTCAACATACTCATAGACACATACACACCTGTGTGTGTGTACATGTGTGTGTATAATACTGTCAATTAATCTGATCTCTGGTAACTCTGAAAAGAGAATATGTGAAAATAGGTGATTATGTTTTAAATGAGTAGCTTATGTAATGTTAACTACTATATTGCTCTGTTGTAACACACACACACACACAAATTTAAATGAATTTATTGTGGCATTAGTTTAAGTTTCCTATGTAACATGCTAGCAGGAAGTAACACAAACTATCCACAAGTTAAAGGCAACTTCTGTGCTTAGAAGTGAACTTCTGGATCCAACCCATTGTTACTCTTACATGCTTTAAAATGATAACACACACAAATGACAAATATCTGTCTTCAGATGGCTCCCAATGCTAGGCTGAACAGCAGTTGTAGCTCCATAAATTCCCAACATTAAGCAAAGAAGATTGATTGATTAGAGGGCATGCAAAATTTGTGACCCATGTTTAGATTAACTCAGATTTCCTTGATCACACTCTTCCAAAAGGTCAGCACTTCCGCTATAAAATTAACTATGCTTATTTGGTGGCATTTAGGTGACTTTAGCATGTGGGGGCAGGGGAAGATCGTGAAAAAAGAGAGAAACCACCCCAACATTATTACATGTGAGAAAATTAACAGAACACACCAGCAAATGATTAACTTGGAAAAAACAACTCCTCTCAAAACTGGAAGGGCTCTGTCATCTGAGAATAAACATGGCGCTATGAAGTGCGACCAGCAGGGAAACACATTACTGAGGATGCTAAATGGACAGTGTGAGGAACTTGCAGCCCTCCAGATGTTGGCCAAAAGCCATGGCTCAGTGGTAGAGCCATCTGCCTTGCATGCAAAAGGTATCAGGTGCAATCCCCAACATCTCCAGGTAAGGCTTCTGCTCAAAGCACTGGCAGTCAGTGTTGACAATACTGAGCTAGAAGGAGCAATCGTCTCCTGTGTTCCGATTGCACTGCTCAGCCAGTGGCGCAGAGCGGCAGCCTCCCGGCAGCAGTGTCACTGCTGCTTACTAGGGTTGGCAAAGGACGGCGTGCTGTGGATACCCCAGCAAAACCAATTCGGTACTCCCACCTTCACCACCGTGTCCCCCCCTCCTGGGAAGTAGTTATGACTCCACTGCTGGGAGGCTATTGCCCTGGCTCTGCCCCCACCAATTCGGATGGTCCTGATCCCTGACCACTGGCCACACTGGGTGAGGCTGATGGGAGTTGGACTCCCACAACATCAGGAGGGCCACAGATTCCCCACACCTGCTTTAGATGAGCTCTTATTGGATATTTTAGAGCTACCACCATCACCACCTCCTCAGCCCAGTCCATTTGTGGAGAGGAGTTATTGATCCCATGCCAGGAGATTTCCACCAGGAGCTAGCTAGAGGGGCATGTACAGGTGCATCACCCTGTGCTCGACGCTGCACACAAACCTGCAAAGAAGGAAGCACTCTGGGTGAGCCAGAGAGGCCCCCCTTCAGCCACACCATGCAGCAGTTTGTTGCTACACAGCTGCAATACACCTAGAAGGCAGCAACACAAGAAACATACAAAACAAAACAAAATCAGATTACATGGAAATGTAACAGACCCACGAACCAAAACTTGTGGCGCACACAAATAATTAAACCGCTGAATGTACTTACCCAGGTTACTTCCACTGTGGCAGGGGCCCAAACTATTTGGATTAGAGTTCAGTCTTGCTAAATTGGGTTCTTGATTCATGTATTCAAAGCTACCTTGCAAGCTGTAAAAGAAACATCCATCCAAGAAAGATGGATTAAGTTGCCATTGAGCACTTCCTCCCCATGCTGCCCTCCCTGTACCCCTGCAATTGGCTATCCATGAACATAAAGAGATTTCTAAACTTATGTAAGATAGCATCGATTTCACCCCCACACAGCAGGCAGCACTGCAATGGAAAAAAGTCAAGATCTATAGGTTGCATCCCAAGTAGCACTAAGTAATTCACTCCAACAACATAAGGATTTGAGTTTGCACAACATAACTTTCCCTTGGTCTCCTCTGTCCCCACTCACCCTCTAAATCTGTTCTGGGGGTCCCCCCAACCCTGCAGAGCAGATTTGTGGGAGTAAGAAGTGAGGAAAGGAAAGTCCACTACCCAAGTGTAAATCTTTGCACTGACAGAAGGCTCTTGTTGGCTGTAACACTAAGTAACACCACCACAACTTGAAGTGATGACCATGTGCCCAGGAGTTTCTTATTCCTTTACACCAAATGATGAATCCCTCCACTTTTAAGAACTTAGTTATCTTTACATAGCCACTTCTAGCTGCTTATTGTGAATTCTGAAGCCAAACCCCTTAAATTTACAGTTGAGTTTCATAGGACTTGACACCTGTGCCTTAACCACACAAAAATAATTTGCGGTGTTGCACTCTTAGTTTACGATTACCAAGGCAGGATTTTTCAAAAAATAAAATACTGAGTTGAGTGAGAAATGCCTCCCCCTTGAAAATCTGAATCTGAAAACAGTAAAAGCGAGAAAGGAAGATGCTCTCACCTATTTGCACTTCCACAGAAGCTGCCTACTCTGGCAGAGAAAACTTTGCTCATCATAAGCTGCGGAGGAGAGCTGAAAGGATAAACAATAAAACTAATAATTCAGCTGTTCCAGTAAGAACTCCATGACAACAAGAAGGAACTGGAGGCATTAGCTCACCGTATATAGTGGATCTTCAGTGTAGAGCCTTTGTAACTCATTGCTACTGAACCAAACATCATCTCTCCCAACATGTTGACATCAGAAGCTGGCCTGGTGTACTAGAAGGAAGGAAAAACAGTTACTTTCGCAAACTTTGCCATATGCTGCTTCTAAACCAAGCAGCTTTTGAGATGTACCGTTGTAGTACATTGAGTCCCAAAGAAGTATTAACACAAGCAAGTGAAAACACAACAGGCATAGCATTACTGAATTACCAAAGTTCTAACGATTCTGCACAGCCGCTACTAAAAGCAGGCAGAGTGAAAATGGGGGACATCATATTACAATCTGATTTTGAATACATTTTTAGCTGCCACAATTTAACCCCCCCCCAAAAGGATATGTACGAGATCATGGAGCAAAAGAAGGTCTATTGAAACAAAAATATATACATGTTTGGGATTTTAAAGCAGCAATACGTATAATATACTAAATTTCATTTATTTATTTTTACTCCCCCCCCCAATTGATTTTCTGTTGCATGTCTATTTCATCATTCACATAAAATCCATACCATTTTTAGTTTAAAGAAGCTGGTGTACAACAAACATGGGATATGCAGAATTAAAATGTACTAAGCATTTTATACTCCTTCCTCTTCAGACATCAGCTCTAGTGAGAATTTAGCCATTTTCAGCACAGTGCAACTTGTAAAGCTATTCATTTTAACTGCTTTTTTAAAAAATGCAAATGTATTAAAGAAAAAAAGAAAGGGAAATAAAGAAGGGAATAAGCATCAATACATCCATCTTAATTTATACATACAAATTGATACATGCCATCCAAATGCCTTTTTAAGTATCCAAAATTGGTGTTTACAGAAAGTACTTTTGAATGTAGCAAGGGCATTAAGGCCCTCAAATCATTACATAAATAGATGGTGAAGATTTATCCCTCCAGGCCAAATGGAAAGTGATTCCTTACCAGATATGTGGCAAAACATAAGACAAATCTGGTTTTCGATTCAGTTGACTTGGGGGTATGTATAGATGCCAGTTCTCATGTTCAGGTTACCTGATACTTAGGAATGTCTTCACTGACGTTCTGCCTACTGTCCATTGAAGAACTACAGGGAGAAGCTGCACTGGCTCCACCGGTTGTTTGGCAGCCCTTGCCCCAAGTCTTCCCAGAAGCATCCTAGAGGAGGAAATATATTAATTCATGGTAATGCAGAATCCCCATAATTTCTAAGCAACCCTGGGGCATTTCAGTGCAGAAAACATTGTCTCCATGTTAAAATGGATCCACTTGCACTTTTAATCCTGGTCATGGCTGTTTTCCTGATCTGCTAATTGGGTGCTTTCCAGATGTTGTTGCACTCCCAAATGACATCATCCCAGCCAGATGTTCGTTGAGGCTGATGGGAGTTGTAGTCCCAACATCTGTAGGGCACCAGGCAGCCAAAGGCTGCAGTATATGCACTGGACTTTTCTGGTTTCACTTTCCTCAATACAACCAAGCACTTTTGTTGCGCTCAGACCCCCAAACCTTTCCTGTCTTCTATTTACACACAAAGCCCATGTTCTGAGGACTAACTCTTCATGGTGTCCAGGCCAGGCCAGGCTCCAGGGCTCAGAGACCTCTAGTGGCAGGCAGGGTGGGACAGGGAGCCCTGCGTGGGGGGGGGGGGTTTGCCTCATTACCATGCTCCCACAAAGTGGTGCATCTGGGTTGACAACCTGAGTGTGTCCCCCCAACGCTATGCCCCTGCAATCAACCTCTCTTCTCAGGGAACTCAGGGAACTCTGGGAATCAACCCTGAGTGCTCACTGGAAGGACAGATCGTGAAGCTGAGGCTCCAATACTTTGGCCACCTCATGAGAAGAGAAGACTCCCTGGAAAAGACCCTGATGTTGGGAAAGATGGAGGGCACAAGGAGAAGGGGATGGCAGAGGATGAGATGGTTGGATAGTGTTCTTGAAGCTACCAGAATGAGTCTGACCAAACTGCGGGAGGCAGTGGAAGACAGAAGTGCCTGGCGTGCTCTGGTCCATGGGGTCACGAAGAGTTGGACATGACCAAATGACTAAACAACAAAGCAATTCCCAGCACCCTTCTCAAATTTCCCAGGATTCTTGTGAGGGACAGCCATGGCTGTTTAAAGTGGTAGAATACTCTTTTGAATATATAGTGCAGATGGGGGCCTAATTTATTATTTTAGTTTAAACTCATTGATTAGCAGGGCTGTGAGGGAGTGGGAGTGGGGAGGTGAGCTCATTGCCACATGCTCCTTGAGGTAAAAACGAGCCCAACAAGCCATCGGTTTTAGAAGGTCAATAAAAACCCGAACTCAGTAAAAGCAGGAGCATAACAGGGTTTTCTCCTCTCCAGCCTCACACCTACTCCTTATCTGCCCCCATAAAGCACACAGGCCTTTTGCACATTCAAACCACCTATTTACATTCCTTTTGTAAGAGATTTTGCTTTGTACTACATTTAGTTAAGGGCTGTTAATCTAATCCCCCAATGTGACTGTCATTAGGGAAAGAGCAAAATTGTTGGTTGTCATGTGTTTGACACAAGCTACTGACAAGGGGGGGGGGTAGGGAGAGAAAAGCCTTCTGTAATGCGTTTGCCTGTGGGCCACCCACAGGAAAAGCCTGGAACAGAATTCATTAGCTGTACTTCATGATTAAGCTCTGCTTTTTACATGCAAGTAGCCAGCCTAGGCTTCCAGATAAACAAGCCCAATGGGAAGTTGGCTCAACCTGTACATTTGGTTGCTGCTGCTCTGAAGACTCTTTTTTAAAGAGTTCAGGGGGAAAAACCCAGCAAAGTGAGGAGTGAAATGGAAACCACATCTGGAATGGACAGAAGTAATTTACATCAATCAGCCAAAGCTGAGCCTTGTGTGTAAACTGTATTCAAAATGAGCTTTTATTCCAAGACGACATCATAGAGCCAGATGCATTGCACACCATATGTTTAAAGCACATGGCTTCCCCCGCAGAGAATCCTGGAAACTGGTTTGTTGAACATGTTGGGAACTGCAGCTCAGTGGGAGGAAAAACTACAGTTCCCATGATTCGGGGGGGGGGGGAGCCGTATGCCTTAATACATGGCGTGTATGCAGCCAGAGTTTGCATACAGACCTGTGGAGACAACCAAGTCTACGTACACCTAGAGGCAAAGGAGTTGGGTAGCAGGAAGAGGGAAAGATCTCAGGCAAGAGAAAAGAATGGTGATGTTTGTATTCTTAAGCCTTAAGTAAAGGCGGGATATAAATAAATATTATGATAATTGTGATATTAAAAAATTGTGGTCATTTTCCTATTTTATTTTTATGGCTGGATAAAAGGAAGAAACAACAAAACCCATACCTGAACTGTTGTCTCATCAATTTTGTGGACTGCTGTGGAGTCAAACAAGACCTGTCTGCCCCGCCTCTCACAATCTTGATAGACTATCAAGCGAATTTCATTTAGGTCAAACCCTGAAGAGGACCAGCTGTGAATTGTAAATACAAGAAGGAATGAAGATAAATAGCCATTTATTCAAGAGACTTTTTCCATGGAGTGGTCTTGTGAATGTTAAAGCCACAAATGTTCTTCATACATTCACACTGAAAAGGTAGCAGAACAGTTGGATATTACATCACGAGCCATTTCAAAAGTTAAGTCAAACCCCCTGTAGTGTCAAATACACTTTAAAATAACAACCCTGCTTTCAAAAAGTGCTCATAAATAAATAAGGTTGGCTAAAGTAACTAAAGCAAGTAAAAAAGAAAAGAAAAGTTTGCATTCTGTACATGTGAGACTCTGTTACATTTCCATTTAGTATGATGAAGAATTAGTGTAAGTATAGGCAGAAAATTCTGAAGAGTCGCTTTCCAACTTATAGGAATACCACATACATCTCCACATACATGCCTACATGTAATGTTCAGTATTAATGTGGGATGGCCACAGTATATACAGGAGTTAACTGGAAAGCCACAGCTAACCCTAACCCTAGTATTAGCCGGGACAGTCAGTGTGGCGAGACATACCAAACCTCATTACTCAACTCCAGGTTTCTAATTTAAGACCCTTAATAAACCATTCAAGTGAAATTGCAGGTTGCCTTAAAAGGAAGAAAGAAAAACCACACAACAATATTGTCTAGGTAACCCTTAAGACTTGGATTTAAAAAAAAACAACCCTAAAATTCTACCTGAACACATATAAAAATCACTTAAGCATCCTTCAGCATGCCAAGGTCCGATTCTGCCAGAGAAGAGGTGTAGCCACAAATCAAACTCTTTTTTTAAATAGCTGAATTCAGGACAGGGAGCAAAGCATCAGCATCCAATCAGAGAGGATACTGGACATTCACTAAGTCCAGCCCACAGGCAGGAAGAAAATACTTGACATCTGGCTACCCCAGGTTAATAGGTAGAACATTCTCTTTCCCTTCTGACAAATGCTTCCTTGTGTTTGAAGGCAGGATAACAAGAGTAGATGTGTATTACCATTTTTTTCTATTATGGCATAGAGAAATTGTTACATATGGTTTACTGGCATATACGGAAGAGTCATAGCTGTCTCTTCTATTGTAGATGCCAATTACCAGTTCCTCCACTATCCACCATTTTCATGCAAATCTATGACATACAGTTCAGCTTGTTCATACAGTTAAAAAAACCAACGGGAGGGCTCTCACATTATATGCATTATCAAGCAACCTGAAATCTGACCACTACTATTAAACTTATCTTACCCGGTATTAGCAACAAAGAGCTCTAATAAACTCAAATAGGTAAGAAATAAGTAGATGTGTCTTCTAAAAGTAGTTACCATTTTAACAGGTAAGACCAACTTGTGTATTCCTTGTTATGCATTTTTAGGAAGAATTATTGATTATCTTTTGGGTTCAAATGTGCTCTTTTAAGTTTCCAATGAAAACAGAACTTGGATCTGTTTGCCAGTACTGTACTTGAATCACATGGCATTGCCACCCTGCACTTTTGAAATGCACAAGACTTTAGAGCACATGGAAATATTTGAAAGGGCTGCTACAGTGCAGTCCTTTGCTGTTGCAACATAGAGATATGCATTTTCTAGCAGAGGCTTCCCTTATGTATCATAGTTTCAATTCAGTACAGCCATGACCCAGCTAGACCACACCTACAGGGTAGAGAGAGAACACATGCTATTAGGCAACATTAATTTATCCTCAGCATGCAAAAGTTTTGGTTCTCTCCCAAAAGCGCTTTAAAAAGTAGGATTTTAAAACTTCTTCTTTTTTTTTAAAAAAAGAAAGATATACCATATCTTTGAGGAAGGGGGAAATGGGTACCTTTCCTTAGCCAGAAGGAAAACATTTAAAGTAATGTTTATTAAACTTTTTGCTTTCTATAGGCTAGCAATCCTCAAATGTTTGTGCATATTACAAGTGGTCAGCAAAGAGTACCCGCATATACACTCCTCTTTGTCAATGGCCTAAGATGGGTGGGAAACCTGCAGCTTCTCCAGATGTTGCTGCTGGACTTCATCAGTTCCAGTCAACATGATGATTCCAGTCAGGGATGATGGGAGTTGTAGTTCAGCAACATCCAGGTGTGCTACAGACTCTCGAATCCCTGGCTTAGAATCTCACAGGTGACTGAACTCCTTGATTCCGCCAACTATAAGAGAGAAGTCAAAATCTGTTTCTTTCAATATTATACAATACATGGCTCAGTATCTGCAAGACATCCAGCTCTGTGCTAAGGAAAGGTCACCAAACACTGTTCTTGGGTGACAAAATAATCTACATGTTGAAAAGGACTGCAGTTCTTTCGCCACTGAACACACTTCTAACACCAACCTGCCCTCTCCCTTCCTGGGCATTTGAGTTTCTGAACATAACTGTGGGTTTGTACTGCAATATATATTACTACAGGAAAGTGGAAATCTGCTTCTTTTTCCAAGTTGCTGAATACATACAACCTGCCTTCATGGAGAACTTCAACTTCAGATGTTCAAAAGACAAATCGAACTAGTTTTCTGGAGCTACCAACGTATGCCCACACTACTGTTTCATTGCCACTTTATAGGTGCCACAGAATATCCACTCCACACTTGAAAGAAAATATATCTTTTAGCATGGCAACACCTACTCTTCAGAACTATCTCACATCTTCACTGCACTCCTATTGGCACCTGCTGAAAACATTTTATTTTAGACAAACATGTATTTTAATCTTTTCCCACTTATTGTAAAGGTTTTTTATTTTTAAAATTTCTTCTTTATTTTCAGGCTGGCTTTATTTTTTTGTAAATTAATTAGAGGTTCGATTGACAAGCAAGCGGTACATTAATTTTGTTAAATGATGAAGTGCTGAAGGTAGCATGTGTGTAAAATCAGCCTGTTTTACATTGCCTTTTGAGGAAGCTATTCAAATTGTAAACTTTAAAGAATTTCACTTATTGCTAGCACTTTATTGGTAAACCACATCTGTAGCTCATAGGGCCACACATGGAGAATCCTTTTTCAATCTCCTTATCTTAATATACACAACCAATGCAGGCACAACATTTCAGTCAAACACTTCCTTCTCCCAGTTAGTTAAGATTCCAACTAACCTACACAGTAATTTGTTAGCATCCAATATGCAATATAGTTAAGATATTAAGGGTAACTGTTGAGTGATTCCCTGGAAAAAAGGTTAATTGGCTAAAACTGTGATGCCCCTTTTTAGGATTAGTCTTACTTTTCTCCTATGCAAGTTAGAACGCATGGTCTCAAAGTCCTACCCCACCCAAATGCAATTTCTGAATTAAGCTTTCCTACCTTTTTGATAGCTTTCCAGATACTCCCTTTGAATAACTGCAACTCTTTTCCACCACAAGTGGTTTCTTAGCCTTATTCAACCTTGCCTTTGAAAAGCTGTTCTCCAGTGTGGTAGAGGAACCACAAATCTCTCTTCCTTTTTCAGTCTGGTCCCCTGTGCTGTTCGACGTCTTTGGCGGGCCTCCACACATGTTGAGCTCACAGGTATTCCCTCTCTCTTTTACACAAACACACTTTCATCACTTCTTTGAAGTAGCCACTGTGTATTGAAGAGTGATCTACCTAGGGTCCTTCATTACAGTTCAGTATCTATTGGTTATGAACTTTCTCACTGGGGGGGAAATTCAACCAAGAATTGAACAGCATTCATTTGGGTTTCCTTCTTCTTCTTTGTTGTCGTCTTCTTTCTTTAAAGGAGTGGTCCTTGCTGCATCATGCCTGTAAATATTCTCTATTCCAAAGGCTCACAATGCACTACATAATTTAATTTCAAAAAAAGAAATAAGCACAACTTGAATATCCTAGTAATCCAACCAATTTGCTGTCAGATGCAGTAACTAGTAAGAGCTATGACTATCTTGCTTCCTGGTATGCTTCTGTAGCTAGCAATTATTTGATCACAAGACCTAACCAGATGGCCTTGGATATAGAGAGAGAGGTTGCTTTCTGACTGACTCCCTAGTTGCAAACTTGTTTTAAAACTGGCTGCAACACCCTCCTAATGGGCTCATGTGAGCAAGTGTCATCTGACAGCTCTTAGCAACCTTGTGTCTCAGCACCATCACTTCCAATGCAAACAGGAACCTGTCACCAATGCCACAGGTTATCGGTAGGGAATGATTAACACAAAGGAAGGGACAGCGACCTCCCTACCTCCCACCCCTTAGAATGTTTGTCTTCTAGTGCTGATAATATTGTAAGCAATTCCCATATAGTGCGAGATGATGATCAACACACAGGGGCTGGTTAAAGAGCACAGGAAAATTTTGAAGGCCTGGAGAGATTCCTAAGAGACACTCCACCCTGCCCTTTACACTTAAGTTACAGTCAAACACAACCAGTGTTTTAAGTCAACTGAGCAACACTGCAGATTTATTTTAGATCCATTATTGCTTTTGCCTCTGGCACAAATGGACAGAATGGAACTTAAGGAATAAAGTCAGCACTTCATGCTGTTGGGACTACAACTTCCACCGGCCATAGGCAGGTTGGCCCATGGCCAGTTAAGATGGGAGCTATAACTGGACAACAACTGGAGGGCATCAAGTTGAGAAAGGCTGCACTAAACCACACAGGGTAGTGGCAAGTGCACCTCTGTATACCAGATGCTAGGAATCACAAGTGGGATGGGTGCCACTATCCTGCTTGCAGGCTTTACATAGGCAACTGGTTAACCACTGTGGGAACAGACAAATAGGCCTGGGGCTTGATCCAGTATGGCTCTTGTGTCCTCCCTTCTCTTTCTTTCCATGCAGAAGAATTTGGAAGGCTTTGCTTCTGCTTAACCATGGGCTGCTGCTTAGTCCAAAATGACAAAATGTTGCTAATACCTATGGCTAGTTTGAAAACAAGCCAACTTGAACCCATGCAGGAGTACAGAAGGGGAAGGCATGAGCATGAGGTTTGCTACACCTCCTTCACTTTGCACTAATCTAGTTTAACATGGTGTGCAAACATGGCCATTAGCTCCAGATTATAGGACACTTTAGTTCCATTATATACTTTCCCCACATCTGCCCCAGCTGCAACAAAACATGTCTCTCCTGCATTAGTCTCTACAGCTACAGAAGGTGCTACAACCTTCCAATAGTTTGACTTCACCTCCAAAGGCGCATTCCCCCACTGTCTCCCGAGACAGATGCCAACCAACTATGTGTGTGTATGGAAGTGGCATAAATTTTCCTGGCATGAAGATGCAGCAATGGGAAAAAACAAAACCACTTGCTGGGTTATCACACACATATTTAGACAGCCAGTGTGATGTAGTGGCTAGAGTCAGACTAGGACCCGGGAGACCAGGGTTCAAATCCCCACTCAGCCATGAAGATCATTGGGTTACTTTAGGCCACTCACTGCATCTCAGCTTAACCTACCTCACGGGGTTGTTGTGGGGATTAAATGATGAGGGGAAAACCATGTATACCACTTTGAGCTCCTTGGAGAAAAATGAGGGATATAAATGCAATAAATAATAATAAATCATAGTTTAGAACCATGGTTCCCAATGTGGGGTACACACCCCACAGGGGGCAATTTAATTTTTAAAGGGGGCAATTCGAGAATGAGTTATTAACAGTGAGTGGCCTTTTAGGCTTCCTCCACGTGAATAGCAGTTCACTTTTTGAATAACAATAATTATATGTCGGGGGAATCAGGATTTTAGGGGTGCTTAGGTGGGGCATGGCCAAAAAACTGTTGGGAACCACTGGTTTAGAAGGTACAGGAGCTCTTTAAGAAATAGGTTGGCAGCCATGCAAGTAAATGAAAACAAATTGATTCTTTTACATAAGAAGTAGGGAAGTGGGGGTAATAGTTCAAGTCTGATTTGTTTTTAAACACAAACACCTACATACACACAGTCACACACACCTGGAGGTCTTGAGAGACTTGTGATATATATTACATTACAAGATCTTTGTCTTCCTTGATGTATCAATATGGAACGCAAGCACAATTAAGGTCTAGCACCAAACTTCCCGCATCCATTTAATCTTTGCTGGTGCACAAAGCTGTTTTGCCAAAGCATTTGCTGTTTTCTAAACAAGGGGTGGGGTTCTGCCCAGAGTCATTGCATTTCGCATTCATCCTTCCTCATCTCAGATGATGCCTCATTTCATAGGGCACTTGTTCCAGACGGAACCATGTGATGCATCCAACTTCCAAGAACACAGTGCTCAGCAGAGAGGCTGCCAGGACATAACCAACTGAAAAGCTCTTTGCCAGACACAGAAATCTACCTTATGCCTTAATGTGCCTGCATTTACCTTCCCAACCCACCACACCTTTCCCTCAAGCCTCTACCATGTATTTTAAACGTATCATTTTAAAAATCAAAGCCTTTCTGTGACGGCAGAGAGCCCAGGTAATAGATACAATTAGCACCCACAGTCGTCGATTGCACCAGCTTCATTTTTTGCCCTTCATTACTAACTGATGTCATTGCCCAAGATTTCCTGTACAGCAGGCACAGGTCAGCTGAGTCTTCCTGACCACACCTGGGTTTGGCATCCTGATACATGGGCTTGGCTACATTTTCTGACTGGTGCTTCCTAGTTTGTTCAGCAGTTTCCATGTTCCTGTTTGTGGAGGAGTGTTAGGGGTTCTCTCTCTCTCTCTCTCTCTCACACACACACACACATACAGAAATTAATGTTGCTTCTGTTACCTGCTCAATGACCAGAAAGCACCAGCTTGATTAAAAGTGCTGCTTCAGAACTGTTTCAGTGATGCAGCTCAAAGGCCTTTTCAATAAAAGTAGTCAGCTAATAATAATAATTTTATTATTTATGCCCCGCCCATCTGGCTGGGATCCCCCAGCCAATCTGGGTGGCTTACAACGTATCTAAAAACATAATAAAAACATAATGTGTTAAAAACCTCCTGATACAGGACTGCCTTCAGATGTCTTCTAAAAGTTGTGTAATGCTTTATCTTCTTGACATCTGAAGGGAGGGCATTCCACAGGGAGTGTGCCACTACCGAGAAGGCCCTCTGCCTGGTTCCCTGTAACTTCACGTCTTGCAGTGAGGGAACCAGCAGAAGACCCTAGAAGGAGGACCTCCGTGTCCGGGCTGAGTGATGGGGGTGGAGATGCTCCTTCAAGTATACTGGGCTGAGGCAGTTTAGGGCTTTAAAGGTCAGCACCAACACTTTGACTTGTGCTTGGAAACGTACTGGGAGCCAGTGAAGATCCTTTAGGACCGGAGTTATATGTCTCAGCGGCCATTCCCAGTCACCAGTCTTGCTGCCACATTCTGGATTAGTTGTAGCTTTCGAGCCACCTTCAAAGGTAGCCCCACGTAAAGTGCATTGCAGTAGTCCAAGCGGGAGATAACCAGGGCATGTACCACTCTGGCGAGACTGCCCCCTGTCTGTGGGCAGGTAGGATCTCAACCTGCCTACAGATGGAGGTAGGAAACAGCTACCTAAATTCAGTGCACTGCTATAGGAAAGAGGGCCAGCATTCAGTCTTGCGTACTGAGCCCAAAATGATGCTGCTGCTCTTACAACCAAAAGTGTGGCAGAGCAAGGATGGGCAAGGATGATGCAACACCAGCACAGCAGAGATTATGATGGCATCTCCTGGGGCACTATCTGCCAGTCTTTGGCATTCCAAATAAGTAAGTTTTTCTTAGAGAGATATCCACCAAGTAAGCCAAGCAGAAGGAGATATATATAAATATATATAGCTATGCACACCAAAAACTATGGGTTAAAGTACCACTTTTATTTTGCAAAACTCCAAAACCACTTTAATATGATAAACACAAATGTCACAGAATAGTGTGCAAGCTTTGGAATCCACCAGAACTCTTCATCAGGCTAGATGTTAAAGTGGAGATCACAGTACGAAGAAAGCTGGGTTGCTTTAGAACAGGAGTCAGCAACCTTTTTCAGCCTTGGGCTGGTCCACCGTCCCTCAGACCATGTGGTAGGCCGGACTATATTTTGAAGGAAAAAAATGAACGAATTCCTATGCCCCACTAATAACCCAGAGATGCATTTTAAATAAAAGCACACATTCTACTCATGTAAAAACACGCCGATTCTGCGACCATCCATGGGCTGGATTGAGAAGGTGATTGGGCCGCATCTGGCTCAATGGCCTTAGGTTGCCTATCCCTGCTTTAGAAGCTATAATGTTTGCATTGGTCAGAAGTTCATTTTTGTTCTATAATCCTAGAAGTGGCATAGCTTTGGGGACACGGCTATGCATTGTCACCAACAGTGCTGCACTTCAGAATTTTTGACTACAATACTGCTGTTTGCATCAAAATGTTTAAGCTACCATCACCCACTGAACAAAAAACAAACATTAATGCACCACATCAAAGCACCACAAGTGAAAACGGATTTAGGAGACTCTGGGGAAAGGAAAGAAGTAGCCACAGAATATGACATGAACCAGATCTTTGATTTGCTTAATAAATGTTATTTCATGGCTTGCCATTTGAAGACTAAGCAACAGCTGTGCTAGATAATTAGATGAGATTAAAAGAACAAGGGTTATATTATATAAGTTATATAATAATAATAGTCTCCCATTGGAACTATCCTCAAGTTAACATGCTCGTATAGGTGTTATTCTAAAGTATGAAGAGGAATAGAATTGTCACAACTAGCACAATGCACATAAGTCTTTGTGCAAGGAGAATGAAGAAAGGTACAATGCCTACCATTATAACTTTATCAGCATGTAACATTAAAAAAACCCCACTATGGAGTGATGTTTACATATTCAACTGGTGATGAATGCTAGGAAATCCTGCCTCCGATGAGATAGATGATAAACTGAAGTCCGGAAATGGCTTCACTGTTTTTTATACTCATTTGTCAAGGTATATGGGAGCTGGTAAAATTGCTGGAGTCAACTTACTATATTCATTTCAAAGGAGAAGATTTTTTTTTAAAAAAAGGTTTATTGAGAAGGATGGAAGAGCTCTTTTTTATAGCTTGCACATGCGACAGAATAATTTTGCTACAATGAAAGATATTTCAATTTAGACTTAATGAGAATTCACAATATGAGTGGACATTTAGCAATCACATTGCAACATTATCTGATCTAATATTAAAACTGGAAATGGAGCATTAAAAGGCTAAAATGGTTTCACCCATAACACGGCCTTAAGCTGTCTCTTGTAGCAAAAGTGGCAATAGATTCCAGAGACAAGACTTATCTATCAAAGGTTGAATGCAACACGCCCCCATGAACGGTAGGGATATTGCCTTTAGCATTGTTCCGCAAACACTTATGCAAGAGTCTGCAGACGCGTTTGTGTAATGTTATAATAGGTAGGTTCTATAGCAGCTCTCGTGCTTCCGCCTATGTGACCTCTTGCAAAATAACGTGTTTTGAGTTTAGTTTCACTTTTCTTGCACGACGTTCTGGTATGACATGTAAAATGTCATTCCAAGGTCAGATCTACACCATACATTTAAAGCATATGGCTCCCCCCCCAATAAAAAATATTCCTGGGAACTGTAGTTTGCCAAGGGTCCTGGAAATTCTTGCTCTTTGAGAGGTAACCTCTTTATTGTCCGGATTTGTAAATGTCACCAGGGATGGTTATGGATGGAAGCAAGAGCTGCCTATAAAAGGTTTGATGTGGTAGAAGTAGGTGCACCTCATGTGCAAAAAAACCCTGGTATGATGCAGGGTGCAGGGAGAACTGATGCAGCCAAATTAAGGCTGAGCATGCTTAGTGAATATAGAAGGTTCTGGTCTGGTGCAGAATGAAAAGAAATAAAAGGAAACTGGGGAACTGGGGAGCAGGAATAGAATGAAGTGACTGCAATACCAAGCTGAAGAAGCACTCCCCACTGCAATATTTTGTGGCAGTCCCGTTTAACTTATAACTACAATAACTCAATTACAGTTTTATATCAAGAAAATAGGAACATTAGCACTGTATTTTATACTGTTGTTGTTGGCATCTGTCTGTCTCAAGAGACAATAGAGTGTGCTTCAGGGGGTGAAGTCAAATCGCATGTCTCTTTGCCCAGGCATCTCCTGGTAGTTGCTGCCAGTTTTCACTGCCCCTGAATTAAGCTGATGATGTTTTAATGAAGTGTTTTACCATACTGTTCTCACTGAGACACTCCTGCTGTTATGTTGTGTTTCTTGTCATAAGGCGCTCTGAGATCCTATCTTGAAGTGGTTTAGAAATTATTCGAAATAAATCCAGGGAGAAGTCCTGCCTGAAGGCCTCCTGCTTTCTGCCAAAAATATGTTTCCATGGTAACCAGAAGCAGCTCTCTCCTCTGAATAAAGTTCTGCGACAAAAACAACAACCATCCAAACCCTTTCAGTCTTAGAGAAGCTTAATGACACTTACGAATTCACTCATGCACCTCATTTTAAAAAAATAAAATGAAAAGCCCTTACCTAACCTCAAATACTTCATAAGCAATAAACATGTTATATAGATTCACATACTGAACTCTCTTGCAACCTAGCCTTCACGCAACCACCACTTCCCTTCCCTTCCCTTCCCTTAGTCTTTCAGGTTAGTGCCAATACTCAAGCAAAAGACACAATGGACCAGTGACCACCTATCTAGGTACCAAACCTTTGCTTTCCTCTTTATATAGTAGCTCACTTTGCTATATACAGAAGATACCATTGAGCGAACTCAGGACGCAAGGGAGAAACGTGCTAAGAGGAAGGCTCGCTTGGCAAATCCACACCATGATCAACTCCCGCCCAGAAACCAATGTCCCCACTGTGGAAGGATGTGTGGATCCAGAATTGGCCTCCACAGTCACTTACTGACTCATTGCTAAAACCGTGTTTATGAAAGACAATCTTACTCGGCTACGAGTGATCGACAAAGAAGAAAGAAGATACAGAAGATATTTGATACAATACCAAATTGCTCCCAGCCATTTGTCTCTCCCTCTATTTTCCAGCAGTTGTTTTGACCACCACTTTCTCACCTATCTTTCCTAAAAATCTGCCAAGTTGCACACCTGACTCAAGGTGCTTCTTCATACCAAATTACTGACACGAAAAATCACAAGGTGTAGAATTTATACTTTATAACAGGAACACAGTAGAAATCCACACAGCCTTACATTTAGTGTTGTTCCAGAGCCTCTATAGTACCATTAAAGTAAGTAACAAGTAAGCAAAAAAATTCATTTACGCTTTCTTCCCTTTTACCAGCAATGGAGCATTGCTAATTTTTAAATTTCATGCTGGCAGACTCTCTCTAAGCATTGCAGCATGACCAAAGGAATGGCTTGCAATCTACTGCCAACTGAATGAGCTCATTCACCAAAGCTAACATATTGTTACCAGCTAAGGATCCTGAACAGCAGCAATAAAGCATGTGTTCAGTTGCAAATCCTAGAAAGGACAGAACTGGAGTATTCAAAGCTTAAGTGTATTCAAAGCAGAAGCCTACTGTGTTTAAAACTTGCTAACACATATCCCAAGGTATTATTTAGATGCAGCAGTTTTAGCAAATTATTGAACACTGGTTTTAATATGTTTTCATTTTGGTTTTCAGCAGGAAATAAGTTATACTGCAGCTGTGCCGCTTATATCACACATTTCCAAATAAGGATGCTGCTAAGGTGGAAATGCCCGTAGTCAAATTTATCAACCGTGCTGGACCAGGGTATAAAATCTGGGGGGGGGGGGGAGATACATTCCCACAAAATATTTCCATAAGCAGGCACTCATGGGATCACTTTAAAAAAGGGGAAGTCTCACTAACTCTCTCTCCACCCGCAGGCTGCTCAAGACAACAGCAAAGACAACCTCAAGCTCCAGAAGAGAGATCTTGAGTAATATTCAGGATTTGTCTATGGACATGCAACCAAGTTTTGTTACCCGTGCACTGCATGCCTGTCAATTCAGCTGAAGGAAGAGGGACCAGATTCTAGAAGACACAGATGTACATCAGATTTACTCAGGGCGCTCAGATACTCTTAAATGCTTCTAAAATCGGATACTAGAGCTCCATGCGATTCCATACGTTTCAATCCTGCAAATGTTGCCTGTGCCCATGCTCACCATCACCAGTTTGAACAGCTCACCACAACCAGCCTGTAGTATATTGTGATGGCATCACACCAAGAGAGCTTTTAATAACAGCACGTAGGCATAGAGATGATCTCCTTCACCTGCTTGCCAGCCTACTAGTAATTTTAAGCCCATGTGAATGTATCAGAAGCCAAAAAGCTTTACGCCATAAAGTAAAAGCCAAACTATGTCAATTCCCCCACCCTTAGGAAGTGGGTCATCAACACTTTTCTAAATTGCCTATTTTACATTTGAACTCTCAACTAGTTCAGCTAGTCCAGCTTGATGACACAATCACAGTACTATGGAGTAAAGGTACTATGTGGCTAGGTGTTTAGTTCTCTTATTGTTACTAATGGCTCATCGCAAAGCAAAAAGATTTCACAACTGCACTAGAAAAGGACACTCAGCACAGCAGCTGATCTGCCTCTATAGGGCATGATCATGCAAGCTGTCCACTTCAGGTTGACATATGGGTCCTGCAGCCGAAGGAGCAAAAATTGGGCATAACCTTGTCCTCTGATAGGGTTCAGTTCCAGAGCATAGAAAAGAAATGACAGTAACAGTGACCCACCGTCAAGTAACAGGGGATGAGGGATAAGAGCTTCCAGATCAGCTTAAGTCAAAACACTTTTAGAAATTATGCACTCAGAACTGCACAGATGGCATGCACAAAGTGGTTGTGTAGGGGATGCTGGCAACTTCACAGGAAACATGGAGAGGTGGCGTGGAAGTCATCATATATCCATCTTCCTTAGCCTAATGCCCTCCGGATATATGGAGGGTACACCAGACGGAGGAAAACTGCTATATAAGAATCGCAGCCAGAATGCGTGTAGCTATCGCCAATAACCTTCCAAGGACCCAGCAACGGGTATGGGGCTTTAATATATGCAACAGGATTCCCACCTGGAAACATCAGAAGGAACCAGGAAGGGAGGACCTCTCCACCTATGTTAAATGTTGGCCGTTTGACCTGAGGCTGCAAAAGAACTGCAGTGTTAACTCAGCACGATTAACGAAAAAGAGTAATCTGAAGGGGAGGGTATGTTACTTTGAGTGGTTTAGTTGGAAAATAAAACGTTAAAATGAGCAGAACTAGTTTTTGAATGGGGAGAAGGCGAAAATCAAAGCCCCCAGCCCAGTCCTTCTCCCCACCCCCTTTCAGTCTTTATTTCCGCAGCATATTTAGCATTTCAAAAGGATAGAACCTAGCAAAAGATCCAGACATTACCCAGTCACAAGACCTAACCAGTCACAATGAATGGAATGGGATGTCATGTGAAAGTGTGCTGTCTACACATGTGATGTAATCGCTTTGGCCTTGACCAGCCTCTCTCACAATACAAGTGAACAGATTATGAAATGACTGATTTCTGAACCCTCTGATTATTCAGCAAACACAGGGAAAAGAGAACAGCAAACACACAGAAGTTTGGTTCTGTGGTTGTAGATTGCTGCTCCATTTGGTTCTCCACGTTAGCAATGAGACTAATTACAGGAAAGAAAAACTAATATGACCCCAAACTGCAATGGAGAAGCTCTTTTTATGAATGCAAGTCTACTGGGGAGAAAGTCATAGATGCAAGAAAATGATGATGCGAAAACACTGGGTTGTGTCTGAGTAAAGTACACATTGAAATCAATGGGCTTAATGATTAGCTTTCAATGGGTCTACTCTGAGTATGACTTAGTAAGGTACCGCCTGCAATGCTCAAGCAAATTGTTTTATTTTGCTTGTATGTTCAAAGCAGATAGAATAACTGAGCTTGTTCAGATCTGCAGAAGCAGAAATGAGGACTTGGTTTAGAAATATCCTTTCACTGTACAAAAGTGTGAAGTGATTCTGGTGATCATGGAATCACCTCAATCCTTTCTGTCCACTCCTAAATATACAGAGCTACCCTGAAAATAAGCGCTGAGCAGCCTGACCAGAGATGGTCACTGATGCATTCCTCCATGAATATAGTAATGTTTCCTGTTCTACTCTCCAATTGCTGTTATAAGCTTCACTTTGTACATGGCTTGCTTCATACACAGAGATGGTGATACCTGTAACCCGGCAACACCTGGAGGGCCACAGGTCTCTCCCTTCTACATCCCTGCTTACGTTCTTCCACTACAGTGCAGTGCTCATTCCACACCATGCCCCATTTCCACAAGGCTGAGATCTATGAAACCTGCAGCTATCTCCATGAAGCTGTAATTCTCAGCATATGTAGGAGCATTCTGGCAGTACTAACACAAGGCAAGACACCAGTTGCTATCCTAACCCAGGAGTTGACAAATAGTCATACTGGGCAACGAGGTTGTTTGCATGCATCAGTATGCATGGGTGTAAGTTTAGCACACATACACTAAGGGCATACAGTAGTAAATTAAAAACCAAGTAGTCTAAACATCATTTGAAAACAACTTCAGAACCTAATACTGAATGCAATTTTCTCCCTCCTTCCTATTTTCACAAATGACCTACAGGAGAATCACATGGGCTCTGTGATGGAAGAAAGGCAGAATATCAATACAAGAAAAATAAATATTAGAACTGTCAGCTCATCATGGGGCTGGCATCGTTTCATTGCTCAACAGATGAGTAGCACACGTCTGTAATGTTTTATGCTAAATCGCCTAAATACTTACTACCTCTCTGGCCACAACAAGGCATCTTTAAATGGCAACATCTAAGAAAACTGTAGAGAGGACTCACAAATGCTTAACATTATGCAATTGTTTTAAAACAGTGTGCAAACTTTTAGGCTAGAGTGGGCCTAAGTTTTTCCTTAGGACTTCATTTTAAACATATACGTACTAGGGAGAGCAAATAGCAGAAGACTAACATTGTGTTGATTTATAGCCCAATAGCTTGTGCATCTTTTAAAACTGAAGGATTTAAAAATATTATATTGGGTTAAGAAACAAACATAAGAGGTGTCCTTAGAATAAATGATGTTGTTTAAGACTCCTATTGAAAACATGTATGCATTGTATCAGTAGATACAGGGTGCAGTGTTTTTGAAGCCATACTAGCAAGTTCACGTAAGGCTACATTCTCAACTCCTAAAACATTTGGGAACCTATGGCCCTCTGTGTGCGAATGGACTCTCAATTCTCATTATATGCCGTCAGCATGTCCAATGGTCAGAGCTATTAGGAACTGTAGTTCAATAAGATCTCCAGGATCATAAGTTTCCCATTCATCATACACTACTTACTGAGGACTGAAATCCTGTGCACACTTACAAGGAGCCAACCCCAGTGAACACAGTGGGGCTTAAGTGAAAAGGGGAATGTATTGCAGTGTGTTGTAACACATAGCACATATATCACAAGAGTATTATATTTGTATTGCGTGCATCTTTCAAGACGTTCAGAGCTGCATGTGTCTTTTTCTGACCTCTTGGTTGAGTGAAGATTTGAATCAGGGGTACAGTTCAAGCCCTACATCCCCTTTCTACATCACATCAACTTGAATAAAGTCTTTCCCCAACCTGAAGCTCAGTGCAGCAAAAAACCAACAGCATATTCCTAACCATGCCTATGAAGAATCAAGTCCTATGGAGCTCAAAGAGGTTTACATGCAGGGTAAGTGAATTCAGGACTGCAGCCTAAGGCACCTCAAAGCAGAGAGAGGTGCCTAAGGCACCTCAAATGGGAGGGCGCATCCTTGTCTAAAGGCGCCACGGGCCTGGCCCACCAGCTGCGTCGAACACTTTACCCATGAGGGGAGGCTGTTACGAAACAGCTGCTGAACATGTGCAACACGTCTTAACCATTTCAGAGCCATTTAAACATTAGGATCAACTCCATTCCTCGCGGAGCGCTGCATTCGCTCTGAGTCCCAAAGCGACCTGTAGGACCTGCAAAAGAAGCAATTTCTCCCCTCGCCTTTCGATCTGCAGAACGAGCCGACCAATGCGCCCGCCGTGAGCGCCGGGTAATCCCGGTGGCTGCTGCATAAGCAAAAAGAGAAAGAAAGAAGAGAGCGGGGCGGAGAGGGAGAGAAAAGCTGGATGCGTAAGAGGAAAAATAACTCGCACAGAGGCACCTCGATGATCCGGGCACAATGCATGCACTTTGCTCACTCACCTGAACGCAGAGCCTTCCTTGGCCGCCTGACAAGGAGAAGCCGAGTTGCTGCTGCTGCTGCTACTGCCGCCGCCGCCCCTTTTGTTAAACAGCTTCTGGAGCAGCGTGGGGGCCATGCTGCCGCCCTAAGCTTAGGGAAGCATGCGTGGGGAGCCAGGAGACACCTGCGCCAGGTCGCTCCGCTGGCCGCGGTCACGAGTCGCTCGCTGCTGCTGCTGCAGTAGCATCCATGCCAGCCACGATCTGGCCAGCCCGAGTTGCGCTTCCAGCGCTCCGCCTCGCCCCGCCGCCCCCTGAGCCGGCGCCTCCCTCTCTTCCCAGACAGGCATTAATGGAGGCGGCCAGTCATATGACTGGGAGCGAGCCAAGCGGGTTTGCCCGGCGGCACGCACAGCTCCCCCCTGTGGCCGGCTCGAGTTCCGCAGCCCCGCAATCCAAGCCTGGGAGCTTCCCGAACGCGCAATCCCCGCCCGGCGTTTTGTCATTGGATACTAGGGGATTCCGAGCCTTCCCCGGGCGCGCCGCAAGAGGCACGCTTAAAGGGACGCGGGTTTTCTCTTCTTTCCCTGATCAGTCTCAGAGGGCCTTGAAAGGGCTGTCTTTGGATGGAAGCGAAGGCGATGCGAGAAGATGATGGGAAAGAAAGGATGGCCTCCTTTTCACACTGTGGTTTCATATATGGCACAATGCAATATTTCCAGTTTCACGAAATCAACACACTCACAAGTACTACGCACAAAGAAGTACTGCAAATGTTAAAAGTAACTGGATTTTCAGTTATGAATCAGCAGCAGCCTCCTGCCGAAAGAAAGAAAACCTGTGGATTAAACATCAGTGGTTTAAATCAGTGCAGTTTGGGATGGTTTAGTCTGCCATCTTGATTCAAAGTAGTTTCCAATCATATCCAAATATAGACAAAAACCTGCTCCTTGATCTCAAGAACCATCATGCAAAATATGATTATGCTATCTTAAGAGGTGTCCAAACTCCACCCCCACCATAGCAAACAATCAGCCAAAATATATACAGTAGTAGATTATATCCTAGGTGAGACCAGCTCTGGTTTTTTCTAGGCAATCACCACTATAAAGGCCGATGTATTTCTTAAAATACATTTCTGCATCTTCTGAAGTTTGGCTTTGCTCTAAACATTTTCACATGCAGCCTTATCCTGTTTAGAAGCCACTGTTTTCTGTGCAGTTTGTTTATAGGAAAACATATACTGTATAGCTGTGCCTATAAGCGCTCAAGCTGGCAGCCCAAGCCTATGCATGTTTATTAAGTTCGATGGTCACTTAGTTCAATGAGACTTCACTCCCTAATAAATGTAGTTCAGATTTCTAGATGCCTTGAAAGTACTGTCCCTTAGAAAATCCTATTTGGATTTGTAACAACCATTTGCTAGTTGTGAATATCCCCTTCTTGGGCAAGGAGCTAGAACAGGTAATTGCAGTCCGCAGTCCAACACTAGACCATTAAATCAGACTGATAATCTGGATCTCTTTCAGTGGCTTCAGACTGGTTTCAAACAGCAGCAATATAGTCACCCTGATGGATGGCATATGACAGGAGAAGGACAAAATATACTTCTCTGGGCCTTCTGGTGTTGGTGCTTGCCTTTAAAGTCCTAAATGGCTTTTGACCTTAAAATCAGCCTTCTTCTATATGGGGCTGCACAAACATTAAGGTCTTCCTATCTGTTGTGAGGAGGGTTGTGACCACCAGAGGGGACTTTTTTTTCAGTCACAGATTCCTGCACATAGAATGCCCTTCACAGGGAGCTTATCTGAAACTGAACCAAAAACTTTTATATTTCCCCAAGAACTCTGGCATCTTGAATAGTTGGTTTTAATTGTTTCATTTTAAGGTATTTTGATTTCCTGTTACTCATTTTCACACAACCGTACCATCCCTCCTCTTCTTTTCAGCCTTGAAAACTTGCCTACGCGAAGCCATCCACGCAGTTGAATACCTAAATATGTGGTTATGTGGTCTGTCGCTATAAGGCACTCTGCAAAAGCTCACAGGTGAACTTTGATGATGATGATGATGATGATAATGACATTCCTGTCCTGTGCATCTAAAGCCGCATTTCACTTCAAAATCCCGCCCCTCCTGCCTCAAAAACTAAAAGATGACGGAAAACTGAGGTCAAGCGGCGTAGGCACTGGTGTTAAATTAAAACGCAGAAATATCGTCCTCTTGGAGAGTGCATATACACAGAAAGTGTTCGCGAGGGAGAGGAGGACGCAGCTCTGGAAACGAAGCTCATCGCAACGTTGTCCTTTCGCAACGACGCGGCCTACCACCCTTAATTTACTCGGGAGAGCCAGTAAGCAAATTCCACTGAAGACGGGAAGGGAAAACACGCTCGGGCTTCGATATCCCCAGCAGCAGCAGTAGCCTCCGCCGCCATGCGCTCTTCTAGATGTTCGCCTCGGAGCTACAGGGAAGGAGGGGCTGCCGGCGAGCTTCCCCCGCCTCATTTGAAGCAGGAAGGCGGAGCCTCCACTGCAGGCCGCAGCGGAAGGCCGAGCCGCAGAGGAGGCGGCGGCGGCGGCGTGAGGCAACAGCAGCAGCAGCAGCAGCCGGCATGTCTCACGAGTCTCCTCTCTGCAAGCCCTCCAGCCCGAGCAACCCCCGGGTGTTTCTCGATGTGGACGTTGGGGGAGAACGAGGTGCGGGCGGGGAGAGGCGAAATGGCAGAGAGGTTGGGGGGGGCGGGGAGGAGAAGAGGCGGCGGAAAGCGCGCGCGGAAGGTTCCCCGGCGGCGGGAAGGGCGCGAGGGGCAGGAGGGAGGGAGAGAGTGTCCGGCCTAGCCGAGGCCCGGCAAGCAGGTGGTCGGAGGACCGTGTGCTGCTGCCGCCGCCGCCGCCGCCGCCGCTGTCCAATGTTCTGCAAGCTCTGCCTTAGCCAACAGGGCGGGCAGCGGGAGGAAGCGGCGCTGCCCCCGGATCTTTTGTATCGTTTCCCCCTCGCCCGAGTGGGAATTCTCCCTCAGGCCGCCGCCGCTGCAGGGAGAGCAGCGCACCCGTAGCGCGCGGCGTATATATAGTAAAATATTGGGGAAGCGGGTTGGCGGAGACGGGACCACTTAAGGACCCTTCCTCCGCTTTCCCCATAATTAAAAAACAAATAAACCCAAATTAGAATAAATCCCGCGAAGTCCCTCACTGCACAAACAAGACTAGAGAAAAAACGTACTGCCCCATCCTGCTTTATATGTTAAATATAAAATAGGTTTTTTAAAAAAATCCCCTCAGAATAAGCGATTCCCTCATCAGCAACCTGGAGTGGTATGTTCGAGGAAAAGCTTTTACCACTTTGTTGCGTGTATTTGTGTAAACCTTGACTCTCCAGATTTAAAGAATGCTAAGGCAGGCTAGAAAATTCCAGAACTAATTTCTTTTTCCTGGCTTGAACTACAGAAATATTGTAAAAAAATATATATATCGCCTTCTAGTGTTACCGTATTTTTTGCCCTATAGGACGCACTTTTTCCCCTCCAAAAATGAAGGGGAAATGTGGGTGCGTCTTATGGGGCGTATACAGGCTTTCGCTGAAGCCTGGAGAGCGAGAGGCTCTCGCTCTCCAGGCTTCAGGAAGCTCTGCGCAACCCTCCGGAGCCCGGCGCCAAGCCGCGCCGGGCTCCGGAGGGTTGCGCAGAGCTGCCTGCGCTCCCGGGCTTCGCGCAGCTCTGCACAACCCTAGGGAGCCCGGCGGGAAGCTGCGCCGGGCTCCCAAAGGTTGCGCAGAGCTGTCTGCATTCCGAAGCCTCGGGCGCGCTCTTTAGCGCGCCCGGGCTTCGCACAGCTGTCCGCAAGCCTGGGGAGATCGGCGCGGCTCCCTAGGCTTGCGGATAGCAGGCTGTTCTGGGGGCTGGGGTCGGGGGAAGCTCAGGCTTCCCCTGCGCCAGTCCCGTGCCTGGGGGGAAAATTTTTTTTTTCTTTATTCCCCCCCCCAAAAAAACTAGGTGCGTCCTATAGGGCGGTGCGTCCTATGGGGTGAAAAATACGGTATATATCGGTTCATTTCGCCCAGTAACATGCCTGCACAGATTCTGATTTTGAGGAAAGGGTCACATAACAGCTCTTGTGAGTGGAAAGCCTGAGGTCAGGATACTTTAATAGAGAACCATAGAATTGTAGAGTTGGAAGGGACCATGAGGGTCATCTACTCCAACCCCCTGCACTGCAGGAATCTTTAGCCCAACTTGGCACTCAAACCCACAACCCTGAGATTAAGAGTCTCATGCTCTTATCACTTGATCTGTCCCAGATGTGAATGATCTGAATGCCAACATTGCTTCCCTTCTATTAAATTTCCTTTTTGGTGTGTGATTTTTGTTTACCTCTTTCCGTGCAAAGTAAGAGTTTCCCCATCACATTGAGGTTGGAGCTCCCTAAAATGCAGTGCTTGGGCAGATGCAGAATTGAATTAATTCATAACATGGCATGTAACAGCTATATCAGGTTTCAGAAACAAGGCATGGCCTCAAATTAATGGCAGCAATCAAGAATCAGTGTTCCCATTCTGATCAGAAGTACTTTGGAATGGAAAAAGCTGGTCTTTAAAAAAACGCATTGTATAATCTTCAATGCACTTGTCAAGGCAAAACAAATGGCCTAAGGCAGACTATCAAATTTGTGTTGATTAGGATTTTTCTAACCGTATGCATACAGACTAGTAACACCACCAACAAGCGGAACCCAAGGTGAACAATGGGCCTCTCCCATGTTATTAATAAATAGTGGCACTGAGTCAAGTGCATGGGTGCCAGATAAGATAAATTTGAGCTTTACCTAGGTTGTCACTGGAATTGCTCAATCTTGGCATAGTAACTAGAGTGCTTCATTGACTCGTGGAAAGCCTGTGTTCAAGTCGCTTTATAGCCGTGAAGTTATTTGGGTATTGTGAAAATACAGTAGGTGAGTTAATGGTACGCTACATGAATGTACATGGAGGAATGCAGGATGCTGGTATGATAAAATAAAACTTTGGACCTCTTTTCATTCCAGCTGGCCGAATCGTATTAGAATTGTTTGCAGATGTTGTACCTAAAACTGCTGAAAACTTTCGTGCATTGTGTACTGGAGAAAAGGGTATTGGACCAGCCACTGGAAAGCCTCTTCATTACAAAGGATGCCCCTTCCATAGAAGTAAGTTTGTTTTGTTTTTGTTTCCTTGGGTTAGCTGAAAGGAAGATTATACTTGTTTTAAATCCTTTCCTTTATTTTGGTGTCCTACTCTTCTGTTTAAACTAAAACTTCCATGGTGAAGTATAATTTATAAATGAAACAATAAATAACCACAAAACAGACAAAAAATACAACATAAAAGAGCATCAGCATTAAACCAGCAAACTGAAGCTGAATCCTGACAATAAGTAGGCACTGTTGGTGGGTGGGCCCAGTTCTTTGCTCTGTTGTGGATGAAGTTGCGCTCCCTCTAAAGAAACAGGTTTGTTGTCTGCGGGTGCTCCTTGATCCCGCTCTGTCACTGGGTGCCTAAGTGGCAAGAAGTTATTTTTCCAGTTACATTTGGTTATCCAACTACAGCCATTGCTGGACCAAGATAGCCTTGCCATCATCTTGCTTGCTCTGATAACATCCTGTTTAACATCTTACACAAGTGTTGCTTATTGTGTGGGGATGTGGGATGGGGTCTTCTTGGTGGTTATACTAGTATGCAGAACTCCCTGTACTCAAGAAATGTACCATATTTACTCAAGTCTAATGCACCATCAAGTCTAATGCGCACCTCAATTTTCAGAATCTTGAAACTAAAATAAGTATTTGCTGGTGAATATAAATGTGCTATTGAATCTAATGTGCATCTTAATTTTCGCAACATAATTTGGCCAAAAATGGTGAGCATTAGATTCGAGAAAATATGGTATGTTCACTTAAGCTTATAGATTTATAATTTATGCATTACATGAAATAGGACTTTGGAATGTTGTCCAACCTAATGTTAGCTTTCATCTTTCTGTGTTCAAATTGTAGTTATCAAGAAATTTATGATCCAGGGCGGAGACTTCTCACATCAAAATGGAACAGGTGGAGAAAGCATATATGGTGAAAAATTTGATGATGAAAACTTCCATTACAAGGTAATGGCTTAATAATTAAAATTGTCACTTGATAGAATTATGAATGTTTTTCATTTTTACCATAATGAAATGTGACTTTGCCTTAAAAAAAAGTTTTATTAAAGCTTTTTTTGTGTAACAAACAAGCAGATAAACAAATAAAATTACATATAGTGTCTCCACTTTCAATTCATAGAGTCTTTTTCACAATTCATTTCAAGTAATTATCTGTATAAGGTCAACTCTAGCTGAAGTATATTTAAATATAGCTAACATTTAACAAGTATCTCATTTGAGGGAAATGTTTCAGACTCCTACTTAGTATGAATTCTTGAGATCTAATATAAAAGCTGTTAAATGTGAATAAGATACTTCAAATTAAATTCTGCACATTATCTTAAATATCTTATTTAACTTTATTATTAAGTTCGTTGAGTGTCTGGGTTATTTATTACCCCCAGTTTAATAATTTCCTTTGGACAGGCACCAGCCTTGCTTGGCATTGTATCTGCTTCAGGAACAGCTTCTCTGCCTTTTGGCTAAGATCATGTGAAAACATTCACTACGTTAATTAAGATACCGCAAGCCATTTTCCTTGTAACCTTTTGTCTTGTTAGCAGGATGTCTCTGATTCTTCATTCATGAATTATTCTAATCAGAATTACACTGGTATCTTTTTATATAGCACGATCAGCCAGGTTTGCTCAGCATGGCAAATTCAGGATGCAACACTAATGGCTCCCAGTTCTTTATCACAACTGTGCCAACTCCTCATCTTGATGGGAAACACGTCGTCTTTGGCCAGGTGATCAAAGGCATGGGTGTTGTAAAGCTACTAGAAAATGTTGAAGTAAAGGAGGAAGAACCTGCTAAGGTAAGCTTCGACAGCTTTAGAAGAAATCCTTTTTCAGTATTATAAATGAGTCAAGTTTTATTTTGGAAGTGTGAAAAACAGCTGAACTATAAAGGAAGCCCTGCTGATTTCAGATGGCTACTGAATTGTAAACCAAAGGTGTGCATACAAACTTGGGTGGTAGGTTGTTGGCTGAATTTGGCTGGGACTTGTGGCAAAATCTCTTCTCTTGTAACAGTTACACGTATCTAGTAATTCCCATTATTTAACTGGCATTCTAGCAAATTGTATGATATTCAGTGGTTTCTGAAAATTCAGAGTAAGCTGTCTTTCGCAGGTAAAGTTGCCTTTCATGTACTCTTATTATTTTTACAGTTATGCATCATCGCAGAGTGTGGTGAACTGAAAGAAGGGGATAACTGGGGACTTGCTCCTATGGATGGTTCTGGAGATACTCACACAGATTTTCCTGAAGATTCTGATGTGGATTTAAAAGATGTAAGTATCTCTTCTCATTGAGAAAAGATGTTAGTGATGCAGTGGGAGTTGTAAGGAAACAGAAAATGAACCTCTCTTACCAAAAACAGAGTAGCATTTATTAAGACAGCACAAGGTTGTTGTGAGGGTCAAATGGGGAAAGGGAGAAAAATGTATGCCACTCTGAACTCCTTGGAGGAAAGGTGAGATTTAAATGTAATAAAAGAAGCAAGGCTGCTGAAGATCTGGCTCAGGCACCACCGATCAGCAATGGCTGCAAAACCATGTGCAAGATGCTTTGCAAGCTCCAGTTGACCATTGGGTCTTGCAGAGTGCTGTGGGCAGGTTTTCACAAGGCCTGATGTTCAGCTGACTCATAGGCAAGGGAGTAAAAAATATCAGTGTACTGCCTGCAGACAGCACGCATAGCAAAGGGTGCATTGGTCATACAACAAAATACTAATGGGCTCCTGTATCAGGAAAGAATACTACAGAACAAAAGCCACACTTCATCTCAACTCATTCAGAATTTAAGTGCCAAATGAGTTTAATCCAAGCTCTTCACTAGGCAGAGTCTATATAATCTTTTAATACGCCAACTGAATAAAAATACAATATAGTAAAGTGTTTTTCTGACCTATGACAAAGTAATGTGTCATTACATAGTCGGTTGTAAATCCTGTCGCACTGAGGTTTTACCCAGATTCTAAACTTGCAGGCCTTCTCATAAAAAATCAGGAAAATGTTTTTGCAAATTACAGAATGATACCATCTCTCTCTCTCTCTGTTTTTGGTAGATTCACCAGGTTGTGTCTATAGCTGAAGATGTAAAAAATATAGGTAACACTTTCTTCAAATCCCAAAACTGGGCAATGGCAGTCAAGAAATACAGCAAGTCTTTAAGGTAATAAAATTGGGGATTCGAAACTAACATGGTCCAGATATTCTGGGACTGATCAGAAGCATAAATAGGCCATCCCCCCCTTTATCTGCTTTAGCTAGTGTTGCAAGTTAGACATGTGGTAATACAATAATGCAAATTCTGTCATTTTATTTTGTACAGGTATATTGAAGCTTCTAAAGCTATAGTAGACAAGGAAGATTTAGCAAAGTTGAATGCTGTAGCATTGAGCTGCTACCTAAACATTGCTGCTTGCAGACTGAAACTGTTGGAGTGGCAAGATGCAATTGAAAACTGTACTAAGGTATATTGCTTATATTTTGGCTCAGAAAAATTGATAAAGTAGAATCCAACAAACAATTGATGACACAATTTTATTTAAAACAATATGCATAGCAAAGCATTCTTAATTCTTATCTGTCCAGTTTCTGGATTCATTGCATTAGGTCAGCATTGATGAAAATTTTAAAGCTAATAACCTGCCATTTCTTGTTTGGCCCTCAAATAGCATTTCCCCCTTATCGCCCTTTTTGTCCTACACAATAAATTCTGTTGAGGCATTTTTCAAGCCCAATTTAGTGTTCCACAACTCGTGTCATATTTAAATGCTCTTGCCATGTGCCTTGATCCATTCATGTTTAGCATCTGCATGTTGGGATGTATTGCTTGGGCCATTGATCAGTAACACACATATAGGCCAACGCATGTCTTAAGAGATATAAACATAATGAATAGGGGAAGCCAGCAAAATTTTTGCAGACCTACATTGTGTTATATGTACCTACATATACCCCAAGAAAATCAATAGGAGCCCTCTTCTGTGTGTCCTCACAAGCTGAGATTCAGTATGTGGCTATAAGAAGAAATTGCTTTAGTGCAGCTTGATTGAATTCTTGGTAATTTTGTGATTAAAATATTTTGGTACTTAATAGCCATTGATCTCTAGGTGATGTAAATTGGTTATCAGAGTAGCCACAAGGTGTCAGTATACTGTCCAGATCTTTTTCAGTCTTATTTCATACTGATTGTTCAGCATGGTTCAGCGGCTACTTAAATGGATAGATACCAGAATGTCCACAAAAGACTGTGTAGAGGAAAACAAACAGCCATTTATGTTTTCTATTACTTGGGCACACAGGAAGGTTTTGTTGCTTATCAGATTAGCGACTTGAATTAGGCTGATAAGGAGAACTAGCTTTTGCTTGAAAGAAACCTAGGAAGGAGTTGCATCATTTGTTTCCTTGCTAAAAACTTCTCGCGAGATGCTGCTGCTCAAATTATTGCAGTAGCTGGTTTTGCTTACTGAATCTTAAGAAATATCAGAAATACTGTTCTTATTATTTTGCAGGCTCTGGCCATAGATCCTACAAACACCAAAGCACTTTACAGAAGGGCTCAAGCTTGGGAAGGAACAAAAGATTATGATCAGGCATTGGTAATTACAAGTACTTGGTTTGACATACAATGTTAAAATAAGATATACATAAACATATTGCTTACTTCTTTTCTTTTTTTTTAAAGGCTGAGCTTCAGAAGGCTCAAGGCATAGCACCTCAAGACAAAGGTAAAGTGCCATTCTGCTTAGTACCATTGACTAGGTAGCCTTTTGAATAAGCTGCACTAGTTTCACCGCAGACTGAAAACATTTTTTTGCTACTTGAGCCAGTATATGTATCCCATTGAGGGTGGGGAGAAAAGTAAGGGAAGAGGGTGTTATGTACTCTGAAATGAACATGCATGACTTTTAAGTTACACAGGCTTTTAAGTTACACAAGCTATATTCACACTATTTTCTCTCCTGCGTTTTGACTAGCTTATTCTTAAATCAACCCTCTCTTGGGGAAAATGAATTTTTGGAATGGGAATTTGTATTCTAAATAGGTTACTTTTGGAGAAAGGTGTGAAAGTTCTGCAAAAGCATAAAACAGCAATTTTAACCACTTTTTGTTTGTTTACTTCCACAGCTATCCAAATGGAAGTACAAAAAGTTAAGCAGAAGATAAAGAATGAGAAAGAAAAAGAGAAGGCAGCTTATGCAAAGATGTTTGCTTAAGTCAAGATAGTTTCTCCTCCTTAACTTGTGCACTGATAAAGGCAGGATTAGTATGAGTAGCAGTGACAGTGTGTTATTGACTGTCACTAATACTGATGCTGTTTCACATGTTTACATCTTGGCTTTTCTTAAGGTTGCATATAATTTCAAACATCTTTCATTATTAAGTTAAATGGTAAGGCACTTAACAGTAGTAGTATTTTAACCTAAAAAGTGTATGAAAAACTACTTTGTAAAACTTCAGAACGATCGAGTGCAAAGAATTTGAACAAAGTTTGGTTACATACCAGAGGCTTAAATTCAACAAGCTATTTCCATCCCTTTTATCCCTCACTTGTAACTCTCATTACTGAAGATTCAAATGCTGTTAGAATGGTGTTGAAGAAATAAACTGAATTTGTAATCATATAGGGAAAGCATTCTTTATTACTTGAACAAAATCAAGTTATAGCAAACAACCCCTAGCCAGCAGTGCTCTGTACCTCGTGTTACATATGATTGATGTCTGACTAATCTTTACAATCAAAATCCACTGAAGTTTAGCCTTCAGCTTTCATATATTTTACTCTGGGTCACATCCATTATTAGTGTTCAGGTCTAGAGAGGTTGGGCAAATCAGACCAGATTGTACTCAAACTGTTCTTGTTCCACTTTGATAGACCAAGGCTTATTTGAGTGTACTTTCCTATTGCATCTGAACACGCAGACAGTTGCATTTACTGCTTCAGGTACTACCAAGTTCAGCATTCAATAGAATGCTAACCTCACAGAGGACCAATGATAGCAGCTCTTAAGAAAAATGTGGCAAACCCAAAGTTGTATGGTTCTGCAGCTAGGGTGTTCTTTTAGTTTTGATCAAGACTACATTCCATTATAAGCTGGTCCACCTCCACCTTCAGGTACAACCCAGTTAATATTTTGGCTGGGATCTTTAATATCACATGTCTTGCAATGGACACAGTTCTGAGCATTTATCTGTAACCGCAATCCATCTCCAGTTTCCACAGGAACATATTCATAAACTCCTGTAAAAAGGAAAATTGAATTTAGTGGAAGAAGTAACCTAATTCTAAAAGTACAGTAGAATTCAGCCAGAAAACGCCCCCATCAAAAACCAAGGGGTCAAGCTGATGAGTGAAGTTATGGTACGTAGGAGAACAAAAAGGGGAGGAATGGGAAAAAACAAACAAACTTGCAATTCCACACACTACAAATTGTGCTAGGTACCTGCAGGGCAGAATCGTTGCTCAGGTCCATCGTATATAGCTAAGTTATGATTGACAGGAACACTATCATCTTTCAGAGTCAAATGAGCTGGCTGGTCATGTTCGTGATTCGTGCCACTCAGAGCCACTGATGAAAGCAAGTCAAAACTGATTTTTCCATCAGGTTTAGGGTATTCAATAGGTGTGCAGTCTTTGGCTGGCTTTAGCCGCTTTGCATCTGTCCCTAAAATATCAGCAGAGGGAAAAACTTAAATATAAGCAAAACTTAAATTATATTGGTTTCACCATACTCTAGTAAAGGAGCATATCAGTACCATCTTCTAAGTAACTTTGCTTCTCTGAAGGAAATGTCTCTACTGCTGTGATGTGTTCCAGAACTGGAAAGGGGGTGGTGGTGAAGGTAGAGTAGGTATGGTCTCCCCCCCCTTTTTTTTAAAGGACATATCTTGAGGGGTAAAAAAAATCCTGTAGGCATGGTATCACAGAAGGGCACTCAGGAGTGGTCAATAACTTAAAAAAAATAATGACAAATTTTGGGGGATCCTGAAAGCCTTAAAGAACTTGGGGGAGTCATATAAATGATGCAAGGTATCCACCCCTTTTCTATGGTGTTGGCCTGTTTGTGGAAAAGATCTCAACAGGAAAGAGTGAGCCTCCTTGCACAATAGTTACACTTCCTCTCCTTCCCTCTGCAGTCTGTTCCTAGTGAATCCCCCAAATCAACAGAGCACTGGACTGTCCAACAGATTTAGGGGCATGGTGGTCTGAAAAGGAAAGGAGAGAAGAAGGAAAGTCTCATGGCTGCTGCCCAGATGCTGTTAATTTAGAAACCTACCTGGATGCTTTAGGGTCCAAGGTTCCATTCCTCTTAGTATCCAGTAAAATATGCCTGTGTAAATCATTCCACCATACACACCCAAGGGTCCATGGCATGAAGGACGGATATTCCTGACTGCATAGAGTTCTTTCCATACCCAGGATTTTTTCAGATTGTCTTCATATTCAGGCACATCAAGTCCTAGAAACAAGGGGCTGTTTATTAAATGTTTAGAAAGTCAGTAGCATCTTACAGTTCCACTTCCAAGGAGATAACTAGTGCTACTGATAAGAGCCAGGCTTTCTATATTTTGCAACAAAGCAGTAGTTTACATTTGAGAAAATATAAATCGCTCGGGAGAGCCATACTTCAATAATTTTATATCTGAATGGATACTGAAAAAGCAGAGTGGAAGACAACTTTGAATACGGTACGTATATATCATTGTTTACTCTTTGAGTTTTATACTAATAAGACCAAAAATTAACATGTTTGAAGGCTGTTGAAGGATAGTAACATTTGTTTCTATTTAAAAGTAGTAAAATTTTTCACTACAGAATTATAACACAGAGGTTGCAATTCTGTGCACACTTGAGGGTAAGCCTAATTGAATTCAGTGGGATCCACCTTTGACTAAATGCACAGGATTGCATGGCACATGTTTAACAGCTAAACATGGGCATTTTCCCATGTACAAGGTGCCAACTTTTTAAAAAAGTGAATCTGCATTTAAAATGAAGAAAACAACACCTTGCATTTAAGATGAAAACAAGTGATTTTAGACAGTAACTTTAGTGGAAATACTATTTAAAAAAAAAAGTTGAAAAGAAATGCAAATACACATCATATAAATTTTCAGCCTGTAATTTCCAATGTAAACTTCAGATTAATCTCACCCAGTGTCATTTGATACTTGAAGGGTGTGACATGCCATAGCAGAGACTCAATTGTCAGGACTAGGCAAGGTATTATAATTAGGCTCCACTCGTAAATTCCTTCCATTATATCTGCAATATGGTGATGAGACTTTAGGGCAGGCTTGTATTGTACTGGTCCATTATCCACAGGTGATAAAGAAATGGACACAGGTGAGTCAGTAGGGTGGAGACTTTTCTTTTGAATGGTGTTTTTCACGCTTCCAAGGTCTGTGCCAGCGGCTTTTTTTTTGTATCCCACTGTTTTGCCTGGGGAAACCCTCTGTTTACCACTGAATCAGAACAAATGGCAATCTGCAGAAAAGCCTATTGCTGTTTCCCCAGGGAAAGTGTCAGGACAAAAACAAAACAAAACAAAAAAAAAGACCTGGAAAATGCAGACCTGTCTGAAAAGTGTTGTGTAAAAGGAAGTCTGCAAAAGGAATACCCTGAGTGTATGCTATTGAATTGTGGGCTTTCTACAAAGCTGTTTTAGGTCAATACACCAGTGACAATTAGCTTGGCTTAAAGAGCTCCTTGATATTTAGAACTGTCATTGATCAGAAAGCATCAGTGATAAATGTTCATATCATGCCATCTTACCCAGTGTTTTTGATTGGAGATTCTCATTCGTTAGTTGGTTGAAAATGGCTTCCGAAGCCAGCATACCACTTTTCATTGCAGTGTGTGTGCCTTTAATCTTAGGAACATTCATGAAACCTGGACTACAGCCAATAAGGAGTCCACCAGGAAAAGTGAGTTTAGGTATGGACTGCGGAGATAATAATTTATTTATTAACTATTCATGCAAAGTAAGAAAGATTGCTTTTTTGAATCAAGCAGTCACATTTTAAGTTTGATTGCATTAAGCAGATTAAAGCATACACTTTTACAGCATGCTTGCATTCTCTTCTGCATATCCCAAGCCATTATGTCTACATTGGAGGCTAGAACCATCTATATATTGAGGCATAATCTATTCGGCCTGAAGATTCATCATGCACTGTTTTTCAGACTTACTATTCCTCATTCTTTCTGAAAATTTTCAAAGCCTACTAGACCTATATCCTTCTACCTTAAACTAGAAGGTTCAGCTGCTTGTCTCCAATTTCCCAGCACTACTTCAACCTTTACATCAGTATCTACTCATCTCTCCATTTCTTTTTAAAAATTTAATCCCACCCTCAGAGATACAAATCTGGATTACTCCAAGCAGGTATATCTCATAACATCATATTTCCAGTTATGTGGTAACATCAATTACAGTATATATTCATACCAGCCAAAAAATTCATAATGTGAGGCTGTCCCAACCTTTTGCCTTCTCCTATGTGCATAATAAAAAGGTACCAGCCTCCTGCAAATGTGCCTTTTGTTTTCATCCCCTTTGCTGATTTTGTTTTATTTGTTAGCTTGTCTGTCGAAACTAGTTGTCAGATTTTTCTTGTACCATGAAGTCAGTGTTGCACCCTCCAGAAGTTTCCCATATTATCACTAGTCTTGCTGGTAACAATCATTGTTATAAAGCAGATCAGTATTATCTCCCAAATAAAGGTTAAGCAATACCAACGCTTTATCTCTTCCTTTTCAGTCTGATGCAACTGGAGCTACTCCAGTAAAACATTTGCCATTCTAAACTCCATTAGCATTACAATCCACTCCACAAGGAAGCCAGGAGCGTTGTTTCAGGGTTGCTGTTTTTAAAAGGCCAGCCCAGACACTCAAAACTACACTGCTGCTTCCCTCTTGCAGTGATTTAAAGAACACTGTCTTCAAATAAATTGACTTTGAACCAGGGAAACCTTTAGCTCAAACAAGGCATTAAAGTGCAAATGCAGTGGTCCAGAAAAATAGTCATAAAATGGGAATACCTATAAAAAGAGAACAAAGAACACTACCCACAGAGGCAAATTTTGTCTCTTTCTGTTATCTATATAGTTCCTGAATATGATATCAATAAAGAAGATGGATTCTAAGTGTTGTATTTTAACTCCATAGCACTAAGAATTGACATCTATGAACCTCAACCTTTTAAAGCAGCTACTGAACTTTTCAACTGCTACATCAAGAGACAGGAACTCCTGACATCCAAGTATCTGAGAGGCATTATAAATAAGAGCCAGCATCATTCATGGAGTACTTCTAATCCATTTTTACACCCCTGCTAGATTTCTACAGTCAACTAGTATACCCGAAAGGTGAAAAGGGTTTGGTTATTGTAGCCACTAGTATTTTTCTAGATACGGCTGCATCAAATAATTCAGAACATCTGTCCTCTCTGGGTGTATTCGACAGATTTAGTAGAGCATGCTTTAGACCTATGGATACAGATTAAAAAGATTGGTCTCTGGAATACTGCAGCAGTTGTAAAACTAGCAGGTTTTAGTACAGAAAAGTAAATCTAAGCATTACCTACAATGCAGGTAAACCTTGAATTGGAACAGCCACACAACTAGTGTTACAGATGCACAGAGACTCCGGCTTAGCCCTTCATAAATCTATGGAGCTCTTTGGATCAGAAGTAGGGTTCTACTGCCGTTTTCTGTTGAACATGTTTCAATTGGGCTTAAATGCAGAAACCTTGCCAATTCAATGTCTCACCAAGCCACACCAGATGTATGTTTAATTACAGGAATATAGAATTCACAACCAAGATATAAATTATTTGTGAAAATTTATATAGTTATGCTGCAAGTTATCACTCCAGGATGAGGCCTGCTAATCTTACCCATGGATGAGATTGCGGTGCAACATTTCCTGGGACAGTTTGTAATATCTCTTATTTTGACATTTAAAGAGGACAACCAGAGACATTTATTAACTGTTCAACAACAGTCCAACTACAGCGTTTTGTTTTTACTAATGCTGCTGTATTTAACTGATAGGTTAGATCAAACCAACAGAAATATATTACAGGTCAATAGGGTAGCTAGCAAAGTTTAATAAAAGTGCTTTTAAAAATCTCAGATGCAAGGAGGCTCACTCCTTCCTGCCTCTTGCAGGAGGATGCCTGCTGTGAGAAGTCTGTCCATCACCTAGAAACAAAGCAGTTGCCCCCACAGAACTAGTGTTTTTCTCAAATACAAATTTAGTCAAGCAACTAAATTCATGATTAAGACTGCTTCTATCAGATGGCAGCTTTAAAAAAACCAAAACAAAACACTACAACTGAGACATTTGAGGAAATAACCTTGTATTACTAAAACATCACCTGGAAGCCACCTTCATTAAGAGCTCGGGCACCATAGGCGATTCTCTTTCCACCTTCTAAAGTAGGCTGTACAGTTGGATGGTGCTTCCACCTCTGAAATTCCTTAAATGGGTTCAAGTAAGGATTTTGATAATCCAAACCAATCTATAAGACATAATGCGAAAACACTTACTTTTTCTTAAAAAACAAAACCTGTAGGCTATTAGTAATAGGGCATACAATAGGGCATACAAAGCTTCAAACACACACCTCATTACCTGTAGTGGTTCTAGGGGTTGCTCGTGCGTAAGCCGGTGCAAACACCTGGCTGGGTTGCCTGAGTGAAGCTTTTCTGTCCGGACAGCCACTCACCCGTGGCTGTCTCAATCACTGGCAGAATCCGTCAGTGGGCGTTTCTTAAACTTCTTCCAGCAAAGAAGCTCTTTGACGCCTAGTCTCCTCCTACTCTCTCTGCACGAAAGCCTTCTGCGCAAGGAGGGCGTAGGCAGCGGAGGACCTCTACTCTCCCTGCTGGTCCCCGGCAAGGAGTCATGGGACCGCCTCGCCGCTTCCCCCATCTGCCCCCCTTCTCCACTGGTGCTACGCTGATTCCCTTCCCCAGAAGATGGGCTGCCTCTCCCAATCCCGGGACGCTCTCTGGAATCCCTCTGGATTTTGCTCTCTCCCTCCGGCACTGATGGCAGTTCCCTGACATTACCCTATTATGCTATATATCGCTGGATATATTTAGCTTACTTTGAATTTCAGTGTTACAAGAAGTAATTCTGTCCCTATGAAATGTATGGCCATGCAGCTCTTTTGTGTGAATAAGTGATTCAAGAATTCTGTATACAGGCATAATAGCTCATATACATATTCTTCCCCTGAGAAAAGCTCCAATTTGAAAAGAATGTTGCCATGTACCAAACCTCACACATCAGGGAGAAGTGTTTTCAAGGTAGTAGTTCTTGAACCCTGCTAACCTTGTAGAAGTTGAGCACTGACAATCTTCCGTACTGAACATCATAAGTAAAAGTTAAAAAGATATGATGTATGCAAGCAACACTAATATTAGAATTCTATATCTCAGTGCCATCCATGAACAGACTTACGTCAGAAGCAAAAAATGTTCAAAAAGTTTAGTTTCACTGCAAGTACAAAATACTTACCACAAACCCCAAAGCTACTAGTGGCTCACCCTCATCTAGATGATAAAGAAATGATCCTCCGTATGTATGTCTGTCCAAAGGCCAGCCAACAGTGTGTTCCACTCTTCCTGCTTTCCATTTCTTTTCATCAATAAGCCACAGCTAGAAACAGGGAAAATCCAGGCAATGCAGTTCAGCAAAGACGTTACCAGACTTTAAACCAAAGTGAAACTGCTATGTGTAACTTTCCATACTACACAATTGGACTCAGTGCTGAAAGCAAATATAATAGAAGTCTTCATCTTTGAAACCTTCACATTCAATCTATAACCTATTGGCTTGAGTGAATGAGCTGTCAAATAATGCTGCAGTGGCAGGTCTTTGTAAGTGGGGGGAAAATGGGTGGAAAATATAATTTATTTTCACTTATGACCCCCCTGCCTGACACAACTGTTTGTTTGTTTGTTTATAATCCATATATATATACACACACACACACACACACACACACACACGGCAGTTTTACAACGTAAGAGAATAAAAACAACAAAAGTATCCATAAGGACATCAATAAATACTCATTGGTTAAAAAGTAAAATTCATATTATAAAGACCTGTATAAATAGTTTTCAAAAGTCATTTGAAATAAACCTCTACTGAGTTTCACAGGACAGGTCCTGCCTCACGAAAAGGCTCAACCCAACCTTGGGAGTGTGGGAAATCCATTCCCATTGGTAGTCTCACTTCTTTTAAAACATACCGATTGCTTACAATGAATTTTCTAAATCTGAAGCAGAAAAGTTTTTCTTCACTTAAGTCCCAAATCATGCCCACACCTATTAAAAACAGTTTTCAGTGAAGAGGTTTAAGACAGTGATCAGCAGTGTAGAACAGGTAACTCAGGAGCAATTACCTGGATTAATATTCATGTTCTATCTTTGGTATGCTTTCTTTTTAAGCTTCTATATTTAAAAGTGAACATAGCATAACCTGATCCACAGGCACACTTGCATTAGAACCATTTAAAGCACTGCTAATAATATGCCTTTTCTAGAATGGCTCGGGATGGATGGAACTACTGCCACGAACGACAGGACCAGTTTATGTAGCCAACACTATTTTGGAAACTAGAGTTTTTAGCCATCGTTCCAAACACAAGATAGCTTGCAACAGTGAAATAAAACAGCCATAATACAGAGATCGGGCCAGGAGCCCTGTAATACCTGGAAAATCTTTCCAACTTGGCTGTGCCTTGGGTCTCCCTTTAATTCAGGGACAAAGACAATTAGCCATAAAGGCTAAATGTTAACCTTAAAAAGAAACATTGAGACACTTCACTTGTGCATTGTTTACAAGCCAGAACTATTTAACATATGAAATCTGTTTGTCCTAAAATTAAAAGCTTGCATGAATAAGAATGCTATGAATAAAATTGGAATACAGTGACTTCTTCTACCAAAGAAAGCCACAATTAGTTATTGCAAGGTGGGGAAAGTGGCTGTAGTAATTCTTTAGATCTAGAACTAACAAACTAAAGAACGGATCAAGGTACTACACAGTAAGCATTAGCTAACAGTAAGATTAGCTATCCTTTCATACCATTTCTATTCTGAAAAGGCCTTAAAATGTACCCTGAGACAATGTCAAATACGCTTGTGTTGTGGGATTCAGAGACCAAACCTTGGATTGTAACCGATCAATAATACAGCGATACCTCCTTAAGCCCAATGCCGTAAGTCTGGGGTTGGCAGTTCTGTCTTAGATTGTATTTGTTGTACAACTGCTTTGCAAGATGTCCGTGACAACCTTCTGCAAACACAGTGATTTTGGCATGCAGCTCCAAGCCTCTTTCAAACGTAGCCTGCCACAGAAGATAATAAATACCATCATTACACACATAATACGTATTTGAAAGTGAAGTCTGTTTGGCGAGATACGCTGCAAGCAGTTGTGTAGCATGTTTTCATTATGCCATGTTGCAGAGAATTTTCCGAGCACCTGCTTTGAATGCAGAGATCCCAGCTTCAATCCCCAGCATCTTGAGGGAGGGCTGGGACAGAGCTCTGTCCGAAATACTGCCCCTCCAAGCCTCTCTATCTAACCGTTAGGGTTCTCCTCGGGCCATGCCCCTCACTGGTGGTGCTCCATGCCCTGCTTAAATCCTTTTGCCTGGCAGAAATATGTCCTTGAACTGTGACAATGTCTACTGCTTGCCTGGATAGGGAAGGGTGTGTGTTAGCTCTCTTGCCTCTAAGCTCTACCCATCACTGGCACCTGGACCCTAGGAAGTTCCCGATGAGGGAATACAGACTCTGGTTCTGCTTTAAACATTAGAAAGGAAAACTGGTAGGAAAGATTGTAAATCAGCAGTTCTTTTCCTACTTATGTTAGAGCCAATTTAAACTTTGTGCAGCCAGCTTATGCTTGCCTTGTCCACACTGGTATGTATGTATGCTGCGTATACAGTGGTACCTCGGGTTAAGTACTTAATTCGTTCCGGAGGTCCGTTCTTAACCTGAAACTGTTCTTAACCTGAAGCACCACTTTAACTAATGGGGCCGCCTGCTGCAGCCACGCCGCCGGAGCACAATTTCTGTTCTCATCCTGAAGCAAAGTTCTTAACCTGAAGCACTATTTTTGGGTTAGCAGAGTCTGTAACCTGAAGCGTATGTAACCTGAAGCGTATGTAACCCGAGGTACCACTGTACTAAAATGTTAAAGGGTGATGCTCATTCCCAGCACTTAGTAAGATGTAGGGGACACAGTTCAAGTGACCTGCAGCATATTTACTTCATTCTGTCTGAGACGTACAATTACAAACACCACTATAATCGTAGGATGCACACTTGGAGCAAACAGTATAAACTGACCCTTGATGCCAGGCTGATAATGAGTTTTCCCCCCACTATTTCCTTGCATGTTCTATTAGTCATCTCTGTTTTAAGTTCATCTACTCAGAACTTAAGGAATATACTGAAGTGTTTTATTTTTTCTTCATTATACGTAGAGTGGAAAAGCGTTGTTTTCAGTCCCTTATAAGTATTTGTAACCTCTCTGCTTCTTTCTCTGCATGGTTTTAAATCTACTGGCTCCCTCGGTGCAAGTCTTGATGCAGAATGCCTCGTCCCATAGTCACATGTCCTTCAAAATGCTGTTTAAAAAGTGTCTTCCATTATACAAGCTCTGTGGCAATAATACAATAATGCCTGTGCTCGTCTCAACCCTGGAACTTTGAGCCATATTTTTCGGGTATACAACCTTTGTGTTTACTTAAATGCCTAAATTAAGCTGCAAGTTCAACACCATCTTCTTACATATAACAGCAGTTTTACAATATCCATTTTTATGAGGAGCCATCCAAGTGCAAAGCATGATGTTAATAAAAAAGTAAAGGAGCATTTACCTTGGGTGCCCCATCCTTTTGGATGCCAACATCATTTGTGGCAATCCCTTTCACACTGCCATCTTCATGGAAAAGAACCTATGGGAAGGAAATCAAATAAAGATCTGTTATTTCAACATTCTTAACATGAAGCTGCAAGCAGAGTTGTGCAATTTTATTGTTTGTACAGCACCTAGTTGTAGTCGCCCGGTAAATATTTATTATTATTATTAATTAAATTTGTATACCAGCCTTCATCCAAAGATCATAGGGCTGTTCACAACATTAAAAGCACAAAAGAACACAAAATACATAATGAAAAAATTGAATAACCCTCCTCCCACAAACATAGTTAAAAGGCCATAGACTGTTAATCAGCCCTGGTTATAGAGAAACCTTTTTGCTTGGCATCTAAAGATATGTAATGAAAGCACCAGGCGAGCCTCCCTGGGGAGAGCATTCCACAAATGGGGAGCCACTGCAGGAAAGGCCCATTCTAGTACAGTATCTGCATGGAATATCCTGGAAGTTTTCAAAAACCTAAGGATGCAAATTAGATGCAGCAAGATGCACCTGTCCTGCACCTGAGCTTGTCAAAAGGCATAAAGATGGCCTCTGTAGGAGACAGCCTGCTGGATTAGACAGACCTTTGTTCTGCTCAGGAGGGCTCTTATGGTCTTACATAATTCTGCAAACAATATAGTGTAGTGATTATTTGTGTTAACTGAATGCATTCATTCTAATAGGTGAAAACCTATCTTAGGTGTCATATGAAAGTTTGACAAATCTCATACATGCACACAAACATGAATGGCGACAGCTCTGCCATTACCTCAGCTGCAGCATAGCCTGGGTAGACTTCAACACCAAGCGCTTCTGCTTGTTCACCCAGCCAGCTCACAAAATGCCCTAGACGAACTATGTAATTCCCATGATTAGTCATCGGAAGGCCTAGTTAAAAGGATGAAACACACCACAATTCATTTCACGAAACAGTAAAACACTAAGACTAGGTCAAAGTTACAATTCTACCATACGCATCAGCTTACTAGCACGGTGAAGTAACAGTTTATGACTTAATTAACTCAGCCCTGTGCTCACAAATCTTACCGCTGCACAAAACATGTTCCTAGCCTGCTTGCTGTACCTATGTTTCAGTCTATGTTTTAGTAAACATAAAGTCTCTCATAGTTTACAAAACATTTTTCTCAGGTTCAGTGCAGGAGATTCTTAATTGCCTCAGACACCAAATCAACTGACTTACAAGCTTGTCCTCAACACAACTTATAAACTACAGTGCACGTACTGGAACAAAGTGATGTGACATATCTTCACTATAAAGCAGTGGTAGCTAACCTGCGGCCCTCCAGAAGTTACTGAACTCCCATCAGGTCCAACCAGCATAGCCAGTTGTCAGGGATGAATGGGAGCTCCATTCCAGCAACATTTGGAGGGCCACAGGTTAACCACTCCAACTGCAGAGGCACTATGTAAGTTGGTTCAAGTTGTTCTTAATTTTGTTTTTTAAACAGTTGTAACCCACCCTGAGACCATAGGGTGAAGGGCAGGTAATAAATTTAATACTTTTAAGCAAAAGAATAGCTCATACAAGCACTTTATACCTCAGCTCAAAACAAAAGATTTACACATAGAGGTTTTTCATCTTCATCGATAACTGTACCTGGAAGAATAGGAACTGGGATTCTAGAGTTCTTTGTTAATATTCCAAATTTGTCTTCTGTTACAGAGGTATGCAGTGGAGCCTAAGAGAAATGAAATAAAAATAAGTAGAAATATTTTACAAAACTTCCAACCCCCTTAATAAGACATTTGAATATCATTAGCATTATAGATTCACATAAAATTGGAGCAGACATACTTATGAGTTTCAAGGATGGTAATAGATGTCAGATTAAGCACAAATAAGAAAAGAATGAAGTGCAAGAAAGGCACTTGTATTCTACTGCAGGTTCTGATCATTAAAGGCAGCAAGCTAAAGGATTTAACAGATAAAGGTATTTGGCAGAATTTTATTTATTCTTTGGCAAAAGATACTTTACCAAATATCTTTATAATGCTCATTATTTCCTCGGATACTTTCTATTTCATAGCATTCAGAGGAAACATATTATATATAACTATTTTAGCAATTTCCCTTAAAATCACTAGCATGCATTCTAAACAGAATTAAGCTACAACTGAAAAAAGTTGTAGTACAGACGTTAAGCTCTTACCCCGCGTTCTTTCCAATCTGGGAAAAGTTCGTTTAAGGCACGTGGCTCCAGGCAAGCTCCAGAAAGTGTATGCGCACCAATCTGAGCAGCTTTCTCCACAAGGCACACGCGGATCTCTTTGCCGTGTTCGCTAGCTAACTGCTTGAGTCGGATAGCTGCAGCGAGTCCTGCAGGGCCTGCTCCAACTACAACAACATCCGCTTCTTCTGCAAATCTTTCCATGCTTATCCCTTTAACAAAGAGCCATATACCGGAAAGTCAAATGGAGGCTAGGCCCTTGCTGTCAAAATCAGCTGTCCCTCCCCTTCTTGAAGTCTGATCTTGCAGCCTCAAGTGAAGAAAAAAAAAGTGTTGGGTCAAGACTAAAAAAAATAAAATAAAAAATGGAATAGAACTTATAGGTATCTTTCAACTGTGGGGTTGCTAGGATGCACTTCAATGACCTTTTACTGGCACTGTCCCACATCACAGCTAGACGGCCACTTGAAGCTCTTCCCAAGATGTGGCTGCTGCAGTCGCATGCTGACAGCTTCTGGGAGCCGCAGCTGAAAGCTGAGTGCATGGTGGGGACCAGAGTAGGACAAACTACACCAAAAGGAGCACCATGTGTCCCCCACCAAAGGTACTACCCCTTCCCTAACACCCCATACACCCTAAAGTAATACACTAATGTAATAAACAATTGCAAAGTTAATTGTTAAATATAATTATAAATACAGATACAGATTTACAGGGTTTCCCACAAAAATATATAGCTGCCCATGTGCTATCTTCTATCTATCTAAGTGTCCTTTAAAGGGGGGGGGACTACCTTTGCTGTTTGTTGATCAGTAATTGATTCTTCGTCGCCACAGGCGACTAGGCAAATAGCTATTTACAAGCCTGGTTATGCTACAAAAATGAATTGTACTTAAAAGTTTGTCACTTACCTTCCCACCGGTTGTCTTTGTCCCGGGGGTGGATAGTATAGTGGGTGGTGATACGTGGCACAGTGGAAGAAGCCCATCGTGCTGCGCACAAAGGCAGGTGACAATCTTTTCCTGCTGACCTCAAGGCATACAGACAACGATGTGCTGTTGCAAAGAAATAGAACAGTTTTGAGCATTCAATATTTGTTACAGCTCTGTAACTCGGAAAACCAAGACACAAATATTCTGCTACTATATTAGGATCGTTTATTTGTACACTGTATGATTTACATAAATACCATACCATTTAGAGAAGCAGTCTTAGATGTAACAGTTACATTAATGTTGCATCCCATATCAGTTCCAGATCCTAGGTTTCCCCCGTCTCCATTTAGTTGTCTAGTGCAGTGTTAAAAAGTTGATCATCAAAGATAAGTCACACATCGCCGCAGATCTCAGTGATGCCTTACAGTAGAGGTTTTCAACCTTTTTGAGTCCACGACACCCTTGACCAACTACATTCTTTCTGCAGCACCTCTGTGTGGCTCAGGAGCCCAGTTATATCTCTCCTTGCCTGCAGAGCTGGCAGCCTCTCACCCTTTTTCGAACACCCTTCCTTGTGGAGTGTTCCCTCAGCCTCCTCTCCTCTCTCCTTGGGAGCCTTCCAGGCAGCCACTGCTGCAGCCCCTGGTCTCTGAGCTGCCCCGCTCCCTGCCTCAAAGAGAAGTGCCTCCTCACTGTGCCCCATAGGGGCCTAGGACCCGTCCATTCGTTCCCAACAGCAAGGGTTGGTGGACTGGCCGGCTGGGCTCCCTCGCCCACTTGCTTGCTTACTCTGAGGCCACCTCAGCTCCTAGCAACCAACACCCCCAGAGGCAGAGATGTGAGAGGGCATCAGAGGAGAGGGGCAAGGAAAGGGGGAAAGAGGGAAAGAGGCTAGTGTTTCCCACAACACCCCTGACCACCATTTCAAAGCACCCCAGGGTGCCACAGCACATTGGTTAAAAACCATGGCCGCACAGCTTTCCCACACCTCTGAATATCTGCTATAATCTAAATGTTACAAATCTGTGTGGAGCACAGCCACAATAGACTTAAGTGATTAGCATATATAAAACACAATGAGCTTTACAGGGTCTACAACCAAAAAACTCAAAATTGATTTAATGTTCACAAATGAACTCAACAGATGACTTACCTATATGCATGTGTGTGTGTGTGTGTGTGTGTGTGTGCACGCACGCACGCACGCACACGCACACACAATTTCATAGTGCATGGGTAAGTTCTATACCAACACACACTTCTACGTAAGCAGCAGACAGCTCGCCATGAATTCTTCTGATTTTGTCTTTTCCATTTTGGCAACTTACCCAACGGCTAAAATTTTGACCAAGTAACTACTGTTCTGGCTTGCTAGCAACCTAGATCTTTGCAATTTGGGTGTCTATTCAGATATGACTGTTACAATACAAGGCCAGCACCAAAAGCTAGGCCATGCAATGAAATTAAAAGGGGATTTAGACAGAAACTCTCTGGAGTTGCAGAGCAGGAAGTGACTGTTCCTAAATGAGAGGTGTGGACATTTGTATGCCGGGCTACTAGAGAACTGAGCAAGCAACTCCTGCCACTGTAATCAACAGCATGACATAACAAAAGAGTTGGGCTGCTACTTATACAAGGTCATGTTTGACTATAGATGAATCCAATCTAGTTGTTCAGCAGGGAATTTTCAAACTTATTCACTTTTTAGGAGGCCCTCACACAACATTATCATCCTGCTCTTTCCCTGTTGTACTTCCATCTTTTTTAACTCAACAGAGTCTGACTTTTCCCAGAGAACAGATGAGTAGCATAATCATCACCAGTGTAGACGTTATTGGTGCTACTCTTCTATCCTTTCAAAATGACAGGACTTTGACATGCACACCACCATGGTGGGTAAGTGAATCAGCTCAGTACACATTCTTAATAACTACAGCAGGGGCACCATTTTATCACTCCATATTTTTGCACTACAATGCTTTTCAAACTATGTTTTAAATACAACTAAATTGAAGGCTTTACAGTGCTTAACCTATTAATTCAACAAAGTTATTTTTTTAAAAAACATTCCTTTCTTGTTATTAACAATAGCCACTTTACTAAAATAGCATTTACGTGAACTGGCCTTTCCCAATTTTCTACCCACTGCAGCTATGTCACATCCACTTGTGTAGGCAGAACATAGCAGGAAGAACATACAGAATAAGTGCAACATTCCCAGCAGTGTGGAAAATCAATTGCACTTGTAGTATACAGTAAAAGAGCATTGCTTATTAACACTAGGAGCCACCTGTCTGAAAGCAGGCTATATGGACTATCTGGCAATGTGTGACAGCAGTCAGTCCCTTGATAATATATACTTAAACAATTCATCAACCCCCCCCATGCTACAATAATAATAATAATAATAATATTTATTCTTTATGCCCCACTCTGGGCAGCTTCCAACAAAATATTAAAATACAATAGTCTGTTAAACATCAAAAGCTTCCCTAAACAGGGCTGCCTTCAGATGTCTTCTAAAAGTCTGGTACTGTAGTTGTTTTTCTCTTTGACATCTGGTGGGAGGGCGTTCCACAGGGCGGGTGCCACTACCAAAAAGGCCCTCTGCCTGGTTCCCTGTAACTTGGCTTCTCGCAGTGAGGGAACCGTCAGAAGGCCCTTGGCACTGGACCTCAGTGTCCGGGCAGAACGATGGGGGTGGAGATGCTCCTTCAGGTATACTGGACTGAGGCCGTTTAGGCTTTCTACTTCATAAAAGACTTCTAGGTAAAACATACAATTATTTGCACTTAACATTATTAGTATGTAAAGGAGAACCAAGCTATTCTACTTCTGCCCTACTTTTCTTATGCTTGCCAATTGCAGCAAGCTATTATCATTGGTATATTACCGCATGATGGAAAAATCCAGATGACCATTCATCACTGGTGCCTAAAGAACTGATAGTGATAGGTTTCTGAAGGTGGTAGGAAGCCGGTTTCCCCTCATCTCATGTGCTCTACGTGGCTGACCATCACATCCTCTTACTCCTTAACCAGCAGCAACCACTCATTGGAGTAAGATCTTTCAAGTCAGAGGCTATGATTTTCAGGTGGATTTCTACCAGGTAGAGATGAAAGAAAAGTGGAGGAAACAGAGACCAAAAAACACCAGCAAGAACATTTCAAGCCTCCATTTCTGTCTTTCCAAGCTGGTTCTTAAGATTCTTGCAAAGATTCATAACAATCACTGCCGAGACATAAGCGGGGCTTTTTTAAAGAGTCTCCCTTCCACAAAAGGACTGGTCTCTGTCCAAACAAGATCTGTTTTGTAAGAGATCCTACAGGTGACCTTTACCCTGATTTTACTTCTGGCCAGCAGGGGGAGATGAAAGAGGAGAAATACCCAGGGTCAGCTCTGAAAGAAATAAATATCTGGTGTGGGTCAGCAATCCCACGTGTAAGGCGACTTCTTTCTTGTAGCTTTGTTGTCAACCCCATTCTGTTGACCTCTGTTTGCGCATACTAAGGTCACGGCCTTGCCTTTTCCTAGGCTTGACAGGTGGGGTTCAAAACCAAACCCCGACAACACCTCTGACTCACAGAGCTGCTCCGTGCACATTTACACTGTTGGACACTCCCCCTTCCCTTACACAGAGAGACACAAATCAACACAGCATTGCTACTTAATCCCCTGACAGCTGCCATCGAGCCTGAGCACATTTCGTCAGGGGCCAAGGAGCAAGGCGTGTCTAGAATCAATCTGAGGTGGACAACGCTCACCCAGAGAAAAGCCACTGCTTTCATTTTCCACTTCCCACTTCTAATGGTGGGAGCCATGACTTACACCAGGATTGAATGCACATTTATTCCTATTGTGCTGGACATGCATGCACACTGACCCTGAATCAATGCTCTTCGTGAAAGAAAGAGATGGCTTATCGACAAACAAAACACAAGCGTGCAAAAAATTATGGCGATTCAGGGCGAAACTTACTCGCCACGGCACGTCCGGAAAGCAGGATTTAAATGCACTTTACCTTGACGGGAAACTTTGCAAGCAGGAAGCAGCATGGCGCTTAGCGAGAAGGCTCCTGGCGATCCAAAGGAGTGTGTGGGCGACCAGCCTTTTTTGGGGGGGGGGGTCCTCCCACAGACGCTCTCCTATGTCTCCCTCGCTTGCTATGCAGAGTCTCACGGGGATCTTACAGCTCGGCCCCCATGCTCCTCCGGGTTCTCAAGCAGCTGCAGAAGCCACGAGCAGAATTCGCTGGCGTCGAAGTTAACTGGCGCAGGCAGGACACACGTTGGGAAATGGGCGCGACCTCCCAGAGTGACATCCCATTAACAAACAAACTTAAAAAACAAACAAACTATAATTCCCAGGATGCCCCGCAGGAAAGGGCTGCGCCATATTCACGAGTCTGTCCGCCGGATTTGAGGGCGACGGGAGTGGCGAAATGCACGTCGGGAAAAGTAGTTCCGGGCTGCCACTTTGTTTCATGACGAGTTCGTAGAGGAAAGAGGGAAGAGTGACACGCGATTGCAGTTCTTGTTGACTTCCGGTTCAAAATATTTTGATTGATTGGTTGGTTGATTGATTAATATATCGCCCTGTACCCGAGGGTCTCAGGGCGGTTCACAAAATACATAATAAAAATTAAAACAACAACCCAATAGCCCTCCCAAAAGTAACAAATTTTAAAAGGGCATAGGTATTGAACTGCTTTCCCGCGTTATCCTCCTAGCAGTCACGCATATACAAATGCACTGACCACACGCTTGCACCTATGGGATATCATAGTCAATAGCGACTTTTTTTCCCTTATTTCTTTTGCCCAGTTAGCCCTGCTCTGGGTCACTTCTACATTTTCTTTTCTCTATGGAGTCAAGGGTGAGGTAACCGAGAGTGATCGGCGGATGTTGAACCCCTTACGTCAGTGACAGGCAACGGTGACAGGTTCCTTGAGGCGAGCCCTTATTTCCATTTTTGTAGGCGGAGCTCCAGCTGTGTCGTCACGGGCGAGGGGGCGTGGCTTTGAACTCGCGCCTGTCGCCTCCCGCTCAGCCCGCGGCAGTTGGCGAGGAAGCGAGTGGCGGTTATTTTGATTCCGGCGGGATGTCGGAGGCGCCGACTGTGACTTCTTCCGCGGCCAGGAGCGCTCCCGGCCGAGCCACGCCACCCTCGGAGCAGCTGGCAGAGCCGCCTCGCGGGCTCCTGGAGATGGTGGAGATGCAGCTGGGAGACGTGAGTCTTCTTCCTCCCTTCGGGGTTTTGTTCTGCTGGGCCTCCCTTCAAGGCCGTTGGGATTCTCCTATCACACACTATATGGGGTTGCTGCACGGAAGGGCACAAGTCTTTGCCCTTCCTCGTCTCTGCACGTGTGAGTGGCCCAGCAGCATCGGGGTGTGTGTGCAATCCTATATATTTCTTATTACACCCCCCCCCACACTTCTTGTTGCTGGGGGGGCTATTGGGTTGTTGTTTTTGTTTTTATTAGGTGTTTTGTGTTTTTAAATCTTGATTTTATTCTGTGAACCGTCCTGATACACCCCCCCGGTATATAAATTCAATTAATAATAATAATAATAATGAAAGAAATAATAAAATGGCTTATGAAGGGGGAGGGAAACGCGATCAGATATAAAAATCCTGCATAGATAAAAAGAGTGCAGAAGCACTAAAATGGCAAAACTCCATCATCATTATCATCATTGGAGGTAACAATTCAACATAGCATTATTTTTTAAAGCATCGTTTCGGAGGGAGGGGGGGCTCTCTCCTAATAAACATCCCTGGGACCTCACTGCAGAGAAACCAAACCTGGTTGATCAGTATATAAGTATTAGCAGTTGCCTCCACCTCATGGAGAAGAGCTCTGCACAGAATGGGTTTATCTCCAGCTTCAGTAAGCAAAGAGTGAAATGAACTTGCTAGAGATGTTGCCATTTTTTAAATGTCTGGCATGAGATGGGTGGTAAAGTGATTGTGGACTACTTGACTATTGTGTACGGAGTTGCGGTTCCTCTAAAGGAGCAGGTGCTCCTTTAGGTTGGGGCTACTCCTGGAAATATAGCTGCCACTAGAGGCTCAAGCAACCTCTGTGGCTTTGGGATGTCACCGACAGCTGCATCTGAATTGGGATCACTTGACCACTGTAGTCCATGCACACTGGTAACCACGAGACTGGATTACTACAATGTGCTCTACATGAGTTTGGTCCAGAAACTCCAGTTGGTGCAGAATGTAACATTTAGACTGCTGATGGGAGCAGATGGGTGACAGCATGTGACACTTGTGTCAAAACATCTGCTCTGGCTGCCCATATGCTACTGGGCCAGGTTCATGGCTGTTGTGTTGATTTACAAAGCCTGAACAACATGGGTCTAGGTCTAGGACATTTTAAGAGCTATCTGAATCCTTATACCCCAGCTTGATCACAGACCATCCAACTCAACTAGAGGTTAGGCATTTACTGTTGATAGTTCCATGCTCTGGAAAACTCATCCATCAGAGGTTTGGCAGACATCCATACTTGCTTTTGACTTTTCAGGTGTACTTACATGTCTTTGCCAGTCATTTTTGATAAACTATATTGTTTTGATGATGATTTATGTTTCAATATTGTATACCATCCTGATATTTTATGATATGTTGGTATAGAAATACTTTTATAAATAAAAGAATACAACAGATGAATTAACTAACTGAAGCTTTTCAAGTTCTCGCAGTTTTAATCAGTTGGGCATATTTCTTTAGATTTTAAGGCTATTTGTTTTCTTATTTATTGTAATAATAGGGATTAAGCAAAGAAAAAATAAAGAGGGCCTTTCTTCCAATGGAAAGAGGGCCTTTCCTCCACCATCAAATACGTGTCCTTGGAAGGAAGGTTGCTATTAGATATGGTAGCTAGAAAATGACATTTTAATGGACTGAATTTTATCTTGGACAAAAAGTAAACTCTAATAATAATTGCTGCGGAAACTGTAAATTTCTTTTTATTGCAGGCAGCATTTTCACTCACCAAGCTTTTGGAGGCCACGTCTGCAGTGTCAGCCCAGGTAGAAGAACTTGAAACCAAATGTACTGAACACGCTAGATTTCTTAAAACATGGCGGAGTCTTCTAAAAGAAGGATACAATTCCCTGAAACCCACTGAGTGATTTGAACACCCATACAATGTTGCTGTTTTAACTGTTTAAGGAAACCAAAGGCAAGACTGGCCAACAGCACATAACACTTTTTACTACCTTCATATGGAGAGATAGAACTACTTCAACAAGCCTTCATTTTAAATCTGCCAAGAAAAAACAGAACGGTGGTTTTTAACTTCATACTACAAACAAAGCAGCTCCCTCAAATACCTTGAAGCATGCTCACCATACTGGATAATTTGTTCCTAGGGAACGACTGAAGGAGTATGTGCTGTAAAAATATTTTTCTTAAAGGTCTGGAGATCAGACTGAAATAGTGTTTAAGAGTTTCATTTGACTGTTACTTGGAATTTTACTAGTTGTGGATGACTGTAGCACCCATAGAATTCATTGTATAAGGTCTATGGACTGTTAGGCTAAAATATTTAATTGTATGGAAAACAGCTGTGTTTAATCCTCTTAAACTAACATCCAACACTTTGTGCCCTAAAGAGGTGTGACTATGGCTGTCTGGAAACTGGTTGCTGTTTTACTTAGTCTCTTGACTGCTTCAATATATTCTTAAGAAGTTTTTAAATCATATTTTTCTATCTTGAACATGTGATCAGAGTATGTTTTGACAAAATAAACTGAGTATAGAGCCTTATGCATGATAGATCATAGAATTTTATCTCTTGCTAAAAGATGCAAGTTCTCTTATTTATTGTGCAGTTCTAATCACATATAGGGTGCAGATATATATGACAGTGTGTAATCTTTTACCAGCATATCATAAATCTGATACTTTGAATATAAACTGAGGAAACAATGTTATTTGTAAACAAGGACTGTATGCAAATTAAGTTAGTTGCATTAAGCCCCATTGAAAGCAATATGATTTCATTAGTACTTTGTACCTATTGAAATCACTGGGTAAATGCAGGTAACATTCTGGATCCAACCCAATTACCTGCCTTTTGTTTTCATCCTGGAAACAGCATTTAAGTAAGTTAAATAACAGGAAAACAAATAATTACGTTTCCAAATAAATTTAGTGTATCTAAGTGTTGCTGTATTAATAAAGTATTTTGGTATAAGTTTGGAAAGACTCATCTTTTCTCTAGCATTTCAGATTAAGTAGCCAGTATACCTTAAAATTTGCATCTATCTGAATATGGGCTAATTGTGGCTCTAGAGCCTTAGGCTTATGGATATGGAGACTTTGCTGAAAATAGCAGGCCAGACAATTAGAAAAACTGCTCCAATCAAAACTGTAGTAGCAGAATAAATTGATCCAGCTGAACAAAAAACCCATGCTATTGATAACTCAAATATATTAATGACTCCTATAGTTTGTGGAAGAAACGCCAAATCAAATTCTACAGAATACTAGATACAGTATAACCTGAGGTTTCCCAAAACCATTTAGGTGCTCTGTGCTGTTTCTGTGGATTTTTGGTTGGAGATGGGAGATGGTACATCCATTGCGTTAAATATTCATATTTATTTTAAATTATATTTTTATTGCTTTTATTTCTCCTGGATTGTAATACAATAACACACAATCTATGAGAAATAAAAGAAGCAATACAATTACAATTAAAAATCATACATCGCCCAGTACAGTGCATTATAATTGCTACAACAGAAAAAATATGAAGTCATCCACCCAGAGTTTCTGCAGTCTTCTAAGTGTGTGTGTGAATGATTGCTATAGCCCTAGTCACACGTTACTTGGATGTAGGATGCTCACAGTTTCAAGTTAGAGCAGGGTCACTCTTCCCCCTAGCTGTTACTACATTAGTATAGCTGTCTGTAAGGAAACATTTAATCACAAGCAGCTGCTCACACATGTGTTTCTCTGCAGACAGTTGTTTAATGTATAATTGTTGGAAGGTGGAGCTAAATGTAGCCTTGCTCTGGCTTCAAACAGTTCATGCCATACACGTAAGTAATGTGTGAAGAAGTCTTACAACACTTGAAATAGTTAAACTGGAGGATTTAATGAATGACCTTATTACCCATATGCAGCGGGAAGGCAAACGGCGTTTCTGTGCGCTGCTCTGGTTCGCCAGAAGTAGCTTAGTCATGCTGGCCACATGACCCGGAAGCTGTACGCTGGCTCCCTCGGCCAATAAAGCGAGATGAGCACCGCAACCCCAGAGTCGGTCACGACTGGACCTAATGGTCCCTTTACCTTTACCTTCTGTATACTGTATACTTAGCCTTTAGGTTTCCATATTATTGGACAAGAGCATCAGAATTTGTGACTATCAAGTCCTAGATGAAGATGCACATATTCACATTATTCTTTGTCCCTCCATCACTTTACCAACATCATGGAAAAAATCCAGAATTTATCGCTTTCAGAAGTGAAAGTTACACAATTCTTTCACAGTTTCTGTTTTGAATAACTTGCTCTGAATACTTTCAGTTCTAGTTAGCGCAACAAGCTTTATTATTTTTTATTAAAAAAAATAGACTGATTTTCCAACAAAATGTTTTCCAAGGCAACTTACAAAAATATACACAAATAGACTATTGTACACTTTTAAAAACAGATGCTTTAAAATAGTAAAAAATATTACTGAAACCAGCATCAGCTAACACCCATATCTAAAAAACAGACAAAAACTAGCCATTCAAAGCAGCAGTAAAAATATAATTATTTAGAGGTGTTGGTGGATGGAACCATGCAGATTTGAGTTTCATAACAGATCACTGTCTATTGACATAGCTGTCATCGTATGTGAGCATCTAAGCAGGGCTTTGAAGTGGCTCTTACACAGAGTTTAAGGTATGGGCAACTGAAAACCACGCCTACAAAGGATTAGATATATAGCCTGGGATAGTCCTGGATCCAGCATTGTCACTTGGTTGTTCAGGTTGTTCAGGTGACTCAGTGGCCCAGAGTGGCTCACTCACCAGCTATGACTGTTCCTGGACTGTGTTAGCCTAGCCCCAGTAATTACGTTTGGGTACTCTCCTAGTTGGGGACGCAGGTGGCGCTGTGGGTTAAACAACAGAGCCTAGGACTTGCCAATCAGAAGGTCAGCGGTTCGAAAGCCCATGACAGGGTGAGCTCCCGTTGCTCGGTCCCTGCTCCTGCCAACCTAGCAGTTCGAAAGCACGTCAAAGTGCAAGTAGATAAATAGGTACCGCTCCGGCGGGAAGGTAAACGGCATTTCCGTGCGCTGCTCTGGTTCGCCAGAAGCAGCTTAGTCATGCTGGCCACATGTACGCCAGCTCCCTCAGCCAATAAAGCGACCCCAGAGTCAGTCACGACTGGACCTAATCGTCAGGGGTCCATTTACCTTTACAATCTCCTAGTTGGACTATTGTAATGCATTCTATCTGGAGCTACTCTTGTAGATGGTCTGCAAAATGCAGCCACCCAGAACGCAGGAAGGCTCTTTAGTGGCTGCCTGTATGTTACTTGATGCAATTCATGGTGTTAAAGACTGGGGATCCAAATAGCTGAAGAGCACCTTTCCTAATATAACGTACCTATGCATTAAAATCTATAGGAGAGGACATTGTGGTCAAGCTGATTGCAAAAGGACACTGTGTTATGAGCTGGAATTGGATGTTTTCTGTGGCAACACTTGTTCTGTGCTAGTACTAACAGTGGTTACCGTTTGGAGCCAGCTGAAAACATACCATATTTTGCACCCCATAGGACGCACCGGCCCATAGGACGCACCTAGTTTTTTGGGGGGAAATAAAGAAAAAAATTTTTATTTCCCCCCCCCCCCAGGTGCGGGGCTGGAAGAACCAGGTCGGGGAACAGCGGGAAGGCACGCTCCGCCTCCCCGCTGTCCCCCGAGCTTGTGGGGCTGGCGATGGGGAGAAGTGCGCTGAGCCCGGGACTGCAGGCACCTCTGCGCAGCCATCGGGAGCCGGGCGGGACTTTGCGCCCGGCTCCCGATGGCCGCGCAGAGCTGCGCTGAGTCCAGGACTGCAGGCAGCTCTGTGCGGCCATCGGGAGCCGGGCGGGGCTTCGAGCCCGGCTCCCGATGGCCACGCAGAGCTGCGCTGAGCCTGGGACTGCAGGCAGCTCTGCGCGGCCATAGGGAGCTGGGTGGGGCTTCGCGCCCGGCTCCCGATGGCCGCGCAGAGCTGCGCTGAGTCCGGGACTGCAGGCAGCTCTGTGCAACCCTCGGAGCCGGTCTCCCGAGGGTTGCGCAGAGCTTCCTGAAGCCTGGAGAGCGAGAGGGGTCGGTCCAGGCTTCAGCGAAAGCCTGCATTCGCCCCATAGGACGCACACACATTTCCCCTTCATTTTTGGAGGGGAAAAAGTGCGTCCTATAAGGCGAAAAATACGGTACCTCTTTAATCAGGCTTTTGTAGATCTACGAACTGATGAGACTTAAGGTCTGTTTCCTTATTTTATTTTATGTTGGTTTTATTGTGATATTTTAATAGCTTTGATGGTTTTATTGTAGATACTGTTTTCCTGTTCATTACTGCACTCTGCTTTGTTACATCATTTTTTGATGAAGGGTCGAATAGATATGTATTTAATGAATGAATAAGGCAGAGTTACTTAGAAATACAACTATTTTACATTAATGAACTCCAAATCTTCACAAATACAGTAGTAAAGCTAAGCATAAATAGCTGTATATGAATATATAGTTTAAACACGTTTTAAATATTATTGGATCATGTTTCCTCAGGCAGTGCTTCATTTGCAAACACAACAACATATGTACATATTAGTAGAAACTAGATATAAAATAACATTCTTTTCAGCCAAGTTCAAGATAATCCAAAAATCTGTAAACATTAAAGTGCAACTATATAACTTCTATTCTTAAATCCTATGAGAAATCCAGTGCAAACATCTATGAAATGTCTCATTGCCATTCCTGTATTTATTTGCTCCTTCACCTTGCAAACTTGGAAATAGAAAATGCTGTCTCCCATATTAAACTGTACTGCAAGGAAATTGACTGTATTCAGACTTGCTGAACTAAAGTAGCCCAGTTGTATTTATAAATATTAAATAATTTGTGACACTTCAGCTTTTGTGTTGGTGTTTTAGATAATACTGCCTACAAGTTAGATATAATACTGGTCACTGAGAAGAACTGTTACCACAAACCTTGCAAATTAAAAAGTGTTTCAGAACTGTCAAAAGATGTAAAGTAGTCCTTAGATTCTGACCAAGTTTCTTTCACTTTCTATTTCCTCATCAATTCCACAATGCAAATTCAGCAGGATAAGCATTTTCCCCATTAATTCCAACCTCTGCTCCATATGGCTAGTTCTTCTAAAGGTTGTTAATAGATGCATGTCATGGTAGCTCAGTAGTTTGTCTTCTGTCTTGCTTAAAAATGATTCCATGGCCTGGAGCAAGGGGTCTGTTTCTTTGCAGCTTTATGTGGCAGGATCTTCAATATAACAGTGCTGAGTGTGCAAGTCTTAATGCACTTCACTTGTTCTGAATCATTTTCATGTGTCTTTTTCAGGCTTGCTGAATGTCAACTTACTTAACTCTCAGAGGAATCTGTAAAATTGGCAGGATTTGTCAACTCTGGTGAGGTTTCTTCCGTAGGCCACATCTCTACCCAGATAAATGATGGACCATACATTTTCTGGCTGTTTTTGCCTGCCAAGGATCTTCTTTGTTTGTAATTGTGCCAAACTTGATTAATCATTTCCTTGAAAGGCCTAGTGGTTAATGTATAGAGAAGAGGGTTCAAGGCACTATTTATTGGTAATATAAAAATCACAACCCAGGAAGTTATAGAACCTAAAGGGAAAGGAAAAAATACATTATTCACTTAATTGTGCCTGCGTATTTTTAACAAACATGGTATATGTTGTGGCAGTGTGGGGAACCTTTGATTCTCCAGATGTTGCTGAACTACAGCTCCCATCCACCCCAGCAAGCAGGACCAATTGTCAGGGATGATGGGAGTTGTAGTTCAACATCTGGAGGGCCAAAGGTTTTCCCCACCTGTGCTATAGGATGTTACTAGACCAGATATTACGGTGGATATATGCAACATTTCAAATCTTGCCAAACATTTGAACATATTGATTGATATTCTAATGTGCACTAGAGTAAATAGGCATCACTTCCTCCAACAGCAAAATTGGGTGGCTGACTACAAAGGGCTGGAGCCAAACAGAGCAACTGAGAAAGAAGAGGGAGGTGTTAGCATGCTGTTAGGAAGCCCAAGAAGTACAATTTTAACACCTTACAAAAAACAAAGGGGGCAAAAAGCCCGTCCCTGTGCAATGAGCACCAAGTAAGTTAAACGGAATTCTGAGCATCATTTAGAAATGAAAAAATCACAAGGGGGAGCAGTAGAAGGATACAATTGCATTATTGACCTTACATATTATAGTGTCTTGGAAGCAGGCATAGCTGGTTGGAACTCTGAGCAGGAATGCTTAAAGGGTGAAGATGGTGCATTTTTTAAAATGCAGGGCCCATGCTGTTTTAGATTTGCCCACTTGCCCTCTTCTATGGTCCAGGAGAAGTAAGTTGCCCTTGAGTTCCCTATTACAGACTGAAAACAACAACAACAGAGCAATTGGAAAGGAAATTGGCAATACCTGGAATTTCTACGTGAAGTAAGGAAAGCAATTTTAGTGTAAATATGGGTATCCAGCATAGTGCATCCGTAAATACGATGAAGAAAAAGCGTTTGGCAAGGGTCATCTCTTTCTTCACATGATTCTGGATTTCCATTGCAGTAATCGCTGTCTGATGGACGCTATAAAACATACTTCCATAGGAGAATACTATGATGATAAACGCTACCAAATTTACACCTGTTGCAAAATAGAAACAGTTTTAATTCTATTTAGGAGTCTCTTTGTCATCTGATGACTAGTATGTATGGTGTGCAAATGTAAAAGGTTCAGAACTGAAATATATCTGTACGTTCACATTTGCTGGACGTAACTGCTTTTTAGATTGCAGCATTAAAACGCCATTAACAATAATGTATGCAGACTAATTGACTCTTGTTTAGTCTTGCTAACTTCTGCGTGAGTTCTATGGTTTAAGCAGTTTGTAGGTTACAGCTGTTCTTCACAGTAATATATGTGATTTAACCTGTAAATTTATTATTTCACAATGAATATTCAGTGCTGTAAAACAAGAATTTAAAAAAACCTATATAAAATTGTGTTTCATAGATGAAAGCAGACATTAAGATGAGCATCCATATTCAGAGTATGAGCAGATTAGAATAGGGTCTTCTGGCCAAATTATGTATAATCTGACATGAATTTAACACACAGGTTTTAAAAGATGCAAATTGCTTCAGATGGCATGAGGGAGGCACTGATAATTACAAGATCAGGGCAGTCATGAACATAAAGGACTTGCTTTGGGGAGAAATGAACCTGGAGTTTACTTACCTAGGAAAATTATGACAGAATAAATCTGACCTCCAGTACTTTCAGACTGCTCAGAGTGGAGAGGGAAACAGACACCATTAGTGCCATAGTAGTTATGGAAAAAATCCTTATTGCTGAGTGGAATAAAAGCAACTACAAACCCTATTATCCAGATGAGAATTAATATGGAAATTGTCCTATATTTTCCTGGCCTCAAGAATCTAAATGGGTAAACTATGCAGATGTATTTTTCCAAAGTCAGGTAGGTTAGCAATAAAACGGATACTTCTGTAGATAGAACAGCCAGAGATCCCACCAGCTGACAGTGGATACTGTCCATCCACAACTGAGCATGCTTATTGTACTCCCCACGGTATTTCAGGTCAAAGGCTCCAATCATAAACAAGTATATTCCCATGAGGCAATCTGCACCTATGGAGAAAACATGCGAGTGTATGTTATTTATTCTAGCCTCGTTTACACTCTCTTTAAATAACCTCTGGTGAAAATCTAGCAAAGAGCGAGGCATGCCTAGATACTTACAGCAGAGTGACATTATCGACAGAGCATGGAGTTTGTTCTCCGACTGAATGTAAGGCCGCGTGCAGATGACAAAGATGTTCCCGAAGCAAGTGACAGCAGACACAACCCAGACAAATACTCTCTGTATAATGCTGGCCAAGAGATTCTCAAAGGAGGAAATTCCGTCAGTATTTGGTTTGCAGCTGCGTACATGGGGAGCATAGCCACAATATTGAAATTTTTTGAAATATCTGGAGGGTAAAAAAGCAGAGGGAATTTGCATATCAATCTTTGGTGTACAGGATTATATGCCTTATAATATAATGCATATATTCCTTGAACTAGTACAAACTATAATAAGGTAAAGAGAATCATAGAGTTGGAAGAGACCACATGGGTCATCTAGTCCAACCCCCTGCAATGCAGGAATCTTTTTGCCCAATGTTGGGCTCAAACCCACGACCCTGAGATTAAGAAGAGAACTGGTTGGAAAAATGACCTGAATTTTATTTAGTTGATGCTTGATAAATACACATTGCATATTCATGTACAGTACATGAATATTAGTTAACCTCTATATATAGGATTTTGTATTTTGTTGTAGAAATTGGCATTAGCTATGGCAACAATCCTGATGAGAGTGTGTCCAAGCACTAAACAGTTATCATGTTTATGTACAGATATGCATAAGGCTTTGCACAAGAAATTGTGTAGCATGAAGTGTAGAAGGGCACAATTATGTAACCCCCCCCCCCCTTATGCAAGCTTTCTAATGGAATCAAATAAATCAACTGGTCTATCTAGCACACAGAAGATCTCAAAGAATTGTCTTAGCAGGTCTCCCTGCTACCTTTCTATGGGAGATGATAGGTTAGGTATCTATCCTTGCTATTTGTTAAGTTTTTTTTGTAGATGATACTTACATATGGGAAAGCTCTTTAAGTGGGCTGAACATTCTTCTTTGGATATTTGTAATTTCAATGCCTTCTAGGCTTCTATAAACATTAAAAACAGAGTTTATGTCTTATTAATAGGGAACTTACTGAAAAATAAATTTGTTCCTTCAGCATAACCTATGTATCTTTAAAATGTATTTTGCTGGCAAGTTAATTAATGGTAGCACAAAGTTATACTGAATACAGTGCTTTCAGCTCAAAGTACACTAAAGTCTGTGATGTCAAAATTATGTCCCAAGTATTTTGACTTAATTGAAGACACATAGTAGTCTAGCAGCTGCTTGAGAATTCTAAATATTCAAAAGAAGGCTGTTATCGTTTATTGGACTATTTAACAGCCAAATTTAATAATTAGAAATTTTCTAAATATAGCCAGATTCCTTTGTTTTCATATAGTTTGTGATTTGAAGGTTTCTAAAGACTAAAGTAACTACATTAATCAAGGCATATATCAATTATTTCTGCCATTTCCAATTAACCTTGGTACATCATATTTTATCCATAATTAAAAATTACCTAGTTCTAAAACAGAATAGCTAAATACTAGAACGCATTGTCTTAGCTGATGAAATGTTCAAAAGGAAGACACACACTTACAGTGAATTGAGTTTAATAAGATAATCGAACTGGTTTGCTTCTATTTTCTGGATTGGATTGTATGAAAGATTTCTGTCAAAAGAACAAGAGTAAGTCATAGCTTAAATGGCAATTTTATTGTTCTGTCATGTGTACTTGATGTTATCATGACTCAATTACCAAAAATGAAAATATGTGCATATTAATATTGATTGTGCAGTTGAGTGTAAATTGTGACTAAACAGATTCAACAAATAACAATTGCCAAAAACAACAAAACCCACAACTGGCCCAGAAAATTTAATTAAAGTAGCATTTCTATAAGAAAGTGTGTCTTTATTCACTCAGTATATTGAGTTGTAGATAAAAGAGTAGTTGTTTCCTTTAAAAAAGCAAACAAACTGAAGTAAATAATCTTTGCTTTTTCTTCTGCTTCAGGATTTGAAATTATATTGAAAACTCTTACTGAAGCTTCTCACTTAGAAGATCTCACTTTGTAAGTCCTGGAGTTATGGGACTGTATGTCCTAATATATATGTCTGCTTAGAAGTAAATACCATTGAGTTCAATGGGTCTTGCTTCTAGGTAAGCAGGTACATACAACATTGCAGCCTAAAATTACAAACAATGGGCAATACTAATATAATCTCGGAAAGCGATCTTAATTCAGCATAACAGACATCAAAGCAAAAATATTGGGGACAGCCATCTCAAAAAGAAATCATACATATAATATGCAGGTGCACCTTTTCATTCTAACACGATTTCAAACCAGAGAAAAACAATTAAAAACATTTAATGATTTACATTCAAAGAACAATGGACTTATTACAGATCTTACAGCTGTGAGAGTTCTTTCAGATCCTTAAATAGGTGTTGAGGAAGCGATTCGATCTTGTTGTTAGCCAAGTCTCTGTGGGGGGAAATCTCCAGAATTTAGTAAACAGATTGCTTATTTTGCCATCAATGCTTCAAAACTTAAGAAGCACCCTAATTCTGTCTTCTTTAATTCCCCCTTCTCCTTGTGCCACTGTCCCAGTCCTGACTGGCCCCCTCCCCATTTTTGAGACAATTTGACTCTAGTGCTTGAAGGACTAAACACACACAGTCACAATAATATAAACTATATGCTTGCTTACAAGATGTGATCACAAAAAAGTAGTTAATCTGCTCTCAGGGAAAATGTTTACTTACAGTTCAGCTAATCTCTGAAGAGCAGAGAAGCTATTTTCATTTACAGAGCTGATTTTGTTTCTTCTCAAAACGCTGAAATGACAAAAGCTATTTTAGTGGGTTTTAAGGTGAGACTTCTTCTAATCGTTTGTAGTCTCTGACCTAGGAATGGGAAACTAGATATTGATGGACTACAACTTACTGTCCAGATGTTGTTGGACTACAACTCCCATCACCCCATACCACTTGCCATGCTAACTGAGACAGATGGGAGTTCAGCCACATCTGGAGGGATACAGGTTCCCCATCCCTTCTCTGGCTCACTAAGTTCTTCAGATCAGGCTCTGCTCCATATGCCTTGAGCAATCAAGGTTGACTTAATGGTTACAAAGATTCTTCCATAGCTGTATGTAATTCCTTCTCCAGCAAGGCCAATGCAGGTAAGTTGTTAGGACCATTAAGGTCCTGGCTCAATAGTAATGTTTTAAACTCACAGGACTGTTAAACTCCTACAGGAGATGAAAGTGACGTTCCTGAAATTGTGGATATGGTTGCCTTCAAAGTCCCTGGGGGAAAAAAAGGAAATATCCTGTTAATTCTTAACAGCAAATATTCCTCAGATACTTCTATACGGACTGATAATATGGTGGGACTCTTCGCATGCATGTTGTCTTTTTCACTCTGTTTTCCAGAACTATTGTAGAAACCACACTGCAGTGCAAACAAACAAACTTCACTGGAATCAACAGAAAATGCAGTCCAATAAATAGTCACTGCAAAAGCCCAAACCTGCTTTTCCTGTGATAAGAAATAACTATTTTTTCTTGTTTTCAATACATAATTGCTAAATCTTTATGAACAAGAAACGGGACACATTTGATTCAAACCAAATCTAATGATAAAGTAACATAGGAAAATGTGGACTCACAGCCAGTTTATCCTTGGCATATGTTGACAAAGATGTTTATCAGGCAACTGGGCAAGAGAATTGTTCATCAGAACTCTAGAGAAAGAAAAATAATATTATTAGGTTGATGGTAATGGAAAGATGGTTATCTGGGTTTCAGCAGTTATTTTAAAGTAACCTTCAAGAGTAGTAGGTTTTTCACGTGTGTTTGATTCCCTTGTAGAGATGTTTCAGAACCCAATGCTCCACTTAAAAATATGGGTAATATAGTATTGTCACTGTAAGAGGGTGGTGGTACCACTTCACTGTTGGACATACAGCTCTGACAAAGCTCCCTCTTCCCTCAATCTTTCTGAACAACCTAAAGAGGTAAGTGTAATTGGGGAAAACTGGGGTCTCTTTAATAAGAGAACAACTTCTGCTAAGAAAGTTAAAAGTGGAGTCCAAATTGGGGAGAAAGACCTGAAATGTTGTCTTGGTGCAACAAAGGTTTGTGCTGCAATGAACAATTTTATAAACAGCACTTCATTGCAGCAGCAAAACCATTTGCATTTGCTGATAATATCAAAACATGAATATGAAAATTTCATGGGGAAAACTGTTTTCTATAATGAGCAATTTCTATTATAAGCAACCTCTCGTAATCTTTACTTATATTTGTTAATCAAGTTCATTTAAACAACTAATTTCAACGGTCCCCTAAAGTTTTGTTGGTTTATTTTCACTGTAATGATAATATTAAGAGCAAAAGAATGACTTCAGAGAGTGGAATATGCCTATTTCTGTTTCTGAAGTGAAAAACCACTGGGAAGATAGTAAAGTGTTGCTGATTAGAGTACATTAACTTATTCTCTCATGTGGAGTGGGGGTGGGAATGGGGATGAGGTTGGAGATACTATCCTGTTCAACATAGCTCTTTGCTTTTGTATTTTTTAAAATTATAAATGGTATTTTACATCAATTTCTCAATACTTACAGAAGAATTAGTGAGTTCAGCCCATAAAAGGTTAGTGGTGAGACACATTTTATCGTATTGTTTTCAATTATGCTGTAAATCAGAAAATGGTGCATATTAGGTTAAAAATACTGCTTAAGTCATAGCAACCTGTTTCCCCCAGATTTATAAGCTATATTCATTTATAACAGTAGATAAAAATGGATTGCTATCATGGCATCATACAACCACTTACAATGTGCCAATCATTTTCTAGTCCATATTGTGAACTCAGGCTCATTTCCTTGAAACCACTGCAAATTAGGCTCTGGGGACCTCAGCAGCACAGAAAGCCAATTCATAGAGTTATTGGTATGAAATCAACACAATCATCTCAGTTTGTGGTTCAGATGGGCACACAAATGGCGTGACCACACTGAAGGTGTCTATGATTTAAGAGGCAACCACTGTCAGGAGAAAAATCCTGCTGAATTTGGTGGCTTTCACTTCTAGGTAAGTGTGTTCTTATCTCAAAATGATGACAGAAACTATCCCCCCCCCCGAGAGATTAAAAATAGGTTTGGGGGTGGGAGGGAAAGGAACTTAAATGAACAATTTTCTTGTCAGCTTCTGCAGTGCTTGATGAGCACTTTGACACTTCACAGAACATTATTTTGAAGCTGCTGTATGTCACAGATCCCATAAGACAATACTTCCTTTGAAAAGGTGCAGTAGAAAAAGTTGTCATGCAGTTAATTCTTCAGAATACTGACAGCTATGTCACTAATGCCCTCTGCTCAGCATTGTTTGCTTTTAAATCACGACTACTAGTAACAATGAAACTGTTCCGTTTTTTAAAGTATGGTAACAGTGTCAAGATGTCTAGTTACAGATTTCTGTCCAAGCTAAAATCAGGAATGGGAAAGCGAGATGACCCTGCCAAAACACATCTTCCAAACGGACTGATTTAGATCTGTTTCTTAAAGGAATAAAAATGTGAGTGAACATTTCCCCCACTGATGATACTTCCAGAAAAGCAAATAGATAAATTGCAACAATCTTTTTTTTGGATTTAACAGCAAATCTTAATGATTTTTCCTTTCCCCTCCATTTCATGAGGTGCAAAGTTTTATCCAAAACAGTAGTTTTCCCTTAGGAAAAAAAGCAACCCAATCCCCCCCCCCCCCTGCAAAGCTGAGATTCTTCTCATTCTCTTGGCAAAGGGAAGAGGTTGTGATGTGCACTGTATATAGAACAATCTTATGCATGTCTATCTAGTCAGATATGTTCCATATTGTTATATAGGATTTAATCCTTAAAACAGCACCCCTTCTCACTTTATCATTTATTGGGATTCAATGGGCCTTATTCCCCAGTAAGTATGCTCAGGATTGTAGCCTTAATGAGATACAAAGGCGGTACATACAGCCATTCAAGTTTATGTAGATCTTCAAAGACATGGGGTTTCAAAAAGGTTATCTTGTTGTGACTCAGATATCTGAAACAAGACCAATAAAACATAATAGAAGGTCATTGAGCACTGTTTGGTTTTTCATCCATTCATTTTCCCCCTATCCTATTGAATTGTTCAGAGTGGTGTTTGAAACCCTAGGGCCTTTCAGAACGGCCACTTTGAGCATGATTTTTGTGTTTGGAAAAGCGCCATAACAGTTAAGTACGTAGTTGAGTGGGAATTCCAACTGGGTTTCCTACATCCCTGCCTAACATTGTAGAGCCTTGACCTACAGCTGGAAAAGAAGAATCAGGAGCACACAAGAGTGCACTCCCAATTCTTCCTTTGCTGGCATTGCTTGACTGCAAGCAATGGAAGTATCAGGATCACACATTGAGAAGCCAATTCTTCCTTTGATGTTGACTCGTGTGACACCAGGTGGTTGACTGTCCTGCCTACCTGTCAAAATGGCCTTCAGGGGTGAGGTGGGGAGTTTAGGATCTGCCCTACCAGTCAGATTTAGGCATATATCACACAGAGTTTGTAAACTTATTTGTCTGCAGCAGTACATCTGGGTTTTCCATTGACAGCTTCTGGTTGTAGCTTAGTTGGGCAATTTTAGAGACTCTTATGGGGATAACAGATGACACTTTTTGTTTATGTATGTGACAACGAACCTACTGAAGTCATTATTACAATTATTAATGTGGGAATATATTGAATATATTGTAGAACTGCAGGGGAAGTACTTACAGCTTTGTCAGATTGTAGAGTCCTCTGAAAGCATGTCCTGATACAAAACTTATATTATTATTTTGAAGGTACCTGTGAAGATAATGACAATAGAAGATCATTTTAAAAAATATTTACAGAGCCTGAATGATATAGGTGGCCACCAATAAAATGTTAATAATAATAATAATTTAGTCCAGCTTCTCAGGGACCTCAACATTTTAATATTTTTATGTTAAAATGTATCCCTTCTATAATTAAAATATGGGAAGCTTGACTGTGGCTTTCAAGAAAGAACTGAGCAGATGACCAAAGCAAATCAAACAACTGTATTCTGCATTTCCACTATTTGCCTCCTTTAATGACAGCACTATATTTTCCTACAGAATTTACAGTCATAACTGTCCTTAAATGTATGGCCAGAAGAGGGTGCAAGATTCAAGAATGGTTGAACTATATGGCATTTGAAGAAATATTGTAAAAGGAAAGTAAAATCAACATGCTTGTTCTCTTTTTGTCCAAAAAACTAAATTTCAGTCAGTACAAGATTATTTCATAAATGGTCATATTTAAAAAACAAATTCATCATGATTAAATGAAAATTTACTTAAAGGACAAAGAATACCCCCCATATGTAGAATCTCATACTGTTTTGCTAAGTTTACTTTTGGTTCTTTGTCGTATTGCTCTGTTCTAAACTGTACTTCTTTATAATATGATGGACAGTAAGATCGACTTTAGGATAAGTTTACTGCCAGTAAGAATCTGAGTGGTTATTCTTGACCATCCATTGGTTAGACTCAAATATTAATAAAACAATTGGTTAGGCTTGAATGAACAGCCTAAATGAACAACATAAATACGTTCATATTAGAGCTTGTAGTTCATATAGGAGCCTTTCTACTCCGGATCTTGAAAACATATACCTCTAAGTATACTCCACCAGTTTCAACAGTTTATATGTACATGACATAATTAGAAGCATAACCTTGTGTTTGCAATCCTATATAGGTCATCTCAGAGATTATGCTATGGGGCATGCTCCCAAGTAAATGTGGCTAGGATTGTAGCTTCAGGCTGAGTTCATACAAACACTTGATACAACTATCACCTCTCAACTTGCCTCCCAATGTCAGTTAATTGTACAGCCAGCAGATCCATGACAGTAGCATGTCAGGCAGTCAAGTGATCAAACCATAGTTCCAACAAACACTTCCCATGATAAATGTAACGTGTGAACTCATCTTTGGTCACTACATCACAAAACAATTATGTTGCAATAGGCTGGTAATTTGAAGTTAAAATGTTGTCTTACAGGTATTGAAGATCCTGATATTTTTTGAAAACATTGGCAATAAGCTTTCTCAGCTGATTCCCTTTTAGGGACCTGCAACACAACAACAAACAGACAAAAGATGAATGACTCACAGCATACATCAAACCAGTACACTGTACATGCACATTTTATTGATACCAGGTTATACAGTTGACAAACATTTCCACAAATGAAATTATTCCATGTAGGTTGATTTTATTGCTTGCTCAGTATTAGTGTAAGCCACCTTGTTAGTGGAAACACTAAAGGATGAGAGACAAGTGATCAGAATAAATCAATCAATATGTAAATAAATGTATATATGTGCATGAGCATTATTTGCTAATAGCCTGTTTTTTTCAACAACTGCAGTTTTAGATGAATTCATCAAGCTATTAGTGGCTACTAGCTGCAGTGTCTATGTACTATGTCCTATTTCAGGGGCAAAATGTCTCTGGATGGTTGCTGAGAATTGCAAGTGAGCAAAGCAGTGTTGCTTCCTATAAGCATATGACTGGCCACTAAGAGTACAGATCCTGGACTAGATCTTTGGCTTGACCCAGTAGGGATCGTCTTACGTTCTTAATAACTTTCTTCAGTTAGTTCATAACATAAACATAGTTAATTGTGAAGATCTTCAGTTAACCTTTTAGGGACATTCGCCACACAGAGCAGGTTCATGAAAAGAGACTTTCTTTAGTTTTTCTGCACTTAACAATATAAACCCTAGAGGTCCTCACAATACAGGAAATACTTTAGTCACAGAACTCAGCAAGGGATTTTCCTATGGTGTCTCTTAATTGTGCCGTATGAGACAATTACTCTTCCACGATTGGAACAGATTTTCAGCACACCTTTCACTAAGCAACCTAATGAGCATAAAAAATTAAACTCGGTTCTTTGCAAAAAGGACATATCAAGTCACAGATAAACAACTGCAGGCTGAAAACTTGCACACACACAAAATAAGCCTCAATTTAGAAAGCTCAGGTTGATTCTGAATGTAGTGGTGCTATGGCCCTTAAATTAGATAATTTGTCTGTCCTTCAGCACTGCTCAGTTTAAGCATCCTGAGCAGCGAAGATGGCCATTTTCAAACAAACTTTATTCACAAATTCATAAGCATCCTCAGCTTTAAAAATGGGTCCAGAAATTTCAACACTAATAATAAAGCTATTATTAAGAACAGAGGGACATAATAAGAGCCTTACTTGATCAGACCCCAAACCTCAACTGGTCCAATATCCTCTTTCTCGCAGTTGCCAAGAAGGTGCCTATGGGGAGCCCTTCCACAGCACAATAGCACTTTTCCATGGTTCTTGCCCAGCAATAAGTATTCAAGTATCCTGGGGCTATAAAGGTAAAGGTAAAGGGACCCCTGACCATTAGGTCCAGTCATGACTGACTCTGGGGTTGCGGCGCTCATCTCGCTTTACTGGCCGAGGGAGCTGGCGTACAGCTTCCGGGTCATGTGGCCAGCATGACTAAGCCGCTTCTGGCGAACCAGAGCAGCACACGGAAACGCCGTTTACCTTCCCGCCGGAGCGGTACCCATTTATCTACTTGCACTTTGACGTGCTTTCAAACTGCTAGGTTGGCAGGAGCTGGGACAGAGCAACAGGAGCTCACCCTGTCACGGGGATTCGAACCACCGACCTTCTGATCGGCAAGTCCTAGGCTCTGTGGTTTAGGGCTATAGTAGCACTTATATCCTTACTTGCGAAGCTTTTAAAACCATCTAAGTTGGTAGCCATCAGCACATCATGTAGCATCAAATTCCAAGTTTAACGATGTGCTGAAAGAGGTATTTCCATTTGTTTTAGGTAGGATGAGGTTATCCCTGGAGCAATACTTCAGCAACTTTTATTTCTTCCCAGCTCTCTGAATTCCTTCATTATTATAAGAGTCCTTACAAAATGTATTTTTTATGCATGTAACAGAGCTGGGTAACCAATTTTCCAGATGTTGTTGAACATCAACTCCCATAAGCTTACAGCCAGCATGGCTAATGATCAGAGATTGGTCTTGCAGTCATGTGCCAGCATTAAAAAAAATCATGTTTAAAATTAAAAAATAATTCCTGTGCTCACTAGAGGGCATTGATGTTTATTATTCCTTTTTTTGCCCTTTTCCAAAATGGTACAGTGTGTGCACTAAATAAGAATCTCATCTGAGGGTGATAGCAGCATCCTGGACTTTCTGTTCACATCCACTTTTAAGCTGGTTCTCAGAAACTGGCTTAGGAGCATCTTTGCATGCTTTGCCAGTAACACCTTGTGGGTTACATACCAGTTGTAAGCTAGCCCTGATAACTTTTACCAGCTGCTGAACAGAGATCCAAGGCTATACCCAGAATTTACCGCTTTTTTTTACTTACATCAAAGTTACATTAGAAGAGACCGAAGGAATGACGAGCAAACCAGCACCATCGCAGTCAAGCTCTAAACCACGGCACAAACATTCTATTGGCACAGAACCAACCACTGGATAAAGACAATGGCATAGATGAGGCAGATGTTGGCATGATGATGGGGAGAGAAAAGAGAGGTGGTAAAATCAACTCATTGATTAATATAGGGGTGAGGAATATGTGGCCCTCCAGAGGATGTTGAACTCCGCAACTCCCAGCAGCCCCATCTAGAACATAGCCATCAAGGATGATGTGTTATAGGCAAACAATATCTGGAGGACCACTAGTTCTCAAGCACTGGCTTAGGACAATTAATTCATACTTCATCCATTGCAGCCAGTGGGCTACAAATGACATGGATTGCATGGAGGACAAGGTGAGGGCTGTTGACAAGATTCTGCTCCCCATTCACAAGTTAGGAAGGGATGCGGCTCAGTGGGAGATAACATGTTTTGCATATTAAAAGGTCCAGGTCCAATTCCTGGCATTTCCTGACAGGAAGTTGTCTCAAATATTGAAGAGTTACTGTCACTCAGTGTAGACAATACTGAACTAGATGGACTAATTGTCTGACTTAGTATATTGCAACTTTCTATTTTCACATACAGTATTCTGAAGATGACAGGAAACGGTTCTTTAAACTTTTGAAAAGGGTTACAGTTAGGTGCAAATGTAGACACACAGCCAGAAAAGTGGAAGGGTAAAGGAAGAGGCAAGCCAGTGCCTGAAAGCAATAATTTGTTACGTAAATATTGCTAAATGTGCATTGACCTATTGTGGGAATGTTCAGGGATGCAGGAGAGGATATATTGACTGATTATATCCTTATCCAACTTGTGTTAACAAGTTTCCAATATCAGCAGAGTAAAACATTCCCATTTATTTTAAGTTTGCAATGGTAGCATTTGCTCAGGTTCGCTAGAACCTCTATAATAATCACTCTGGTAATTTCCCCTTTATTCCCTCTTAAAATACAAGACACGACACAGTCCTTTACAAAAGTATAAAAAGAGTTTACTCACATTCTGTTCACATCAGATCCCAGAAGGCAGACAGCTTAATAACGTAATGTACATTTGGATTCTATCTTATAAGAAGATAGTCCCTTTCTCCTCTCTTGGCTGGGAGCCAAGAGGGCATCTTTAGCTTAGCAGATGTTGCTTCTTCGAAGGAAGAGAAGAGAGAGAGAGAAGGCTGCCCCTGCCCTGTGCTTTTGTCCTTACCTGCACAGGTGAGGCCACACCCACCTCTAGTCACATGCGGAGGAAGTCTGTCCCAGCTCAGAGGGAAACAGGAAGCTTACTTGCTGGCTGGACAAACATCCCTCCCCATGTCTAAACATGTACACTCTAGGAATGTTGTAATTGACTGCTCTTGTGTTTCACATCCCACACCTATAAATAAGTTGCCTCAATGAATGAAGCAGAATAAGACACCTGAAGACCTTTTCACCCCAAAGAAGACCTTTCATTAAAACATGTCGGGCAGTTTTCACTGAAAACATTGCTGCAGTAAGCATAAAACTGGAGGCATGCTTCTTTCTTCACTCTGCAAGGCCTGTGGAAATCAGCAGTGTAGTGCTCAGACACACAGGATAGGGGAATGGAACGTCAGAAAGCTTTTCTTCTACCTGTCAGAAGTGTTTTCAAATAACCATTTGTGTCATGCTGTAAACTTCAAAATTTACTGGCCTGGTCCACATGTAATACTTAGACTGTGGTTTGTTTCGCTTATTGTAGTTCATATGTTTGATTTGGTCTGTGGCCAACAATCTAGAATTTGAAACCATGGTTTGAAATTATTTATGAACTGTGGCTTGCATTAACCATGATTTATTATTATGTCATGATCCTGGCTTAATTCAGGATTGTTGAGGACACACATTCCAACTTTCACTTGATCAATGTGATTTAAAGCAATTTTAAGTTATATTGTTTTAAAGCTTTGTGTCCCAGTGTCTTTCTAAAACAGAACTGAAATGTCCACATGCCCACAGAAACTTGGTTTCACAGTCTCCAGATCTGTGGTATGCTTTCCCTTCAAATTCTACAAGTAAACAATTTATTTCTCTTCCTACTTACAGCATTCATCTGTTTCCAAGTCCAAGGAATATTGAAAAGCCTTTTTATCATAAATTGCATCCAGCTGCTGAGACCATCCACTGTTATCACCTAATAGAAGTTACACAGTAGAAATATCATCATCATCATTTACTATTTCTAAACATGTCTCAGAGAATTCCAGTTGAAATTGCTTGTGGAATCCAGCAAATGTGATTGGTATTTACTGCTGCTTTTTTTAGTTCACAAATGATATGCCATTGATGATGCTCCCCTCCATTTTCCCCATTTGCACTGTGCCTCCTTTCCAGCTACTACTAGAGGGCAGGAAGTCCCTTTAGGTTGTTGTCACTGTCAAAAACAACCTCACTTGTAAAAAAGATATAATTATTCATCTATGGATTTGCTACTTATTAGACACAAATCTTTCTGCTCAGTTAAAAGTCTGGACACACTGCCCTAGGGAAAACCATTTGTATTTCTCTCCTTCTTGTTCTAACCATGTTCCTCTGCTATGACACAATTATTCAAAGGGGAGAGTGTGCACTCTGCCAGAAACAGCTTGTTCTCTGCCAAGAAGCAATTTTGAAGAATTACAATAAAAGATGGGATAGAAGCCATGTCTCTAATCACCACGACCGGGGCCATTTTGGACCACTATTTTTTCCTCCAAGGCTGCTTACACACTATATATTTAAAGCAACCCCCACTCTAAAAAAAAATCCTGGTTGTTTCCCCACTATGGTTATGGTCTTGCACTGATTCAGGCATTAGTAGTAGTGAAGTCAATTTAGTTTACCAAGTAATTTGGCATGTTTACTTGGAAGTCCTGCAATGTTCAACAAGGCCCATGATGTTTAGGATTCCAGCCTTAATGTGATTTTCATTAGCAAATGATATCTATCCACTTTTTAATCATCACTTGAGCACACAGAACAGTGTGCTTTACATATATACTAACATACATCCATAGGTAGTTCCTACGTTAGAAAAAAAAGGACTATTGTTCCAATTCCTTGGCATACGTCCTATTACATTGACATTAGTGAATTTCCATCTTTTCTGTATCATAATCCCATTATATAGCTCCATGCTCAAAAGCTTGCACCATGGCTGCCCATACATTACTGGGCCAGGTTCAAGGTTCGTGTATAAATTTACAAGGCCCTTAACAACTTGGGAGCAGGATTCCTCAAGGGCCTCCTGATCCCTTATAGCTCTGCCTCATCACTGAGGTCTTCGGTGGAGTCAATGTTTGTGGTCCCCCATGCCTCAGATGCATCGCTTGTATCCACCATAGATCAGTGTTGTATGATCAGTATTATGGGTCCAATTTTATGAAATTCCTTCTAGTTGAGGTCTGATAGGCCTCCTCTCTGTTGAACTTCCAGCACATACTGAAGGCATCCTCATCCTCATCCTCATCACCATCATTCCAGCAGCCATTTAACTGAATTCTGAATTTATAGTTTTAACTTATTTTCATTTTCGTTGTGTTGTATTCTTTGTACACCACTTAGTGGAAAAGGTGGGGGGAAATATTGTCTAGATAGATAGATAGATAGATAGATAGGAAAGGTTCAATATATACAAAATCAGTTCTTCTTAGAACATGAGGTGATTTTAGAGTCTTGCTAACCAAGCAGCTTATACCAGACCGATGCTAAGAGAATGCTTAAAAAATACTTAGTTATTTAAAAAAACCAACCCAACCCAATACCAAGTTTTTTTTGTCAGAGTAGCTACTGAGAAAACAAGAATTGTGATGTAGTACCAAAGGCTTTGTTAACTCACACTGAGAGCCACTGTGGAAAAACTGTCAACTTACCACAGTTCTCTTCATCTGCGTGATTCCCACAGTCATCTATCCCATTGCAGTGAAGGGGCTGAGGCAAACATTTTGTGATATTCCCACAAGGGAAATAGCCAAGAGGACATGCAATTCCAAATCCAAAATCCTGAGTTCCTGAAGCAGCATGAAGCGCTATTAAAAAATAAACACCAGAAAGAGGCTAGGCTTTACTGAAAGGTTTTCAATGTTTAGGTTACATTGTTGAACTGTTCAAGCGCACTGAATTAAGAGTGTTACAGCTTGGGTTACTTACAATTTTGCATCAGTTCTTTTAATTTCCCACGCAATATTTGTAGTGATCCTCAGCCTGCACTCTTGCAAACATTTATATAAAGGTAAGTTTAACTTAATCATTGGAACCTTCTTCTAAGAGTAAATGTGCTAAAGATCATGCTATTTGTTGCAAATGTGAGTGCACAACTGAATTTATAGAGTTTGGAATGTTATTATGGATAATTTTTGTTAGTTTTTGTATAATATATACACACAAACAAAATGTGCATGCCTGTTTTTGCAATAGCTCTTCAGAACACTCTAGAACAAATGCAGACTTTCCATTCCCCTGTGATTACACCCAAAGTGGTTTCAGTAATGCATGAAACTCTGATTCACATGGGGTCACAACTGAACACATTGTTCCTTCATGAACTTCCTCAGTTTCCAGTTGAGAAACCAAATTGATTTTACTAGCTTAGAACAGATCTGCATTCTTGGTGCAGGTTCAGGAGCTGATTTCCTAGTCCCTACAACATCAAATGCTGGTGAAAGGAAGGAAAAGCAGGTTCTTCAAGCTAAGGAGCAAAAAGTTCTGCGCACATCCCACATAACTGCCAGCAGCTTCTGTTGCTCTTCTCCCTGATCACATGAACGACACACAGAACAGATGCAGTCATGGCACGTGTTCTTCATATCGCTTCTGAAAACAGCCTTGATATGCACATATTGGGTCTCATTGTGCAAGGCAGTTGCAGCATTACATGAGCAATCCTTTAATTTTTCACATTTATGGTGCATGCACAGCAAAGTAGTCTTTTGTTTCTTCTTTTTAGGCACTCTTACTTTGGGACTCCTTGACTATCGACATGAGGCCAGTGCTTTCACAGTACTATTTTTGGCACTTTCTAAAAATGTTTACTAAATAATAAATATTTACTTAATAAACATTTAAGTACACATAATAAAAAACAGCAACAAATGCTCTTAAAATATACTGCTTGCTTTTTCACAATTTAATCTTGCATTTATCCAAGCATGGGCACCTGAACCTTGCTTCTGTGGCTCTTAAATCTCTCTTGATTACCACCACCCCTCTTGAAATACCATGTCTAATCTTAGGCTGAACATAGTTTTGTCAGTTTAAGATCCATTGATGAAAGATCCAACTGATTTGCAACTCATGTAACTTGAATTCTTTGCCTGGTGTAGGCTTAGCTTTGGAGAACGGCAGGGTTCATGTTTTTGACAGCTGTGTGGGCAGAGAGAAATTCAGCAGGTTGAGCATTTCCGGGGGCAGTACTGAAATACAATGATGAGAAGAGCTTCACTTGTTGACATGCTGTCTGTTGGACATCTTATTACTCATGTGTGGCCTCTGATTTACTCTTAGGCCCTCCACCCCATGTGCAAAAGAGGATACAAATATAGATACGACACAAAGCATACACAACTTTGTGTCTTCTTTTGCGAGTGGGGCAGAGGTCTCCATCCCTGCACAATATGTTGGTTGCAGAAAATCTTGTTAGCATTCCTGTCTCCTCTTCTACCACATGGAGAGAGTTCACAGCCAGTGCCGAGTGAATAAAAAGTGTTCATTCAGCTAGCTATGTTCAAACTATACACTTTTAGAGGAATACTCTTATAACAGCTTGTGTCCTTCCTATATTTGGGTGGTCATTTGTGTTTATTCACATATTTAGTATTCACTGTTTTTGTTTCATTCCAGAGATATAGTTCTGGGTGAAAGCACAGAAATGAGACTTTGACTCCTGAAATAAACATCTGGAACATAACTCTTGCGTTTTCATAATCAGTTGGGAATGGCTTTGCTCCTTCCCTTTTGGCACACTTTTAAACAAAATGTTGCTCATAAACAGAACTGAAAAACATTAGCATCTTTTATACCATGTTTTGTTGCATCACAAGGCATTCCAGGCAGGGCACCATACTCTCCACAGCTTCCCATTGTTTGCACTGCACTTCCTGGTGAGGCCTAGTAAACTAAGCAGTAACTGACACCTGGTTTTTAAAGAGAAATTTCTCCACCTCCTCTACAGAAGCAGCAGAAAACTGGCTCCTGTTTTGTAGAGAATTTTGAGAAACAGGGGAGAGAATTCATCCCAGCCTTATTAAAAATGCCTTTCCTGAGGAAATAGAGCCTTTGCCGCGTATTTCCGTACGCAAAAGTGACGTTTCCTTCTCCCTCTTCTAATGTCACTTTAGATACAGACTTTTTGTTCAGCCACCAGCTTTATATGTGACATTGATCATGCTGGCACTTCATTTATAATAACAACCACGTTTCTGGAGCTTTAGGACCTAAAGCAAGATTTTCTAAAGTTAAAAATATGCTAGGTGAGTCATCTAAGACAATACTGGAAATTGCCGAAGGATAAGACAGAGAATATGGAAATCAAACTGTCACAGAAAAGAGCGCAAGCAGGTTTTGGACCTCATACCCCAAGATCGCTTCTCCAGGAAGGTTAAAAATATACGAACCCTCAATAATCTGTGATCATCTGATGTTCATTGGGCTGTCTTGAGATAACTTAGAATATCCTCTTATAAAAAGATGTTCAGTGTTAGCTGCAAACTTTTGCATGTGAATCGCTTTGATACTGAAGTCACAATGCTGTAGTGGTTGGACTAGGACCTGGGAGACCAGGGTTCGAATCCCCACACAGCCATGAAATCCACTGGGTGACCTTGGACCAGTCACTGCCTCTTAGTCTAGCCTACCTCACAGGGTTGGGGGGGGGGATGGCAAGAGGAAGAAGTTTGATAGAAATGTACCGTATTTTTCGCTCCATAAGACTCACTTTCTCCCTCCTAAAAAGTAAGGGGAAATGTGTGTGCATCTTATGGAGCGAATGTAGGCTGCACAGCTATCCCAGAAGCCAGAACAGCAAGAGGGATTGCTGCTTTCACTGCACAGCGATCCCTCTTGCTGTTCTGGCTTCTGAGATTCAGAATATTTTTTTTCTTGTTTTCCTCCTCCAAAAACTAGGTGCGTCTTATGGTCTGGTGCGTCTTATAGAGCGAAAAATACGGTAACTAACTAACTAACTCACTAACTAACTAGTGAAAGGTGTATACATGGAAAGACCAAGAAAATTGAAACAACAGTGCAATTAAAAAGAAATGCAGTTTGGAAACATTGAACAGAGACTTTGGAATGCCATTCCTAGGGAAGTTAGACTGGCTCCCTCCTTGTTGATCTTCAGCTGGCAGGTGACAACCTTTTATTCCAACAGGCCTTTAAGAACTGAAAGGATAGGGCTACTGCTGTGATGCTTTGTTGTTGTTGTTGTTGTTGTTGTTATGTGTATTTTTAACATATTTTATATTGGTTTAAATCTATTAGTGTTGACTTCCTCTTTAATGACTATCTTTTCTATGTTTTTAGCTTTCTCTCTTTTATCTGTAAGCAGCCTTGAGTCCCAGTATGGGGAGAAGGCAGGATATAAATAAATATAATTAAATAATAATAATAATAATAATAGTCTGACATGAAGCAGGAATAACTTATTTTGAAGGGAAGGATAAAACTTTTATTTCCCTCCCCCCCCGGCTTTATTGCATAATATTAGAGGACATTCTCTAATATCTTAGTCATTGTGGATATGTATGAAGAGAAGCAAGAGACTTAAATTCCACAGCAAATAGCTGCCTAACTGCTTGCTTTTCTAATAAACAACCTAAGTCCTTGTTCTTCTTACAGTTTGATGTTAGTTCCCCTTCTTCCCAAATTGCTGTTTGCACTCTCAGAACGTTTTCTGTGCAACAGAGCATGCAACTCAAGGACAACAGTGTGCTCATTAATACATGCTGCTCACAGACTACTGAAGCTGGTGTGTTGGCAGCATGATTAGGATTATGGATGAATGCCTTACATTGGACCAATGCTCCATTGTGCATTTTCACCTACCCAAAAAGGTGCACTGCTGTCATCCATAACACCATTGCTTAAGCAACACTCTGGTGTGCAAAATGCTTTGCCAACTTTTATCTCCTCCATCCACAATTACTTGGTATATGGCCAAAGCACGCACAGTGCCTGCCATCACCACCCTATCCTTTCCATTTTTTTGCTGCCTGAGGCAAAGGACAACATTGCACTTCATACTACATGTATAGAAGCTGCCGGGACTGGCTGAAGAATCTTAATTCAACACTGGCATTAAGACTGCATCTTCCACCATGCCCGAGGACAGCAGGCTAGTTTAAGGGGTGCCTGACAGGCTGTATGATACACCCAGCTCAGCAGAACTAGAGAGCTTGGCCGAAGATCCTGCAGCCCACAGCATTTGATGCCTGAGGCAACTGAAGGGAGAGGAAGGCTGCAGCCTCACTGCCACAGGGGAGCCTAATATTGTTTAGATGTCTGTGGAGAAGCCTTGGATTGGCTCCAGAGGTTCCCTTCTTCACCAAAGGAAGCCTTTCTATAATGGAAGAAGTGCCTTGTGCCTTTGGATCCAACCCATGTCTCTAAGCAGGTAAATGGACAGCACACGTCACTTGAATATTTTCAAAGGATCTACAGGCATATGATTAAAGAGACAACTCAGTTGATTAAAATGTTCTTTCTAAGTTGCTTTTGCATTATTGTTGTTTTGTTGTTGTTTAGTCATTTAGTCATGTCTGACTCTTTGTGACCCCATGGACCAGAGCACACCAGGCACTCCTGTCTTCCACTGCCTCCCAGAACACTGTCCAACCATCTCATCTTCTGTTGTCCCCTTCTCCTTGTGCCCTCAATCTTTCCCAACATCAGGGTCTTTTCCAGGGAGTCTTCTCTTCTCATGAGGTGGCCAAAGTATTGGAGCCTGAGCTTCAGGACCTGTCCTTCCAGTGAGCACTTTGCATTATACAGAACCTTAATGGTGTTTAAGAAAGGTATTCTCCCTCCCCATAAATATGTATTTCAACTATAGCTATATCTATCCATCTATCAATCAATCTATCTATCTAAAGTTTAAGAAAAGTGAAATAAAATATATTGGTCCAAAACAAGCCGGAATATTATAGAATTTTATATATACCATCTCAGCCACAGGTATTCACAGTCACATTTACCAGTTATTTGCTATGCCAAATATAAGCCAGAGCTAATATTATCATGCAGCACAACCGTCCCACAACTAGACATTCCTTAGAGGACCTGCAAGGCACCCTCCCTGCTAGTATATCTTAAGTCAACGAAGCCACACAGAAGTGATTGATGATCAAAACTTTGCCAGTTTTCTCCATTTGCTATTACTTCTCATGGCAGGAATAAAAATCCTGTGGTAAGCTTCAACCAAGTGGGCATGCATACTACTTTGAAACAGCATGGTAGAACAACTGAAAACTTCTGAAAAGCAAAGAGTCAAATACAAAATCAGCCACAGCTACCATGGTATAATTCTTAGCAGCAGCACCGAATTCTGAATGCAGCTCTGCAGCCAGTCTGAAGCTGTATTTGAGATCAGTGCTGGGATTCTAGAATTCAGAGCTGAGCATACACTTACAGATCATTAAAAAGACGGTGTGTATTGGCATGCTGGTGTGCTAACAGCTGCTGAACAAACCTAACGTTTGCATTTCTAATACATCTGAAATGTTGGTCTCTCAAAATTCCAGATATCCATCAGAGAATTGTGGCAATCTTTGTGCAGGGTTTCTTTTCTTTCTTTTTTTAAAAAAGAAAATCATAATGACTAATTAACAAAACGTCAGTTGCTGGAGTTTCCTACCTATCAGTGTTAACATAGAAAATAGTAAGTGTACTCACCATTCACTTCAATAGCTAAGAATAAGAAGAAGCAACTAAATGGCATCTCTGTCTTGCTTCAGAGAAATAAAGAGCTAGTGTTGTCCCACAGATTTCATACAAAACCTCAGCAGTCTCTATTTCTGGTTAGAAGAAGCTTCCTTTCCATTCCATTCCTTGCTTACTGTCTCTAATTCTCCTTTGCAACCTCTCTCTCTCTGTCTGTCTGAGCAGAGCCATCCAACTCAGAAAAAAGAGGGGTGTGTGGGGGAAGTTTCAAAGAACAGACTGTCTCTCCTTCTTTACTCCAGGTTCCCGTTTCTGTGTCTGTTGGGAAACATGTGCTTTGATCAAAGCTATTATGACCAAACTAGTCATTTTATCAATACAGCTAAAATTGATTTATTTTAAATTACTGACTGGGAAGTGATTAGACAAGCGTAATCTCATTTAAGTAGGTGTTTTCTAACCAAAAGCATGAGCTAACTTTCATAGGAGATATTTTTTCTCCTCTTTTCCTCAAAAAAACCCCAACAAAAACAAAAACAAAAACAAACTCACAACAAACAACTTCATAATAGAAAAATGTTCATCTGTCTATAGAAATGTGCAATCGTGAATTCATTTCCTATAACAGAGCAGTGATTCATATGTGGACAGGACAGGAAAAAAGAAACACATTCTATCCAGAAATATTAGGATTTTAAAATATATATAAAGGAACTTGTTATTTGAGCTACCATGGGGCATTAACATATAATTAATATTGATTGTTAAAGTATCTCAGCCCCCTGAGTTTCTATGAGTTCCAGCATAGCGCAGTAATTGCTACCATTTATTTACTGTTCAATATTTTATCAATACAGTATCAGTAGTGCTATGAGTTTGTGGGTGCCAAACACCTATAATCATCGGCAAAGCTGCATGCTCTGCTGCTGGGGGCAGAGAGCAGGTGGGGGTGTGGCTGGCACCCACCTGGGGGCGTGATGTGCACCCCGGGGGGCATGGCATGCATCCCGGGGGCACACCACCTGCAGTAACATGGCACATGTTCTGGGGGTGTGGTGCGCTGCCTGTGGGGGCGTGGTGCCCAGCACGCGGGGGGGGTGCGCAGCGTGTGTCTGGGGGGGCCGCCACGATGGCACCCTACAGAATAGTGATGCCCGGGGCCGTCAGCTCCCTCCACACCCCCGTTCCTCCGCCAGTGCCTATAATCCCCAGATCTAGTAAGTGTTAGAATTTAATCAATGCCTTGAGTATTAAACTGGATGCCAGACACTGAACCCCTGGATTCAGCAAGTGTTAACATATAAGCCAGGCCAGTTCCCTGATGAGGTAATCACCTGGGAGATGAGCCATTAAGGAATATGATAGGCTATTAAAAAAGCCAATGAGAGGGAGCTCTGTGTCAGATGGCAAATTGGTAGGGCCCTTCCTTCAGCTCTGAGATAGTTAGAAGATCAAAAAGCCAGAGTTTTAGAGTTGAAAGTATGTGAAGCCATGATTCTGATGCCGGCGAGAAGGGCGATGGATGGAACATTGTGCTCTAGCCAGAACAGTGAGCTCTGAATTGGTTCTGTTCAGTGATTTCGCTCAGTGATTTCGCTCAGTGATTCAGCTCTGCTCAGAGGGTGGCTACATCTGGCTGTGCTCTGATGTCCATCGAATCCCATCCTCGTCGCCAGTGTTAAGTTGTGGGCGAACATGTCAGACGACACAGCGATTCTTTAAACAGCTCTTCTTTATTCAGATGCCAGAACAGAACAAGGCTGAGGAGCTCAGTCAGCCTGCTTATATAGAGCTCCAGAACAATGCAACTGTTGCCATTTTCTAAAACTATCCAATCACTGAACGTCACTTTTCGATCCTTCATTTGCATACAAAACTATCCAATCACTGAATGTCACTTTTCGATCCTTCATTTGCATAACTATCTACAGTATTCCCCTGCTGGCCCAGGGTGAGAACTTCAGTACATAACAGGATGTGACCCAGGTGGGAAAAGGTTGCAGGCTAGAAAAGGCAGAGGGAGAGCATGCTTGAACCCATGGGAAAAACAGCCATGGGAAAAACAAGACCCTTTTGGGGTGTTAATGCTGTGAACCCCTCCATTGTAGGCTCAGGTTGTATAGAGTGGTACCTCGGGTTACATACGCTTCAGATTACATACACTTTAGGGGAAGACACAAGATCTACCCACCCTGGAAGAATGGCAAGTTCCCTTTTGCACTTAAAAGGAACAAAATATCTGAAAAACGAAAGGAACTTTGTTGCTAGATCTGCTTTTAAAAAGATGGATACAAACAGAAATTGTTTCCTCTAGAGGGAGCTTGTGAAACTGTTGCTGGAGTCGATCTGGGGAATTCTACAGCTGTAGAGATTAAAGATCGTGAGACCAGACATTGACCTTGAACAAGAATGTGCCCAGAAGAAGCTTTAGTGCTTGCTTTTTGCAAGACAAGCGCTTTACTGGAACAGCTACATGAGAAGATGGATTTGATGACTGTTGCAGTTGGCAATCTTGGACAAACAGTGAATACCTATATAGAAACCACTCAGGAACCAATCCAGGAATGTGCTTTGACAGAGCAAGTTGTGAAGAAGATAAAGGAGAAGGTTGTTGCTGAACCTCAAGTAATAGAAATGGAGAGAGCTGCGGCCTTGCAGGAACATAAGTTGTTGTTTCTGACGACTGAACCTGGAGAAAGTCAGATTTGGAGAGATGGAGTACTGTTTGGTCTGGAGATGGGAAGTTGGATAGATCCCCCTATGCAGGGATGTTCTGACTTTTCGGATCTGGTTTTGGGCCAGGGGGGGTTTGGAGTTGTGGGGGCCCTTAACCTTGGAGGGACTTTGAAACATGCCTTCAAATATATTTTGGATTTCAGTGCTGACTATGGAGAATGGGCTGACTTGGTGAGAAGGGATAAAGATATTGTCAAGTTGGAGTCTCCCCGAGAGAAAGGAAGGAAATTAAGAATAAGATCAGCAGAAGATAAAGTAAAGTGCAGGTATAAATATGAAGAAGACCTGCAGAAGGGACATGGAAAAGACTTAAGAGCCTCGGATAGAAGGTCACCAGGTTGATGGACTAGATGGAAGGGATAGAAAGGACTGATAAACCCGAGACCAGGAAGAAGAGACGATGGATGAAGATTGGAAGAAAGTTTTAAAAATTCATTTAGAAAACGATTGTAAAATTAATGAGCATTAGAAAAATGTTGGAATGAAACTATGAGGTTTTAGTAGCAATGTTACAAAGAATTATGTATAAATGAGTTTAAGCTTTAAGCTTTAGGGCTTTTCATGAGTAAGATATAGGTTAAAATAAATTAAGGTAATTTAATGACTAGAATATAGTGAAAGATGGAAAGGATTTGCTGAGATTAATTAATGAACTAGAATACAAAAAGGGAGGTGTGAGGAGGTCGATGAAACAAGTGAATGAAAGACAAAGATTTGGGAAGATTGGATTTGTTTTTAACTTTTGTTTATTTTAGCTTTGGTTTTGATATATTGTGTGTTTTGTTTTTTCTTTTTTTCTTTTTTCTTTTTATTGACTTGTATTGTTTAATTTCTCTTTTTGTCTACCTTTTTTCCTTTTCCTTTTTTTTCTCTTCTCTCTCTCTAATTTTAAATTCTCAATAAATATCATTTAAAAAAAAGAAAAGAAAAGGCAGAGGGAGAGCATGCTTGAACCCAAGGCTGCAGCCATGGGAAAAACAAGACCCTTTTGGGGTGTAAATGCTGTGAACCCCTCCATTGTGGGCTCAGGTTGTATACAGTGGTACCTCGGGTTACATACGCTTCAGATTACATACACTTTAGGTTACAGACTCCGCTAACCCAGAAATAGTACCTCGGGTTAAGAACTTTGATTCAGGATGAGAACAGAAATCGTGCTCCGGCGGTGCGGTAGCAGTGGGAGGCCCCATGAGCTAAAGTGGTGCTTCAGGTTAAGAACAGTTTCAGATTAAGAATGAATTAAGTACTTAACCAAGGTTCCACTGTATAGGTGTAACTAAACCACATATAATATAGCACAGTCGTCACTGTGCTTCATTCCTGAAAGGAACCACGAACCCTAGGTAAGCACACCTGGAACACCTAGAATCTCACACCACTCAGAGATTGGGGGTGCATGCAACAGTATTCTTGCTTGAGGGCCCATGTGGTGCACTGCAGTTTTTGACATGAGAAACAATAGGTTGGAATTTCTTCTCCACCGCGAAGGTCACTGAAGAGGCATGAGAGCATTATGTTCACCCTAATCTTTCCCTGTCATGCTGCTCTGAAGAAAAATAAGAATTACAAGAACTGTACACCGAAAAGTGCCAGAGTAATTAATTGAATAAATAAATATGTGTGATTGTTTACGTGGAAGTGAACTCACTGTGCTGAACACCCTCCTAATGCTATAGCTTATAGGCTTGCCCTAAAATATCTGAGATGGGAGCTGGAGTTCATGGGTGCATTTTGCTCCTCTCTCTTAGCTCATTGGTTGCAAAATAATAGAACAGGAATGGCTATAGTTGTTGCACCAGTCCCAGCTGGTAAAAGATGCTTCTAGCCACTGGGCCTCTAGTGACAGAAAAAGTTCCAGAAGCACCCGCAGACCTGCTCCTTCAGTGGAGTGCAACCCTGTCCAGAACAGACAGTTGACCAATCTCAGAGCCCACACAACCTTTTCTGAATCACATGTTATGGAGAAATAGAGTTGAGTGTCACCAGAATACTAATGGCACCTTGACCCCCCAACTCTAATTGCCACTCCCAGTGGCTTTGTGCTGGTCCTGTGGGTTACCCGAGAGGCGAGGTCCAAGTCCGTGGTCAAATGTGCAACGTGGAGGCAATTCATAGAAGCTGAAGCTGGGTGCAGCGCAGGGAGCCGGGTGAAGTCAGGAACAGGCTTGCAAGCAGGGAGCCAGGGCGGATCAGGAGCGAAGGCAGGAAGGTAGGACAGGGTTCAAGCAAGACCTAGCAACCAACAATGTTGCTCCCGCAACTAGAGGCTGGGGCTGGTCGGCTTTTATCTGCCCCGAGGCACAGGGCAGCCCCTATCCTCTG